TTTACGGGTTCGAGATTTTCGAGAAGAACAGTTTTGAACAGTTGTGCATCAACTACGTCAATGAGAAGCTCCAGCAAATTTTCATCCAACTCACTCTCAAGGCGGAGCAGGAAGAGTATGCGAGGGAGCAGATTCAGTGGACACCTATCAAGTACTTTGACAACAAGGTCGTGTGTGACCTTATTGAGCAAGTCCGCCCGCCCGGTATCTTCTCCGCCATGAAGGATGCCACCAAGACTGCCCATGCGGACCCAGCAGCATGCGACCGAACTTTCATGCAGAGCATCAACGGCATGTCAAATCCCCATCTCACCCCCCGACAGGGCAACTTCATCATCAAGCACTACGCTGGTGATGTGTCCTATACCGTGGATGGTATCACCGACAAGAATAAGGATCAGCTCCTAAAGGGCTTGCTCAATCTCTTGCAGCAGAGTGGAAACGACTTCGTGCACACCTTATTCCCCGCACAAGTTGATCAGGACAACCGAAAGCAGCCTCCCTCCTCAGGTGATCGTATTCGAGCCTCTGCCAATTCTCTGGTCGAATCTTTGATGAAATGTCAGCCCTCATACATTCGAACCATCAAGCCCAACGAGAACAAGTCTCCGACAGAGTACAACAGCCCCAACGTTCTCCACCAGATTAAGTACCTTGGTCTGCAAGAAAACGTCCGTATCCGTCGCGCGGGTTTCGCTTATCGACAGTCTTTTGACAAGTTTGTCGATCGATTCTTCCTCCTCTCCCCCGCCACATCATATGCCGGTGAGTACACTTGGGAGGGTACGCACGAGGCTGCAGTGCGGCAAATCTTAAAGGACACCAGCATTCCCAAGGAGGAGTGGCAGATGGGTGTGACCAAGGCATTCATTAAGTCGCCGGAGACACTTTTCGCCCTGGAGCACATGAGAGATCGATACTGGCACAACATGGCCACTCGAATCCAGCGTATGTGGAGAGCCTACCTCGCCTATCGAGCAGAATCTGCTACAAGAATTCAGCGCTTCTGGCGTAAGAAGCGCACTGGCGCTGAATTCTTGTCGCTGCGTGACCAGGGTCACACTGTTCTCCAAGGGCGCAAGGAGAGAAGACGGATGAGTTTGCTTGGTTCCAGGAGATTCCTTGGAGATTATCTCGGAGTTAACGCCAGCAACGGCTTCGGAGCCCAGCTCCGTAGTGCCGCAAACCTGAGCGCCAACGAACGAGCTCTCTTTTCTTGTCGCGCGGAGCTTCTTGAAGCCAAGTTCGGTCGATCCAGTAAATGCAGCCCGCGTATCATCATTGTGACGAACAGCAAGTTTTACATCATCGCCCAGGCTCTGGTTAGCGGCCAGCCCAGCATCACGGTCGAAAAGGGCATCAGTCTTGGTATGATCAAGTTTATTGGAACCTCGACCGCTCAGGATGATTGGTTCTCTCTGGGAATTGGATCGCCTCAGGAGCCCGACCCTCTCATGAACTGCGTTTTTAAGACTGAGATGTTTACGCAGATGCAGCGTGTGATGCCCGGAGGTTTCAATCTCAAGATTGCCGAGACGGTTGAATACGCCAAGAAGCCCAACAAGATGCAGCAGGTCAAGGTCTTGAAGGATTCCCAGCAACGTGCTGACTACTACAAGAGTGGTGCCATCCACACCAAGCCCGGAGATCCACCCAACTCTACATCAAGGCCCACGCCGAAGGGCAAGCCCGTTCCCCCCAAGCCAATCACCAGGGGCAAACTCATTAAGCCCGGCGGTCCTGGTGGTCGACCCTCAAGGTTGACCGGGAACCGAAAGGCACAGCCCAGACCCGTTGATAACAGCGCGAGGAGTGTACCCCCACCTCAAGCTGCGGCTGCAGCGTCATCCAGCGCCGGTGCCAGTGCGCCCAGGCCAACACCGGCAACTCCAGTTGCCGCGAGCCAGGTGGCAGCGCAACGGGCAATCCCAAGTCACACCAGACAGAACAGCGGGGCCTCCCGGGCACCACCGCCGCCACCTCCGGCTGCAGCGCCCGCAGCACCTCCCAAGGTCATGGCCAAGGTCTTGTACGACTTCGCCGGGCAGGATAACGTGCTCGTCATCAAAGAGGGAGAAATCATCGAGATTGTTCAAAAGGATGATAACGGTAAGCATCTTCATCGTTAAGTGTAAATACTCAGCTAACCCGAAACCATAGGTTGGTGGCTAGCAGATACCAGCCGAACCAGGGCCTGGGTCCCTGGAGCCTACGTGGAGGAGCTGGCTGCCCCTCCCCCCAAGTCCAAGCCGCCGCCACCTGCTCCCCCGGCCAAGCGACCAGTTGCTGGACGGAAGCCGGCGGACCTGCAACAGCGAGACTCGGGCATGAGCCTTAATGGTGCCAGCAGCTCGAACAACAGCCGAAGTAACACACCCACACCCAGCTTGGGAGGAAGTTTGGCAGATGCTCTCCTGGCGAGACAAAAGGCCATGCAGAGCAAGAGGAATGACGATGACGACTGGTAAATTAGAGGGAACGAACTTGATGACGCCTGACGAAGATCTGACTCATATGGACGATGCGCGTTATTATCAGCAACCAGTATAAACTTTGCTTTTGACAGACCAGCTCCTTTTTTTGGAATTGCCTGTTCCTGTTTTGCCCTTTCTTTCTTTCTCTTTCAGATGTTATGGCATGCAACTGGTCAGCCGGGCTATTTCCAATTCAAGGTGTTTGGGGAACTAGCGACTCATTCCTTGAAACGTTCGACTAGACAAGACGGTTTATGCTTTTTTTGGGGAAGTAAACGGGGGGGAGCGAGATCAGTCCTTGCAGGATAAAATTGTCTTATTCCCAGACCATCTGTTTCTTTTTTGGTTTTTTTCTTCTTCACAAAATTGCTCGAGTATGAACTCCCATGTCCCTGCTATGTGTTACATTATATATACTACATATATTTATATACCTATTCATATATGGCATATGCCCGTGTTTCGTCTAAGCGTCGTCGTCTTCGTCTACGTGTCTTGTATTCTTTCGCCGTCTAAGCAGCTCTGCCAGCGGGACATCGTCGTCGATGCCGTCTTCCGCGTCTTCGTCTACGCCATAGTCATGCAGCCGGTCGCCGTCTGAATTCACCCATGGGAGGGAAATGCCCAGGGTTGGCGACTTCTCGTCATCCTCCTCACCTCCGTCAGATTCGTCATCTTCGTCTTCATCTTCATCTTCGTCCTCTTCTTCGAGGTCGTCAAACTGACCGACCTCTTCTAGATCAGCGATAATTCTTTGCTTCCTCTTGAAATCCTCCTCCTGCCGCCGCTTGAAAGCCTCCTTCCGGTCCTCCGTGTTCTCCTCATTGTCCACCGCTCTGAGCTCGGCTGCGAAGTCCCGCCGGCCCGCCGGCCAGTTCCGAGCAGCCCGGCGGACCTTCTCCGGGTCCAGGGGCGGCCACATGCCCTCCTCGCGGTTGAAGCCGTTCTCCTCCCAGTCCCAGCCGGCGCCCTTGCCATCCTCGCTGACCCTGAGGGTGCCGGCGAACGGGTTCAGCCAGAGAAGGGGGTTCGAGGTCCCCATGGCCTGCGACATGTTGGCGTATATCCCGATGTCGTAGGGGAACTCGATCTTCTCGAAGCGCATCTTCTCGCCGTCGGCGCCGACCACGTCCCACCAGTCGCGGCCGCCCCTCGCGGCCACGACCTCGTGGCGGTCGATCTCCCAGCCCTCGATCATGGTCTGGTTGAGCGCCCAGCCCCTGATGGTGTTGACGAGCATGATCCCCAAGGCCAAGGACGTCACGAACCAGACCAGGGCGATGACGGCGAGGGCGACGAGGGAGAAGAGGGTGGGGCCCAGGTAGGCGGGCATGTTGCGGTCGTCCCAGAGAGCGGCGAAGCGCTGCCAGAGGAAGTATCCCAGGTTCCACAGGGAGAGGTTGGCGAAGACAAGGAAGCGCAGGAAGTGGGGGAAGGTGACGAAAGAGACGCAGTTGGCGGTCCACGGGCAGTGGTGGTCCATCCGGGGCACGCACCGCTCGCAGTGGCGGCAGTGGTGCGCCCTGGGGGGCTTCGGGGCGGCGCACTTCTTGCACCAGCGCCCCGCGGCGGAGTCGTCGACCTCCATGACCTTATCGGGGAAGACGTAGCGGCCCGGGTCGGTGGTGACGGTGCGGTAGTAGGTGATCCAGAGGGCGGCGAGGAGGAGGTTGAAGACGATCGTCTCCCCCCGCGAGGGGGGGCCGGGTTCGAGGGTCGTGGCATGGTGGAAGACGAGCTGGGAGGCGTAGCTTAGGAAGGCTATCAGGAGGCAAACGCCAGGGACAGCGAGGTCCTGGACGAGGGGAGAATCACTGAACCCGGCCATGGCGACTGACGTGGTGCTGTCGCCCTTGGAGCGCGGGTCATGTTATGGTTATGGTGGTGTGGTGGTTGGAATAATTCAGGTACAATGTATCGAATTTCCAGAGCTCCGGGAGCTGATAAGATAAGCGACACCTGTCAGATTACGTATGTGGGCTGCGCCTGCTTCTAGATGGGCAAGTGCCGGAGCCAAGCCAGAGGAATGACGCAGCAAAATTAACCAAAAAACAAGGGACCTGCTGCTCGGTTTCGGGTGAGCAAGCAAAAAAGCTGGTGCATTGGCGCAAATAAGCAAATGGTTCTATCTGAGCTTGCTCCGAAGCACCCGGGATTCGTCTTCATCAGATGCATTCCGACCAAGGTGGAAAATCAAGCGCAGATCGCACGGGAACCACCAGGTAATTAAGGCCATTGCTATTAATATTATTTCCTCAACTAGAGCTCTGGCGCCGCTTATGTAAACCCATCACCCCCTGAATGAGCCACAGATTTGACATAGATTGACCAAGAGTGGCTGTTTCAGAAGGTGTGGATTCGTCAGTCCTCTGACAGACAAATATCATTCATTAGTCTGGGGCACATGCTGCCGGATGCTGCGGCCCTTTACGTTTGAATCTCATCGACAATCTCAGACTGTTTGAGAGGATGATGATGGGCTACAGAGCAACTATATACACATATCTACCTATCTAACCAGCCACAATGGCTCGTCGAGGCCTCCCCCTAATAGCTCTGTGGTGAGTGGCCCTCCGATATGCGAAGCATTGAGACGCAGCAACGTCAATTAGGGGACTGACTGGTTGTTTAATAGCACGCTGCTGTCCTTTGCTTATATTCATGTGTCTCTCGAGAAGCATTGGTTAGCAGGTATACTTTAACTGCCCCTAGATAAGAGGATGGACCAACAAGCTAACAACCTGCCAAGAGCAACCAAGGCTATCGTCTGCTCTTACACTCCTTCTTTCGGGGTTCTTCTGTTTTGTCCTCAGCTTTTTCACCAGACTTATACCCGGCGCAGAGGACAGGATCGTCTATGACACTCACCAGGCTGAGGATAATATAGGCTTATTGTCTCCTAGCTCTCCCGTGGAGGCTAGATTCAAGGACACCAGGCCTCCTCTTCCCGAGCGGCCTGATCAGTTGTCGCTACCTATCATAGTCGTCCTCATTGTTGTTCGATTAGAGGCATTGCACGCCGTCAACCTCCAGCGCCAATGCGCAACCACGGGCATCGAGCCTTTTCTGCCCTTTGTTCTATATGTATTCGACATCTTCACCACTCGCCGCCGATGGGTTGGCCCAGATCCTGTTGATCCGGATGACCCGTGGCGAAACATCTTCGACGAAATCAGGGAGTGGTTCACGGGCCCGCGCGTCAGCATGTCCCTTACAGGAGTTGCCATCTTCTTTATTTCCTTGAGTACCTCCATGGCGTCTGGATACAAGACACCGTCAGGGTACGCATGTCTCCACCCTATTGACAGCCGGTCAAACGTGGTCTTTCTGCAGTTGCTTGGCCTGGCATTGGACGCTGTGATCTGTGTGTGTCTATGGCGTCTCCTGATGTGGTCGCGATCAGCCAAGCAGCGCATCCGATCATCGGGCCTGGTTCTCGTGTGTTCGGGCCTTGCCATGGCCGTTGTGTCCCTAGTGGCAGCGTTTTGGGCTTCAAACCAAGAGACCTTCGACTTCGGCTCCTGGTCTTTAATTGATACCGTTGTTGACGGCTTCGCTTTTGCAGTGTTTGTAGCGTCGGGCGTATGGTGGATGTGTGAGACATCAGCGCCTGTCCCGGTCACCATCATCACCATGTGCCTTGGAGTATGGTCATCAGGCTACCTGACTCTGTACTACGGAGACTGGATTCGCTATTCTCTCTCGGGGGCGTACTTCCCATTATGGTTCATCACCTTTGCATCTATTCTTTACATACGGTATCAAGCGGGGATCGGGAAGTTTCTCATGGTGGTCCTCATCGGAACTACGTTTATTGCTACGTTTAGAGCTTCCATCAGGGGGCGAGACGCTTTCCCAAGGCACCCTCTGAGTGATCTCATTTACAAGGCCAATATTGAGAGCGACCGGTACCGCGCACGTGTCGCCACCAGCAAAAGCCTACATGTTGCGTTAACGACATACGAAGAGCTGCACCCTGGCAGGGCAGCGCCTCCGAACTTTGCCGAGTGGTATTCGCAGGCGCAGGGCACGTTCGTCATCGACGACTTTGCGCAGATAGACGCAGACCTGGCTCCGTTCTGGAATATGAGCCCAGATACCCTGCGAAAGGGGGCTAATATACTAACCAGTGTGCCCGGGGTACACACCATCACGATCAAGGACGGGCAGGTCACGCACAGTGACGCTGGTGACGAGGGACAGAACAGGGATCTGTTGGACCTCGTGCAGTTGATTGAGCGCTTCTCGGTGCACCTACCGGACATGGTGCTCCCCATCAATCTTGGATCCGCGCCTCGCATCCTGCCCTCGTGGGAAACTGCACACTCCAAGTCTACCGCTGAACACATCTCGAGTGGACACATACGGTATAGGGAGAACGTGGAGGCGAAGGATTATCGCCGCATGCAGTGGGCAGCGTGTCCCGAGGATTCAGCGGCGAGGAGGAACGTGGCGTGGAAGAACGAGGAGCTGTGTGAGGACTGCGTCAAAGAGCACTCGAAGGGGCCCATCATCTACGACCGAGACAAGGCGTTCGAGACGTGCTCCCAGCCCGATCTTGGGTATCTCCACGAATTTTACATGACGAACCCCAAGCTAGCCCCTATTCAGGAGATGCTCCCCCTCTTCAGCTTTGCAAAGACAGAGTCATTCAAGGATATACTCATCCCTTTGCCCCGAGTCATGCAAGACGAAGAACTAGATATTACGTGGGGGTTTGGCCGAAGATTCGATTCTCTCTTCTATCAGGCAGATCTTGGCAAGGAGCTGAAGAGCTCCCAGATCCTCCGGGGAAGCTCAAAGTATCGTCTTCTCGAACTTCTCGCGGGCAACCATGCCTCTGGGGACGTGGCCACAGTTGTTGTCGGTGAGCCCCTCGCCGACTTTCGGTACGAGAGAGTCAAGGTTTCGGAGGCCAACAAGGTCGGGCCGCTCAAGGTTGGTCTGAGAGGTGGCGATGGGTGCGAGGGCGACTACTGCAAGCTGGCCAAGCAGCTGTACGGGACGGACGACGAGGACGCAGAGCCGCTCGAGTATAGGTACATCGTCGTCCTAGACGAATCCGACGGCCCTTCGAAGCAGTTCATGCGCACTCTGCGCTCCAAGAGCGTGCCCTTTGTGTCTACCATCTTCCGGACGTGGTACACGGAGCGGCTGCAGCCCTGGCTTCACTACGTCCCCATCGACCCTCGCTTCCAGTCGCTGCACACGACGTATCTGTTCTTTACGGGCACGGAGGACCGCCAGACCATCAACGGCGTCGACACCAACATGCAGGCGCGGACCAAGGACGGGGAGTACATTGCGCAGCAGGGGCAGAAATGGGCGGACCAAGTGCTGCAGCAGAAGGACATGGAGGTCTATCTGTTCCGTCTGCTGCTCGAATGGGGGAGGTTGATCGATGATAACCGCGAAGTTGTTGGATTTCGAAAAACGGATGAGGGGAAGTTGGACAATATTGGATTCTCCCAGGGGACGGTGTCGTGATTTGGGGCTCTGCGAGCCGGTTTTGTTTGGGATCATATTCTTTGTTTTTGTTTCTTCCTTTCTCTTTACTATATAGACGGGAATCGGGTCATGCTACATTACAGCAACAGTTTCTTTCGCAAGAGCATAGGTTGACTTACACTCGCGTTTGGATTTCCATCCGGGGAAGAGGGGAGGGCCATGTGCTCTGGCGTGGTCGATTTCTGAAGACGCGGCTGGCAGGAAATGGCTCTCTCAATGGTCGCCCGTATCCGGGGGGATGGAGGGAGTGTCGACGCATGAAAAAGGGGAGTGTATGACAAATGGTGTATCATCAATTGGGTGTGCATAGAGTGGGAACGGATACTCCATCTAGAGATAGGCAATACTAGGCTCGGCTTCTAACCAGGCCATGTCATGTCGAAGGCGTCGCTCCCATTTACATCGGTGTTAAGTCACGACGCGAGTGCTTACCCGCCGGCCATTTTCCATTACATGACTGCTTCTGCTGGAGCCCAACCGATCGACCCCCCTCTCCCAACACGGGACAGCCGCGGGCGGCCTACCGGACGGGCCATACGAGGCCTACCGGGCGGGCCTGCCAAGGGTTCGAGCGAGTGGCATAAAAAGGGCTAGAGGAACAAGTCAGCAAGCGAGACATGATGGGCAGATTCGCGCAGAACGGCGGCCAAGCAAAGAAATTAGACAAAGCGGAAAGGAGAGACATGGGACTCTGCGGGTCTGCTTCTCCGCATTTGCATCACTACACATCTGCAAATCTAAGACGGGCCAGCGCAGGCCACGCGCGCGACATGGTGGTGGTTGGTGGTGGCGCACACGTCTTCGGTGAGAGCTGTGGCGCTGGTTGACGGATGTCGAATGCGAGGTCTCCCAACCCACATGAAGGTACGTAACCGGCTGGACCCGTGGCATTGGATGGGGGGGTGTGAGGAGGGAATTTTAAAAATTAGGATTGTGGGACGGAGGCCTGGAGAGAAGAGATTTTGCCCTCGTGGTTATGCCGTGCTAGTCTGTCTTGGATGGCGATAATGTACATACCTGTGGAGGCGGACGACGAGCTTAACGTCCTCAACTTCGTAGTTAGCGCTGGGTCTTTGGACGGCCTCTGGGCTCGAGCACTGGCCTCTCTATGTGGACTCGAGAGGCTGGATAATGCTGCAGCTCCCAAAAGGTCTGCCAGCACCGCTGGTGGCAAGGCCGCTCTGCCCTTTCCGGGTCCACAGACAGCTCAGGACAGGTCACAGCTCATGTCTTGCATGCAGGACGAAAGGGAGCGGCATCGCTAGCAAGGTTTCCCCTTGATTGGCAGGTCTGCTAGTCTGCCAAACAGCGGCATGACATACAGGTTGAGCCAAGTACTATTACACACCGCGACTTATCCAAGCAACTGCTGACGCACTCTCCGTGGATTTGGCCTGGTACTCTCTGGTACTGTCCACTCCCAGTACTTCTTTTACAGAAGGAAGGGGGGGCAGGAACGGTACATAAGTATGTCAACCTGAGGAGGTAGCCAGTGACAATTGGCGTGGGGGAAGGCACGACTAGTGCCATCCATCTTACAGATGGAAGTGGAGGAATGTCCAAAGGGAAAGGGAACACTAAGCCGGCTTATTGTTCGCTAGTTCGGTTGGTCCAGGCTCTTCCCCCATTGTTGGGAACTATCAACGGAGGAAGCAGCACCTCAGTGATCACTGCCGAACCAAACCCAGCTGAATGGCAGCCAGATGAAGGGCATTGTTTGGCAATATCAGGTGACCTTCAGATGATGGCTCTGCCTGACAGTACGTACAGGTACCTTCCTCACGTGAGTTGCGCCTGCTGGTACTAAGGCAAGTGCGCCCATCGATGCGGTCGATCAAGTCCAAGATCCAGACTGCCAAGTACCTCCCTCGACCTACCGACACACACTCCTCCTCCATATCCATGCCCGGCCGCGTTCACATCATCCTCCATATAAGACGATAGTAGTAATTACTACCTGCGTCTCCAATATTCATTCACTATGCCAGCCAATGCCTGCCCAGGGAGCGGCCCCCGACTTCGAAATGCACATGGCGTTATGTCGGTTGTCGTTGCTGCATGAGAAAGGCAGCATCCGACAATGCAAGCCAAGAACTTGAATGAGGCTCGGGCTATTAATCCATCCATTGCATACGCCTTCCATGAAATTAACTACTGACGCATGCCCAGCACGCGACGCGAGGCTCCCGACGTGATCAGTCCTGTCCTTGTAGCATACTGCGTCTGCACTTCTGGACGTCGCAGCAGTCGGTGGGAAACGGTGAGAGATGGACATCCTTACCGTCGGCTTCTAGATTTTCCGCACGCCCAGACCTGTGTCCCGGTCCCGGAAAGTGGCCCTGAACAGGCAAGTAGAACAGTTATCCCAACAACACAATGGGAAATGTCGCTCGGCAAGGTACGTAGCTGCGCGCTAATGCACGAACTCTCCATCAATATATGTGGCTAAGCAACGGTGGCCCATGTTCGGCTGGGGCAGATCTATGCACTGAGAACCTGTACTAACCCTACGTCCTCCTCGACAGGCATGCTCACTCAGATGAGCCGAGCCGACTGCCATTTCATGCAGGCATCTTGTTTGCAGCGTCCTCCAGCCAGCCAGGGAAGAGGGCGTGTCGATTTGCATCCAGGCAAGCCTCTCTCTGACCATTGCGATAATTAATTTCGACTGAATGGAATGGGGGATTGCAACCCGTCAAACAGCAAGGGTGGCTCGCCCCACTCGGCCCGGCAAAAACTACACGCTGAATGGACACTGGATGCTTGAGCTCGAGGAGCTGGGGAGCACCTCGGTGGCCAAGGCGCTGATGGTAACCGCCCTATGCGCCGAGAAATTCAACCACCCGGGCAGCAGGAGCTAGAGGTGTCGCTGAGATGTTTCCACCTCTGGGGCGGTCATCAGATCGGATGCGCTTTCTCGCCAATCCACGGTCAGCCTGCCACTCTCCGAAACAGCTAAATATTGACGGGCTTCCTTCACCTTGGAGCTGCCCGAGCCCACTCACCTTGGTGGCCTGATCACCACCTGCATGCCACGAGATTGCCATTGGGCTTTCCCTTGCTCGGTGCCAAAGTCGACAGAATCGTAGCATCAGATCGGCCCACGAACCTGCAAAATCAGTGTCATACATGCCGAAATCATGTGTGCTTGCCGAACCGTGGCGCTCTGCCTCGTCTCCTCTCACCTTGGGATCGGCCAAGTGGACAGACAAAGCTCCAGGCACTTACCTATTAGCGACCGGAGGCAAGGGATGGCCCCTCCAAATTGGATCGATCACAAGCTCTTTATTCCTTGGCCCCCCCCGTCAACATACGGTCGCTTGACGTGGAGTAGAAGGTGCATTTACTAACAAAACCTAGCAGAAGACCGGCCAGCCATCGTGGGATGTGATCTAGGGCTAGTCCGCGATGCAGCCACAGGAGAGTCCGTGTACGGTATGATATGTAGACAAGTGTGGGAAAAAATGTCCCTGCCGGGCATGAGTGGATGAGAGACCTACATGCCGACGCACTCTTTTTTCCTTTTCGTTGATGCAGACTTACATATATGCTTGTTATGCCCCCCCCCAATATATGCATTGGAATTGGCCTCCGGCATCCTAGCATACCCGGATTGCTGCAGCCACAGTACGCACAGTATATTGTTCCTTGCTTGATACATACTATTTCGCACATATCCATTTGGCTTTGGAGATTGCGTCTGTGTTGTCCTCCTTGGGCCCCTGTCCTGATATGCACGCAGGCCGTGTATCGTGCCTAATACTACACATGTAATACCCAGCAGGTCGCCTTCGTCCCTGCGACCCTAGCCCCTGGCCCCGATCATAACCGGCAAAGATCCCAGCCACGGCCGCTGAGTAACTCCCTCATCCTCATCCGACCCAAAGCAGCGAGAAACAGCCAGCACGCAGGCCAATAATACCATACCCAGGAAGGTAGGTAGGTAGGCACGAGAATATCAGATACCCGCAAAATTTTGTCTACAGCACCAGAATTCCTTTTTTCTCGTGGAACTAAGACTGAGACCAGGTTCACCTTGCCAATGGCAAAGGCGGCTCGCTCCCAAGCGAATTGTGGGCGAGTCGGTCGGGTGCTAGCCCTTCTTTGCCCTGCCGATACCCCATCGCGTTGATCTCCAAGAGCACGTTATTGAGCTCAACAAGACTATACACTTTGCAAGCACGGCTGATCCCTTACCCAGGTGCTAGCGCTAACCGCCGCGTCTGTGGTGCAGCGGGCATCCCGAATTCGACAGACAACTGCTGGTTTTATTTAGCGGGACTGAGTATCAACCGCCTGGGGGCAGCCGGCCTGGACGAGCTGGTTGGATAGTAGCAGCTAGGGCCTAACTGTTGCTAGATGGTGCGCTTCTAGCAGCTAGGTAAGTCATATAATATCATCCTGATACCTACTACCTTGCAGGGTTTGTTCTTCGGGGGCCAGGCACCTCAGCATCTTAGGCCGTCCCTCGCTCCAGCCCCCACACCCCATTCATCATGACGGTCTTCTCTTCCTTTCCATTTCTTTTTCTCCTTTGACACATCCGCCAGAGGCCAGCGAATAGGAGGCCCGCTCTCCAGTTCAGGCATACTCCATCGGTTCTGCTGACTGGTCTTGCTTTAACTAAACAACGTCACGAGCGTTCGATGCTGATGACTCGCAGTAGCTTCTTCCTGCGAGGCTATAACACGTCGCGCAGTCGATTCATGCCAGTCGCCTAGCTCCGAAGGGCCACAGGCCAAGCTTTCGGAAGCAGCTGAGAGACTGAGTGTTGTGCCAGAAGTACGGGATACATAGTCACAATGTAGATCGATCGGTAGATAAGGCGCTAGAATGGCGCACCAGATGCACAGAGGCATGGTGGTGGGTGGGTAGCGAGTAGTCTACATAGGTACACGCTATGTACGTGCTTGGTTTGGGGTGGCTGTTGGAGCGAGCAAGCTTCAGCCACGCCCAGGATTTATCTCAACGGTCTGGTCTCTGGGCACCAGGGGGCCAGCGCCAGTCTCCACGGGCATGGACCGCATATGGGCACAGGTAATTACCTAGGGACGGACGGTGGATGGAGCTCGGGTGTCGACGAAGAGAACAGACACAAACTCCCCGCGTGTGGGCTGGGGGAGCGGCCAAGCTCGCGCCCTCTTGGCTGGCTGCTGGCTGGATTGGATGGACTGGATTGACGTATCCGGGCGTCCATGGCCGAAGCTGAGCTGCCGCACTCCATGTCGCCGTAGCCGTAGCTGTCAGGTACCTGGGCAGGTAGCTGTACCTATCAGCAGCTGGAGCTGTAGGTTGCCTTTAGCTGTGGTGGGGCAGCACAAGCACACACCACCCGCACACCACACACACCACCCGCAGCCCAGCCCGTTCCAGCAGCGCCAGCGCCGATGCCGACAGACACAGGCGCAGGGCAGAGCAGAAAAAAGAGACGGCAGCCTCTGAGCTGGGCCAGGTCTGGGTGCTCTCGACCTCGACTCCAAAGCCAAACCACCTGCCCATTCCCATCGCCGTCTTCTATCTCCTTCCTCGCCGTGCAGCCCGGGGTTTGCCTGCAAGGTAGAAAGACGCCGGTCTGGTCTTTTTAGGTCCCTCTCGTCTTTCCTCGCCCACGATCCCTCCCTCGGTCTCACTCTCATACACTTCGTAAGTACCTTGTCTTCCTCCTCCATAAACGCGCTCATCCCGTTTTCCTCCTCGTACGCCTCCGGTCTACTGGCCAGCCCAGCCTGTTGGCCTGTAGCAGCCAGTCAGTCCGAGTCCAGCCGTCGCATTTGTTGCCCACTGCTGCTACTTCACTGCCTGTCTATCTGCCTTGCCTGCTGTTATTACCCCGCCATCCGTCCATTCCACCCGTGCACACTCGACCTACTCACAACATACGTGCCTGCCCGGGCATATGTACTGAGGATTGGATGCCGGCTAACTTATAGGCTAACCTCCTCTTCTCTGCAGTGATCCCCCGCAGCCAGAAGAGAGCCAGAGCCAGACCTAGAGACGAGCACAGGCCCAGACACAGGCACGAGCACGAGCACGGGAACCACCAGCTGCGCCAAGGTGTGTTGTAGGTCGACGCAACTGCAGAAGAGAGACATCGCCGTGTGTGCTCCTCGCTCCTCCTGCCTCGAAGCCGCCGGCCAGCCCAGTCTTGCATCGAGGTGGGGCACACTGCCGCCGCACAGCAGAAGTTGCATCGTACCTATCCTCACCCCGTCTTCAGCGTCCTCTTCCTCTTCCTCTCTCTTAATTACCTCGAGCTTTTTTTTCCTGCCTTTGTTTTTTTTTTCGCCTCCCCTCACGTCAGACGCCATCCTGCCCGGACGATCCTCCTCTACTCCTAATCTCGTCCCCGTCAACTCCTTAAAGACGCCTCTCTACTGCTTTTCTCTCGTTGAAACTCCCTCTAGGCTTTGGTACGGGCTTGTCCCGTTCTATCCTTAGCTTTCTCTCCTCATTCGTCGCTCACGCGCTGGGCTGTAGGGACCTCGGCTTGGGCTATCATTCTCGTTCAACCCAATCCTGGACCATGATGGGCGTCTGAGGGTCACTCACCTGCTTCAAACCCGCCCGTCTCCTCGAGTTCTCCTCCGTCGCCTGTCATGAACCCCGTTCATAACCTGGCCGAGGCCCCTCCAGAATCGTCTCCTTCGCTCGTTGCTTCCTCCTCACCAACTCCGGGCTCAGCTCCGGTCTCAGCAGTTTCGGCTCCGGCCTCCGTGTTATTACCGCCGCCCATCTCGCCCTCGTCACCACCTCCACCAATTTCGACTCCGGTCCAGTCCCTCGCCATTCTTGCTTCAGCCCATCACCAGCAGCAGCAGCAGCAGCAACAGCAGCAAAGTCCAGCCCTTGGGCCGCTGCCGAGACCCGATGAACCCCCGGCCGTCATCGCTTCCGCAGCCACTGCGGCTGCTTCAACGCCACCATCGCACTTCTTTCAGCCGCCGCCGCAGCATCACCACCACCCGCCTTCGGCCATCTCATCTCCTCCGCCGAGAAAGGACACTGCCTCGTCCATCTCTACTCAGGCCACCAGCGCCACTCAGGCCTCCACGGAGACCACCAACACATCGTACAGTTCCGACACCTCTCCTACACTGCACCAATCTATCTTCTCCCTCAAGGATGGCACCGACGTCTCTAACAGCCGTCGCACCAGCAGGAGACGTACCGGGCCCTTGTCCCAGCAATCGAGAGAGCGGGCCGCCTTAATCCGGAAACTGGGCGCGTGCAGCGATTGCCGCCGAAGAAGAGTTGCCGTAAGTACCATCTCCGTCCAAAGAAATCGAATACGGTTTCTTGCTGTGGCCTTGTTCAAACTTTCATTAAACTCCTTATTCTCGATGCTTGGATCCCATACCCCAAAGCGTTTCAGTTGGGAAAGAAAACGAGTAAGGGGGGGATGGTGGCAGAAAGCAGATTCTTTCGTGTAAGTGCCTCGCTAACTAACCATTATTTATCTCAAGTGTAAACCGAGTCACCACAACATGACGTGGGAGGATGTCGTCAACAAATTCCACAGATCCCACAGCCCATCAATACACGATATAGCACCCCTTGCCCCTGGGCGACCTCTGAGTCCAGCGCCAACTCAGGGCAGTGCTCAGCATATGTTTCCTCACAACCCCCACGAGATGGATATTGACTCAGGATCCCCATCAAACCATCCCAGCCGGCCGCCACCCCCGGGCGATTCCCGTCACCGCACTCCGCTGCCATCAGGTCCGCGCCTCGAGTCTCTTTCCTTACCCGGGATCGAGACTTTGAAGAACGAGCTACAATCCAACGCCATGCGAATGCTGTCAACCGCAAGCCGGTCACGCTATACCGCAGTCCAGGCCCTCCTGTTGTTTTGGCAGGACGATGATGACGAGGTGGCCACCATTCACAATGCTGTGCGAGAACTGGCGGACGTTCTGGAGAAGCTCTACCATTACGCGTTGCAGATACAGCCGATTCCCTCGTCTTCGGACGGCTCCAGGAGCTCGTGGCGGTGGCTTTCTCGGCAGATGGGAGACTTTGCCGAGGATCGTGACCAGCGGGATGTCTTGAAAATCGTCTACTACGTAGGTCATACGTATCTTGATGGGAATAGGGAGATGGTCCTCGCTAGGTACGTTTCTTTTCACCTCTTCCGCGCTGCCGGCCTCATGTTGCTGGTTCTGGTCGTATTCTAATCACCCAAGCAGCTCCAGAGATAGCCAGAAGGCATCGATAATCCGATGGAACGGGATTCAGCAGATCCTTGAAGAAGCATATGCCGACACCCTCCTAATAATGGATGCTGCTTATTACGCATCTTCTCGAATGGGTCGCGAAAAGGGGGTTTTGGAACTTATTGCGGCCTCGACGTCAGACGAGCATTACAGTGCGTTAAATCGGTGCGCCTTCACGCTGGCCCTGGCAGAACTGTTACGAACGCGAGCCAGCCGAATGCACCCTTGTTCAGCTGCTGAACTACACTCGGCACTTCTCTCGAGTTATCCGATGATGGTTCGGGACAGGAACCCTGAACGGGAGGTTCTGACGAGCTTTCCGGCACCTCTGCACACGATGATGTCAGGAAATTCTCGGCTGCCTTCGATTTTTCTCACCCCTGTATCTCAGAGCAACCCGCTCCGGAACAGCTTACATGACAACTACCCGATACTGAACATGTCGATCCGGCTAATGAACGACGACGAAGTTGATCTCGACAGTTGGAACGAATGGCTGCGCCTCATGCCTGAAGGTGTTAGGGATGTCAAAGTCGAAGGCCCCTTTCGGCCCGCCTTTAGATGAGCTGGGCCGACACTTGTTTCAGCACTCCTCTCATTTTCGTTGTTGTGGATAATTTCGGATTTCGACTGTCCATGTACTGGAGATGGTAGCATCATATGGCTTTAATATTACCTTTGGAGGATCTGTCATGCACAGCGCAGGTGAAGGAGCAGGCCAGGAAAAGCAAGCTCTGTCTAAACCCTAAGCAAAGGGGTTAGCCGGGGGGCATGTTTGATTTTGTTTTCATTTCGATTTTTTTATCCTATACCACATTGTAACAGGGGCAATGCATGCATGGAATACAAAGACAATAAATGGGCAGGCGGAAGGGCCGTCTCGTCATACTAGCAGAGCTTACTTAGTCTGGAGAAACGGTTGAATAGGTGATTGAACATTTTCAGAGTGGGCAGATGGAGAGGAGGGGGAGAGAGGAATAGAGAGAGAGGAAGAAAGAAAGAAAGAAAGAAAGAAAGATGTGGGAAAATGTCAACCAAATCAAAGGCCTACAAACATCGTGCTGCCCGACTACACTGCCGTGGTAGCTCCCAATGTTGAGTGGTGAGTACAGCTGGTTGCGCGCCTGTGCCGGTGATGACGATGACGGATGGCTGGTGTAGTCTGGGCGTACCTAGTAGATCCGATGACGTGCGTCTCCTCCATGCCTTAGCTCCCGAAGCAAGCAATAGAGATGACTGGAGTTACAACGGGCAATACCTGAGAAGGTACCTGACATGTACATGTATCGGTACTACCGCCAACAAGCCACAGTACAGAGGGTGATCAGTGCTTCCCGGGCATCAAGGACGGGCGGCCATGTGGGGTGGGGAAGGTCGTACCGGTACCGTGACTGCCGCCTACAAGGGGCTGCAGGGTGGTGGGGCGTTGTCGGGGCAACAGAGTCCCAACGCGGCATGATTTCCATAACAAACCCTTTTCCAGCCTGAAAATGCTCGTTCACTCTTTCTCCTTGCCTGGCGACCCAGACCGCATCATCATCAACAACAACCCAACATCTATTCCGTCGCGCTGCATACGATGTGAACAGTTTTTTGGGATTTCTTCCTCTTCTTTCAACCCACTAACCCAACAAACAGCATATACACCCATTGGCGGCTTGCCCAGCAGAAATAAAAAGCAAACACGCACGCACGCACGCACGGCACGCCTGCACACAGATCGAGAATCATGGATTCCCCACCCAAACGAATGACGCGGTCGCGGGCTGCAGCAAAGGCCACTGAGCCGGCCATCGCGTCCACCAAGATTGTCACCGCTGCAGCCAGAGCAAAGTCGACGGCGACGGCCAGCACAAAGAGCACAGCAGCCAAGCGGAAAACGCGGGCCGACGAAGACGATGAGCAGCTGCACAAGGAGGTTCCCGCGACTAAGAGAGCAGCCAGGGGCCGTCCTAGGAAAGCTGCAGAACCCGAAGAGTCGTCTTCGACGGCGGCACCCACAGTCACTGCCCGGACGGCACGCGGTCGGCCGCCAAAGAAGGCATCGGCGACTGAGGTACCCAAAGAGGACCCTGCCCCAGCTCCCAAACCAGCCAGAGGCAGACCAAGGAAGGCTGCCGAGCCTCAGGCGGAAGAAGCTGCTCCTGAGCCCGCCGCGAGATCTGCTCGGACGCGCGGTGCTACCTCCACCACCATCAGCATGCCAGCCAAGTCTTCCACCAAGACGGCGACAAAGAAGTCGGTCAAGTTCCAGGAGCCGGACAAGGAAAACATCGAGCCTACTGTCAAGAAAGCACCAGTCGTCACGAGCATCCGAGGCCGGCCTGCCAAGCGAGGCCCCGTAGCTGCGCCCCGGCGTGCTCAGGGAGCTGAGAAGGAGAAGAAGCCGCTGAGCCCTAAGAAGGTGACCCAGCTGAGCATGATGGTCCGCGACGAGGAATCTGAGGATGAGCTTGCGGGTGGAGATTTCGTCCCCGTTCCACTCATGAAAAAGAACCCAATCAAAGCACCCAGCGTAGCTCCAAAGCAAGCTGAGTTGAGTCTTGCAGAGCCTGATGCAGATAGTACCATGCAGGTCAATTTTGACATCTTGAACCCCCCTGCTCTTACTACCGGCTTGGCCTCGCCAGCAAGGAGGCCCCCGACAACCCCAACCCCCTTCAAGGACTTGATGAGGTCTCCAGCGCGCAAGATCGCTGCCATTTCTTTCCCTGGATCAACTCTCAAATCAGCAAGCAAACCAACTGGTACGAGCTGCCAAACTTCATCCCTCAAAGGATCATTACTCCAGTCCCCTGCCAAGCGACCCCCATCACCCATCAAGGGGTTCCAGCCTGCTTCGACTTCAACTTTCGACTTCAACATCCCTACTTCTCCTACAAAGGTTTCCTTGCTGCAGTCTCCGGCAAAGCGAGCCATCCCTGGTTTCAAGCCTCTTCTGAACCTTCCTCAAAGAGAGCAGCTCAATGGTCTCGGTTCTCCTGCCGCAAAGTCGCAGACTCCATCTGCTCCATTGAGTGCACAGAGGCCCTCTGCGAAGCTGATGATGGACGAAGAGCTCCTTAACGACGGAGATGATGACCTCGATGAGATCGATACAATCAAGTTCCCTGGGCGGCTCTCGGCTGTTCTTCCACGTGAGGCTGATCCCTCAATGTTGGAGGCAGATGAAGATGTAGATGGGCAAGATCAAGAAGCCACCGACGCTAATGACGGCGTGCCAGAAGAGGCTCAAGCTGAGCCTTGTGAGGCTGAAGATGAACAAGCTGAGCCCGGAGAAGAGACAGAGAATGAGAATGAGGACGAGGCGGACGAGCAGGGACCGATTGTCTCATCTCCACAGGCCAGCCCTAAAGTCCATGACAGCATTTGCGTGAGCATTCCCGGTGAGGAGGAGGAAAGTTCTTCATCCGCCCCATCTACCCCATCAGCTTCTCCAGTGGAAGCTCAGAACCCCATGTACCAACTCCGTCCCAAGGACCTTTGCGACGGAACGGACTCGGAATCTGAGGATGAGTCAACAATACATCTTCAAGCTACTCCAACAACTTCGTCACTGTTTGCATCCAAGAGCTCTAGGCGGTCGACTCTAGGTTTCACTTCTCTGGCTGAGCAGTTTGGAGCCTGGAGCGCCACCAGTCCTACAAAGCCGACCCCTCGTGCGGAGACTCGTGATGAATCACCTAGTTTGGGATCGGGCGATGTATCTCCGGCAGTCGAGAACTTCTTTGAGGATGAAATGCATGTTCATCCAGGTGGCGAGGGGCAACCAGCAGTACCCTCAATCTCCATGGAGAATGGTACCGGTGAGGAGGCTTTTGATGACGTGATGATCTTGGATGAGGACATTGAGCTCGCTCAGGAAGCAGACGAGATGTCGCTCATGGAGCCTGAACAGCTTCCCAAGCCTGAAGCTCAGAGCTTTGACGACAGCCTTTCCGACGCAAGCCAGGAGTACGGTGATGAGAATCAGATGCCCATTGATCCTGCCATCGCAGCCACAACGACACCGGTGCGTCCGCTGATGAAGACATTCAACACCACGACCAAGGTCCCCCTGAAACCTGCAGATGACTCAACACCAAGCCCGGTGAAGAAGCGCAGCCTCAGTGCGTCCCGTGTGACGCTGAAACGGCCCTCTGCTGGCCTCGGCAGGAACGCCACCGTCATCTCTTACTCGCCCACCAAGAACAGAAGGTCTTCTCGTGCAGCTGATCGCTCTGCGATGCCAGAAACCCCGAGCAAGTCGGATATCTGGTCTACCATGGGCACTCCGGTCCGAACTCCCCGCAAGGATGTGGACCCTGCGCTGCTTCGCGGCGCAGTGGTTCACGTAGACGTCCACACGAGTGAGGGCGCGGATGCCAGCGGCATCTTTGTCGAACTCCTCACGCAGATGGGAGCCCGATGCGTAAAGACTTGGCACTGGAACCCCAACAGTCTCTCTGGTGAAGACGCCTCCTCGAGCAAGATTGGCATCACGCATGTCGTGTTCAAGGATGGTGGCAAGCGTACGCTCGAAAAGGTCCGCCAGACGGACGGTGTGGTCCAGTGTGTCGGTGTCAGCTGGGTACTAGAGTAAGTCCAAGCAGTGTTTGCCTCGTGGGTGTTTTGGATGACAGTGCGCTAACTTGATTGTAGCTGTGAAAGAGAGAACGAATGGCTGGATGAGTCTCCTTACTACATTGATACCAGCCTTGTTCCACGCGGAGGTGCTCGCCGCCGCAAGAGCATGGAGCCCAGGGCTCTCGCTAATAAGAACGGCACCCTGGTCGGCAATGGATCAAAGAGCACCAGCAGCTCCCGCGAGTCGATGGGACCACCCGAAACACCGATGAACCGCCGGCAGAGTACCGCGTGGATGCACTCGCCATCTGAAGGACTGGAGGGCCAGGAAGATGAGGAGGACGACATTGAGTGGTCCAAGTTCATTCTTACCCCTGTGCCGAAGACTCCGGCTCCGGAAGCAGTGGCAAGGTACGCCGATGAGATCCCGGGCACGCCGGGTGCCGATGACACGGAAGAGTTTGAGATGTCTCCCACAAGAGAGGAGCTTCTGACTCGAACATGCCCCCCAAAGAAGTCTGCTCTATTTCAGGACCTCGGACGTGGCATCCTGAGTAAGGATAAGGATGAGCAGGTCTTGCTGCGATTGATGGCCGCCCGACGCAAGAGTCTTCAGTTTGCTCCCAAGGTCGGAAGCCCGCTCTCCAAGGCTTGGGCATAAAGATGTCTCACCTAGTGCAAGGATCTTCCCATCCTCAACTAAAATGTGCGTCACCATGTACATTCCTGGTCATGTCAAAGAGGATGGGTCATTATATAATATCTAATTCATGACAACAAGGCGGAGGGTGCAGTGAGGGTCTCACCCTTACTCCCATCCGCTTATGCACGGAGCATTGTTTTACAGCATGCATGCTGCCTACTTGATGGTGTAGGTAGCAGGAGTTTTCAGGCGCACAAGGAATACCAGGTCAGGTAGTCAGTTGTTTGAATAGAATGTCAAAGTTTAGAACTTTTCATTGAAGGGTGTTTCCCAGTGAACGAGCATATTATAGTCTATGACATGATATACTCAGCTGTATTGCTGTTCCGACTAACAACCTAGGTATGCAGTAGGTGTCAGGTGCGCTGTATAGCGCTCATAGTGGGATTTATTCTTCCTTCCAATGCACAGAGACGTCATAGTAAGCCCAATGCCCGGTTCTCATTGTGAGATGGATACCCTATCTATAGCAAGGAAGATGAGATTTGAGAACTAGGAAGACGAAATACACGGATTGGGAAACTACAGGCTAGAAATAGCATGGAGCCAAGGTAATATGGTTGGGCGACGAGATTGTCTGGGTCTCAGTCGATTTGTGACGGTCTGGTCAAGAAGACACATGGCGCCTACCCCATACTCTGCAGGGCGGGGTACTCTGTTCTCTTTCTCTTCTCCCCTTTTCGTCTCAAAGAAGTACGGTAGGGATGGATAGACGAGGACGTCGTGTCTATGCCGTGACGTACGCCCTCATGGCGGCGACGGCGTCGCCGTCGTGGCTCTTGAGGAACTCGGTGGCGCGGGGCCTGGTCATGTCGAGCTGGTCGACGAGGAGGGCGACGTCGGCCGGGTCGACTTTCACGTTCCTGCGGGTCCCGGACCCGGAGCCCAGGCCGCCGAGGTTCTTCATGGCCTTGGTGACGGCCTCGTGGTCGACGGCCGGGGCGGGCGTGGCGGCGGTGGCAGAGGCGGAGGAGGAGGAGTCGAGGTTGGCGAGGGCGGAGGCGGCCTTGCGGTCCTCGGCGGACTTGGCGGTGGTGTTGCGCTCGTCTTCTGTGTCGGCGGGGGTGGGCTGCTGGTCGGCCATGTTGGGTGGATTTCGGTGTGTTTATGTGTGGTTTTTGAAGATTGGGAGTTTAGGTTGTTGGAGGGAGTTGAGAGCTTGGAGGTGGGAGAGCTTCGGTGAGCTATAGTGGGGGTGATCTGCTGCTCCGTGCGCTGGGGAGAGTGACAGGGGGCCCTGGTGGGATTTTAGTGAGCGGCCGCACGGCTACCTATAATTCAATCTTGATCTCGACTTCGTCTCCATCAGCAACGACAGGAGTCATGTAGCCGAGTTCTATATGATTTATTCGAAGTGTATAATGTCCAAACAAGAAAAATTGCGATTAAAAAGTCAACAGAATCTCTCAATACCAGCATAGTTCTCGTTACGGCAGCTCTGGTGGTCGGATTTACACCTCGGGTATAGGGTAGTGGCTTCCTTAAGCTCAACTCTTGAGTCAGCCCAGGCAGAGTTCTCTTTAAGAGCCCTTCAGATGAGTACGGATATAAAAAAATATTGCATATAATTTAAACGAATATAATGACATATTCTTGTCCCACACAATGCACTAACCATTTCAATTGGACAGTACTGCCCTTCAATAGGACGGTGGTCACATAGACGCCTCCACGGACCGCTTTGTCCCGCCTCCGACGACGCCCTGACTCACATCCCACTTTGCACCCAGTCATCATCCTCCGATCTCACCACCACCTGGCCTTCCCGCTCAATTGCAGCGAGAACAGGGCCATTGAGAAGAGACACCATCTCTCCCACATTCTCCAGCCGCAGGTTGTCCCGTCTCACGGCACTGCATCCTAAATACCACCCCTGCCCGGGCTTGAACCACTCACCCTTCGTGAGGACCAGCCCTACCTTCAGAACCATCATGTCAGACTCAGCTGCCGCAGCCTCATCCTCCTGGGATCCAGCATCCTGGCGCTCAAAACCTATCAAGCAGGCCCCCGCCTACCCGGACCCCAGCAAATTGACGTCCGCCGTGGACGAGCTCAACCGCCTGCCCCCCATCGTCCACCCCAATGAGATCCAGCGCCTCAAGGCTCACCTGCGCGACGTCGCCGCGGGCAAGGCCTTCCTCCTCCAGGGCGGCGACTGCGCCGAGCTGTTCGACTACTGCGAGCAGAACGCCATAGAGTCCAAGATCAAGCTGCTGCTGCAGATGAGCCTGGTGCTGATCTGGGGCTCGGGCAAGCGCATCGTGCGTATTGGTCGCATGGCCGGCCAGTATGCGAAGCCGCGGTCCAGCCCGACGGAGATTGTGGATGGCAAGGAGCTTCCCAGTTTCAGGGGAGATATCCTGAATGGGTTCCACGTTGATGAGCGTGAGCTGGATCCTCAGCGGCTGGTCAAGTATGAAAGCCCCTCTCGCTCGTACAACCCTGCCTCGATTTCTTTGTTCTTTTCTTTTCCTTGAAATAGGGAGACAAAGATGTACAGGGTGAAAGAAAAGGGGGAGATGAAGTGAAGTAGACCAAACAGCTAACCTTCTCCCAGGGCCTACCACTACTCCGCCGCCACCCTCAACTACATCCGCACCAGTATCGCATCAGGTATCGCGGATCTTCACCGGTCCCTTGACTGGGGCCTGGGCCACGTCCAGGACCCGGAGCTAAAGTCCAAGTACTCGGCCATCGCGAGCAGCATCCAGAGCACCCTGCGCTTCCTCAAGGCCATCGAGTCCAGCCAGTCCGGCCTCGACTCGGTCGAGCTCTTCACCAGCCACGAGGGCCTCCTCCTCGAGTACGAGCAGGCCCTGACGCGCCTCATGGAGAACTCGTCCGTGCCCGCGGCGCCCTCGGCGGCGCCCCGCAAGGCCTACTACGACACCTCAGCGCACTTCCTCTGGATCGGCGACCGCACGCGCCAGATCGACCACGCCCACGTCGAGTTCTTCCGCGGCATCGCCAACCCCATCGGCGTCAAGGTCGGGCCCTCGACCCCGCTCGCCGACATCCTCGACCTCCTCCGCACCCTCAACCCGGACCGGGAACCGGGCAAAGTCACCCTCATCACCCGCTACGGCGCCGGCAAGGTCCGCGACCTCCTGCCCCAGCACATCCGCGCCGTCGAGGACTCCGAGTACGCGCGCACAGTCGTCTGGCAGTGCGACCCCATGCACGGCAACACCCTCTCCACGCCCACGGGCATCAAGACCCGCCGCTTCTCAGACATCTACGCCGAGCTGCAGGACACCCTGCGCATCCACAAGGAGCAGGGGAGCCACCTCGGGGGGCTGCACCTCGAGCTGACAGGCGACGCCGTGACAGAGTGCCTCGGCGGGAGCGAGGGCCTAGTCGAAGATGACTTGTCTACCAACTACACCTCCTTCTGTGACCCGCGGCTGAACGAGAAGCAGGCGCTCGAGCTGGCGTTCTTGGTTGCTGATCACCTTGCGCAGGAGGGTGATGCCTAGATTGGGGCTGAGTGTTCATCCGAGTTGGATTTTCGTTTGAGTTGGAAAAAAAGAAAAGAAAAAGGACGTAACAAAAGTTGATTGGTTTCATGTATATAGTCCAGGAATGGGGTGAAAAAAGTGTGAATCTTGAAGAAGTTGGAAAATATCAGAAACTCTTAGGGAGGACATTTAACAGCAATATAGCCTGAGGAGAATCTACCAGGGTGAAAAATAGTAAAGCTACGAAAACTATCATCAGTTTCCCACCTCTTTACAAATGTACAGACGAAGAAGAAAACTGAAAGATTGAGATCGAAGCTCCAACATAATATATTGTCGTTACCGTCATGCTATCATACTCGAGGTGGTTCCTTTCTAAATGGCTAGGCAAAGGGTTCTCTCGTCTCGTCCCATCTCTTCTTTCCCCACTCTCTCCTTCGTTCTCCAAAAATAAATTTCATGTTTCTATCCCGTCATAACCTCCCCAACTCACCCCTCCTACCTTTCCCCTCGACCTAGGGGAGGGAGATGGTCTGGGCGACCTCGAACGTGTCGCCCTTGTCGAGCTGGTGCCAGCCGCCGACGGTGCCGGGCTCCACGCAGACGAGGTTCTTCCAGGCGTCCTTGGGCTCGAGGTCGGCGGTGGCCTTGGCCTTTTCTACCCAGGGGTTGAAGACGACGGCGTTCTCGAGGTTCTGGCGGACGATGCTGAACTTGGGCTTGCCGGCCTCGGTGATGACGAGGGGCTCGCTGGGGGGGATGGCGGGGGTGTAGATGCGGTCCGTCTCGCCGGAGAAGGTGACGGCGCCGGACTGGGCCTTGGTCTTGAGGCCGTCGACCTTGTCGATGTAGGAGGCGTCCTCCAGGCCGGTGACCTGGACGTCCTCGATGTTCTGGGGAGATTTGGAACGAAGTTAGCAAAAACCGTTGTGTAACCGGAGGAATCGGCGATCGGAATTGGGCAGGTGGGGGGAGGCGGGGGGGTTGTCTTACGTTGACCTTGAAGTATGTGTGCAGCAGCGTCTGGAACTCAAAGGAAGTCTCGCCGTCGTTGGAGATGACGAGGGTGGTGACGAGGTTCTTGGGCTCGAGGGTGACGCTGTAGAGCAGGGTGTACTTGTACGGCCAGAGGGCCTGGATGGTCTCGTCGACGTTGTCGGAGGACAGGCCAAAGTCGAGCTTGACGCCCGAGGTTGCGCCCTCGGAGGTCGACTTGCCCAGGAACTCCCAGCGCGAGTTTCGTGCGAAGCCGTGCTGGGGCAGCTTGGCGACGGGGGGGTGGTCAGAGGTGCCGAAAACCTAGATGAGAGTAATGAAACGAGGTCAGCCTTGTGCCTGCTTGGGGTTCTATGCGACCGGAAAGCAGGAAGGAAGTCGTACCGGGAAGACGAGCGGGATGCCGCCGCGCGCAGGGCCAGAGCCGTCGAGCTTGGCGGCGTCGCTCAGCCATAGCTTCTCATCGCCGGCTGCGTCCTTCCAGCTCAGGACGGTGGCGCCGTGGAGCAGGACGTCGATGCTCTCGCCGGTGGGGAGCTGTGCGGCGACTCTGGAGTTGTCACTTGAGACAGTGACTTGGGCTTGGGGCTCGGGGCCGGGCGTGGCGGGAAGGGTGGATGGCTTGTTGGCTCTGTTCATGGTAGCGGATGGCGGGGTGGATGTGAATGAGGTACGGGGAGGAAGCTAGTGAGTTGTGCGAGCCTCGTGGAGTGCCCTTGGGTGCAGGGAGTGTGATGCGGTTCGAGGAGGGGCTGATTGATGCCGGTCGTTTGCCTACTGTAACAGATGTGAGCTGGGCTGGGCGTGGGCGAAGCTGTTGAAGACGAAGGTGGTGATGGTGATAAGTGGAAGTGGATGCAGGGTAGCTCCGAGGGGTAATTAAGGTAAAGTGAGGCGAGGCACCAGAAGCGGTTGGATTTGGATTAGGCCAGAGTGGGGGATTGAGGATGATGGAGGAGTTGATTACTACCCATTACCAACCAGCTGTAGCACCGGCCTTACCTTAGGGAGGTAGGACTAACGTCGCCGTACGACAAATGTCCCGGTTTTGGGGCTATTTTTGGTAGCGTTCGTAATTGCTGCCAGAGCTCGGGCGGGGTCGTGATGCTTGCGGATGGATTTGCTCTCAGCCCAGCTGCAATGCCACGGTGCTGACGGGCAGTTCAATGCGATGCGGATGGGCAATGCGGACGAGTCTGCACACGAGTGAGGCTTGCTAGACACAGGAGACGAGTAGCGACGCCCGCGCGGGCTAGAAGATGAGACGTTTATATATCTTGTGTCAGCGGCTACTTGAAACCATCGCCACTCGCCCGTCCAAGAGGCGAGAGTGGCCATGTTTCAGGTCTCGGCCAAGCTTCAACAAGTCCCTTTTCCTGCCGTATGGCAACTTGTAGAACACTTAATGCGATCGCATGAGCAGGCAGAATCTTGGTTTATCTTGGTTTAACCCAGGCTGTCAGTTTCAGCAGATCTTGCCTCGTTAAGGCGGCGAACCGGGTCGCAGACCAGTTGCCTACTATGAACACTCCACTTCAAGTCTACGGGACTTCGGGATCCATGGCTTCACGGTGTTGCGCTGGGTTCCGTTGCGTGTGTTTTAAAGATCAAATGGTATATATTTAGGGAGTCTTCGTTGATCAAAGAAGACCCCTGGGTATCTATTCTCCCCTAGAAGGATTCGTTTATCGCCTTCCTCCCTCCCTCCTGGGTGTATATGCTGTATTTTTGCCGGCCATCCCAGCCGTAAGTGTGTTTCCGACTGTTGGCCACCACGGGCCTCTGAAACCATCTCTCTGTCCCAACATAACCGAGGGCTCAACGCGCCGGGCGCTGAAGGTCCCCTCAAGAGCGTGAGCCGCATCTATGCAGAGAGCACACCCTTGCCGGCAGTTCCGTCATCGGAGCTATTGTTGTGGTGCTGCGCCTCAGGCTTTCCATCGGCCTCTTCGACGCTGATGAGCAGCTCGCCGTTCTTGCCATAGCGACGGGGCTCGATCCTGGCCTGCTCGACGACTGAGAAGGCACCGCCAAGACCCTTGACCTTCTGGAAGATGCTGTCCATCTCCTCGAGAGATCGATAGGCGGTCTCGGGGAAGAAGAAGTAGACGCAGGGGATGATGAGGAAGTTGATAACGGCGAAGATGGTGTAGGTGTGGTGCTTGATGTTCTGGAAGGAAACGGGAGTGATCATGACGACCTGCAGGCAGTTGGTGTTAGCTTTCTCGTATCGTGGAGCACATGGTGGTGAGAACATACCATAAAGTTGAAAATCCAGTTAGAAGAAGTGGACAGGGCGTTAGCTGGGGCGCGAGTTCGAAGGGGGGTGATCTCAGCAGGGTACAGCCAGGTCATGCCCAACCAGCCAACAGCAAAGAAGGTGTTGAAGACGAAAAGGAAGACAATGCCGGCGATCTGGTAAGGCAGCTCGCCCGTGACCGAGTTTACACCAGCGAGGATGGCCATTGTAGCAGCCTGGCCAATGGAACCGAACAGCATGAGCTTGCGGCGACCGACACGCTCAACCAGGAAGACGGCAGGCCACGAGGCGATGAAATACTCGGTACCGTTGAGAGCGGCGAGAAGGCGGGACAAGTCGTGGCTCATACCAATATTCTTGTAGATCTCGGCGGCGTAGTAGGTAATGAGGTTGATACCGCAGATCTGCTGGAACATCTGGTTGATGAAGGCAAGAATGGTACGGTGCAGTGTACGGTTCTCGTCGCGGGCAAAAACCTCAGCGTATGAACCCTTGCTCATCTCCATGACGGTGTCCTTGATGGCCTTGTACTCGTTTTCGACATATTTGTCATCGGATTCCTTGTTGGCGATACTGGCAATGACATCCCGGGCCTCATCTTCGCGACCCTTGAGGATGAGCCAGCGGGGAGACTCGGGTAGGGACAGAACGAGCGCAAGAATAGGGAGACAGAAGAAGATCTGGAACGCAAGAGGGAATCTCCAGGCGACAGAACCGGGGGCAAAGGCCATTCCGTAGTCAATCCAGTAGGAGATCATGATTCCACCAGAAATCAAAGCGCCCTCGATCATGACCAGCTTGCCTCGTTTGTGCGCCGAGCATGTCTCAGACTGCCACATGGGGACGGTGGACGTGTTTCCACCGTTCCCTAGGCCTGTGATGATTCGACCGATGATGAAATGGGGCAGAGTGGTAGCAGAGGCCTGGAGAGCAGCACCGACGACCATGATGGCAGTACCGAGGAAGATCATCCTCCTGCGTCCGAGAGCGTTACCGATGAAGATTGTGATGATGGCACCAATGAAACATCCCAAGTTGTACGAAGCAACAGCGATACCCTGGTAGGTTGATCTGGCTGAGGCAGAAGCCGTCTCGTCGGCCATGTCGGGGTCAATGGTAGGAAACTGCTCCAGGAAGATGGGCAGGGTTAAAATGCCACCCATGACACCCTGATCTGTCGGCAGTGCTGGTCAGCGTCCGATACCCGTGGCGGAGAGGAGCAATTCTGGGCCAGGAGATGGCGAGACGTACCGTAACCAAAGAGCAAAAAGTCCATTCCGGCAATGGTACTGATGGCCCAGTTGAGGGACTTGCCCTTCATGCCAAGAAAGGTCTTGACCATGGTGGGCAGTGTTGGGACAGCGAAGCTTGTCCTGCTGTTCTCTGGGAAAGATGTTGATGAGAGGAGGAGGAGGTGGTGAAGTAAATTCCTGATTGAGTTCCCAGGACTTACAATTTAGGTTCGTTGAAGAACAAAAAGGGATTGGGGGGATGCACAGTCCGGCCAGAGACCTGGAATGCAAGGGGAGGGATCTTTATATGTCTCGAGACAACCGCACCACCAGGCCGGTCTGGCACAGGTTCGGACCAAACAACGGTGGCCAGAGCCATGGCCGTATCGACGGGGTTCACATGGGGATGATGACGAGGAGTGGATGCAGAAAGCCGGAAGCGCATGTGGAATATGGAGACGCGGCGGACCTACTTTTGTTTTGGTTTTAGGTCGAGTGTGAAGTCGAACGTCTTTTGTACGCTAATTGACGGCAGTGTGAGATGCCATTGAAAGCGGGAGCACATTAGATAATACGTCTGGCCGTCCCAGACACGGGCGTGGCGTGGGAAGCTCAGGCGTAGGTGTATGAGGGAGATGGATATATCGATGTAGGTCGACATCCTTAGCTCGACCTTCTTGGTTATCGTCTGCTCCCTATCAAGGCACACAGAGAGAATGAGAGATGCTCATGGACTGCAGCAAGAGTCGAGTCAAGAGCAACACAACATTGGCCGAATTTACATCCCAAGGTAAGCAAGTAGTATTCGCCAAGCCCACATGCGGTTCTTGTTCCCTGCCTGATCCTGGGCCTCTGGTTCGCAGAAGTGGATTCTGGCGCTGTTCCCATGGCAGAGTTTTAGCCCGTCTTCCCTCCTCCTCGGTGTGTCTCATGTGTGAATGTTGTTTTACGCATTGCCTGGGTATGCGCCGCAGATGACGGGCCTGGAGAGCAGTACGTCATTCGTGGAGATGGCCCTACGCTTGGATGCACCTTGGAGAGGAGCTGTCAGGATCCATTATGGGAACCAAAGACCCGTAATTCTTCTCCAGTCTGAAAGTACCATCCCAACAGGCCTGGGTGCTTTCAAGGTAGCCCTGTAGGTTGGAACCATATGCAGTGTGGTGGGCAATGTAACAGGCCCGGGTCCGGTCGACTCGTAGTACGGCGTCAAGTACACACACAGTGCACCGCGAGTGTCTCGGTCACTGTCCGCAAGAGGCTTCTTTCGGGGCTTGAGCATGTCTTAGCTAACAGGTGAAAATGATCGCTCGCCTTTTGAACCCCGAGGCACATATCCAGTCAATGAGGCTAGCCTCGAAGACCTTGGGATCTAGAATGTAGATCTCAGACACTCTCCTGTCTCAAAGACAGGATCGTCTCACCTGGTATGACTAGTCAAATCTAAATCCCTTCCTACACTTTAGGACACGTCTGTTAATACATTCAACCGCCATTGAATTGCCTGTCTTTCTGGATGTGGATGTCCGTAGCCGTCCATCTCCCTGCCTCAGGGCTGAGACGGAGCCTACGGGCAGGCAGCAGCAATCAGAGCGATGCTATTGGGTTGGTGACGGCAGGATAATTAAGCGGCGTATGAAAACCGGGGCCTTGCTCGAGGTGCAATCACCGCGACCAGTTCCGCCAGATAGACGGACGTCCCTGGGGTGATCAGTCGCTGACTAGAGGGTGCCGTCCCTTGGAGTGAGGCGAGTCAGTGGCCGACGGAAGGACGAGAAAGGCAAGTCGCGAAGACGAGCATGCAATTCTCCTCATTAACTTAAGCATAACCGGCCGCTGAGGGCTCGGGGAGGGCCTGGACCTTCTAGGCCAGCACTCCGAGTATGGGGGGATACGAGGCTTTTCCCCTCCCATTTCCCGCACCGCCTCTCGCTCAGCGTTAAGGTTATTTGGCATGAAGGAGAATGAGGAGACTCCATCTTGCAGGCTCTCTCCCCGGGGTCACTGTCACACCCCGCCATCTGCTACCCTCCTCCGCCTCCTCCCCAGCAACTTGATGCTATCGCCATCCACCCCGTGGACATAAGCACGAGGCCGATTGCCAGCCCGAGTGTCGATTGTTCCTCTTCCTCCTTCTCTGCCTCACACGTCGTCGGTGTTTTTATGGCTCCCCTGTCAGGTGGAGCAAGGCCAAGCGATGTGGGCATCCGACCCGGCAGTCGACCAACGATGATCGTTTCCTATCAGCGCCGCGGTGTGCATGAATGAGAAATCAGCAGGGTCTAAATGGCACAGGCTGTGCCGCTGTAGTTAGAATGGCTCACGGGACAAGCCCGAGTAGCCGTGTGGCACCTTGGCATATCGAAAATCGCGTGCAGGGTCCCGTCTTGGCCCTGAGCCTCAGCGACGACGGCTGCCTCTTGTCATGCTCATTTCTCGTAGTCTCGGAAAATGCCTCTCTGGGCTGTGTCTCGATTCACAACAAGGCCTGTTTCAAGCACTGTCCTTGTTCTGCTGCTTCATTAATCAATTGGGTGGCGACGATCACTGCACAATGCCCCCCAAATGAGGCGCACAGAAAATTCTGCTGTTTAATTTTATTTCGTCTATTTCTCGCGCACCTTCCTGTGGATGGGAAACATCATCACTCGATCCTTCCCTGACCGACGGCGAACTTGACGTCATTCCACATCTGGCGGACCGATTCGACACCTTCAATTTCTCTGCCTCTGCATCCAACAGGAACAAGAGCAGATGAAGTGCTTTTGTTTGCCAATCGGAATATCAGCCCAGCTCGGCAAATCCGCCTGTGGCTTGACTGAGTCATTAGCTCTCCATTCGCATTGCCCAATTGAGGAGCTTGGCATCCATCCAAGAAGTCAGATCGAAGCCATGATCGAACGAGTCCAACGCCACCATCATCATCGTCATTGCTCGGTACAAATGGCGCTATGGAAGATGGGTTTTTTCATCTTCCCCATCCGCTGAGGCATCCCTACATGATGCTTGGATGCTGCCTTTGTCTTGCATGGATGGACGTGATACACGCATGGAACCTGCCCCTCCATTCCCTTCCGTCTAGGCAAATTCTCGGCTATCCATTTTACACAACTTTGCTCTCCGAATGCGTCCGTATAGTAGGAGCACGGATACCTGCTGATCAGCCGCGAACGCCTTCGTTGTATGTAAGGGCCGGCGCCCATTGGAGATTGCCCGTTCCGGTTTGCAGCGCCCCGACTTTAGGAACATGGCTGCCGGGGCTGTGACCAAGCAGAGACATACCCCAAGATGGCATCCCGATCTCTCTCCGGACCATTGGACTGACCCAGCCTGCTCCAGGTTTCTCCCCTCATTCCAACACCAACAAGCACCAGCCGAAATCATGCTGCCATCTAGATCGGTCGAGAAGAGGAAGCAAAAGACGACCCATGCTGCAATGTCATGACAAGGCTTGAGGCCCGTGTCAGGTCTCTCATGTGTGGTCCATCCAATCCACTCACACCCCCGAGCCTGCTCCACCCAATATAACATCAAAAGATCCGCCACGGCAAAAGATGCCGAACACAATGAATGAAAAAATGCGCTTCTGCAAAAAGTCGGCGGTCACCCTTGCTTGCCCTTTCCCTTGGAAATCTCAGCCCTCGCCTTCGGCTTACTATAACAGGTAAGACGGTCCTGTGTGGCAGACAAATGACCACACATTCCACGGCAGCGGTCCAGTGTCCGAGCCAAGACCGTCTGCTTTCTGCGTCAAGCTATAGGTTTCTCACACAGTACAGTACTTGCCGCACGCGATACGCCATTTAGCAACCGTCGTGCATTTGCGCGCACGACCTCATTTCCCAGGTTCGTTCCAGACCATCTTTCGGCCGGTGCTGACCACCCTCGTTCCTCCACCTTGTGTTCCCCGGCCTGATCTAACCCATGGGCAACGCCGCAATGGAGAGGCGGTTGACTGAATAGGCCTGGGGAACTTGGGGGAGGGGAATGGATCCTGGTTCATTGTGATAAGAGCGTATCGCATCAGAACTCGTCAACAGAAACTGTGACATAAGATATGAGATGAGATGTAGGCTCAATTCTCTTTCTGCAGGAAGGTTTGTACATGAACTATTTGCTACATTCGCCATTTGGCATCGTATCAACTCGCCGTTCAACACGCCCCATCCGATGAGTCCATACACAGGATGTCTCTCCAGGGAACTCCAAACAATTCGGTGGTGAAAAAAGAGATTTAAACAATATATGTAATAAAGAAACCAAAGTGCGTAGAGCTAATCACATGTGTTTATTCGTCCATGTCCAAATATGCAATTGTAAGAAACGGCCCCCCTTCCATATGTTTCCTCCTCTTTATCTTTGAGAAGCCGCATGCCCAAAAAAAAAATGAAAATCTCATCCAAACGCCCCGAAAATGCCACTCCAACTCCGACGCTGAGTCTTGCAGTCGATTTGCTCTTTTTTTAATGCTCCCTTCTAGGCGCTTTGGGTATTATGTTTCGATGCTAATCACGATTGTCTCCCGCGCTCCTCTGCGGCGTAGAGTGCGCGCTTCATGTCCATGAACATGTCTTCGATCTTGTTCACCTCCCCTCGGGTCAGGGATGCGGTGCGCAGCAAGTCCAGACCGTTGCCAAGAGTCTCCATGATCGAGTCGGCTTTAGGCTCTTCAGTCTTGCTGATCTCGGCCGGGACTTCCTCTGCCGCTTCTTTCTCGCCGGACATCTTATCCGTGGATGTCACCTCGGTAGAGTCCTCGATGGTTGAAGGTACTTCCTTAATGTGCCCGCCATCCTCGGATTGAGAAACAGCATTGGACTCGCTCAATAATTGCGACATCAATTCCTCGTCTGTGTCCTCTGCAGCCTGGGCCTCCTCGAGCTTGTTTGAGGCCTGGCTCATCGCCTCCTCTCTCTCCTTCTGCTCCCGCTCTTCCTTGCGCGCGCTTCTCCTAGTCCGGACGCCCACAGGTGTAGATGGGGCAGACCTCTTCTTAAGAGGTGGCAGTTGAACCTCGGGTTCCTCTTCAGCCTTCACTTCTATCGCCTCGGGCTGCTCTTGCTCTGCCTCTTCTTGTATGTCCTGTTGCTGCTCGCTTTGCTGCGAAACTGAAGCTTCTTGAGCTTCTTCCTCTTCCTTCTCTTCCTCGACCCGGGAGGTCATCGGAGTAGATGCCACTTCAACCGACTTGCGCTTCTTGCGATGGCCCGGAGGCCTTCTGCCACGCTTCCTCTTCCTCTTTTTGTCGCTGGCCTGGAGTTCTGCCCGATCGAGTCCCATTTCCAGAGGTGTTGACGGAATGACAGTCGGGGTGCCCTCTGCCATAGGGCTGTCGTCTGGTTCATTCTGCGTCTGGGCGGACTGGACCTGCTTGACGGGAGTGACTGCCTGGAACTCGCCAATGGCTGTCTTGGCTCGCTTCGACTCGATTTCGTCGATGAACTTCAGCATTTGACTCTCATCTCCATCGCTAAGGGCAAATGATACATCTGCTGCCGGCTTGTTTGCTGCCGCTGGCAATGCTCCGTCCGAACCCTTCTTTGCGTCCGTAGGCTCTTCCGCCTCAGCGTTAGGGGCCTCTGAGACATCGCCAGATTGCTTTTTGTGCTGCTCCGTGACGTCCTCCAAGACCTCTCGCCTCTTCGGGGTAGAGTCATTCTCAGCTGCATTCTTCTTTGCTGCCGCTGAGGATCGTCTGGTAGAGCGGGTAGTCATGCTTCTAGCTTTAGACTTCCGCTTCTCCTTGGGTTGAGTACTCTCGGCGGTCAGTACCACGGGCGAAACCCCAAGATCTTGAACCACTTGCTGGCGACTGGAAACCGGAGTGCCTGGAGGAGAGGAGAATTCCCACCCCTCCAGGGAACTTCCAGCACGTGAGCGAGACCGAATTTCGGACAACAACGGACAAGGGCGGGGCTCGATTGGTGAAGATGGAGGTTCGTTTGCCTCATCCAGAAGAATGACTTGACCGCGTCGAGGGGTCGGCGTTGAGCTGATAATCTCTTCATATGATGCTGCTTTCTGGGGTGTGGCATTCTCCACTGGTATCCCCCTGCTCGATGGGACCACGTCGTTGTTGCTTATCGCTTCCTCGTTATCCGTCGTTTCAACCTTGGATAGGTTAGATGACATGACTGTGTACAACCCTGCCTCTTCTGCTTGTCTTGCTCGTGTCTCCTTCTGTCTCTCCGTCAGGTGCTGAGACTCCTCGGGGACAGGGGAAGACGATGCAATAGGCTCGAATTGAATCTGCGAATTGTCGTGGCGGAGGCGAGGAGTGCTTGTTCGACTAGACCTTGTTACACGTTTCTTAGGTTTCGCTTGGTCTAAGTCTGGCGCCAGCTGCAACTGTCGCTTCCTGGTCACCCTGCTTTTGGATAGCTCGGGTAGGCTAGTTGGAACCATCGGCAACGGAGAGTGGCCCTCGTGAGTTACTCCTGATGATAGAGCAATCGGGCTTGGGGGCCCCTGTGAGGAAATGAACGAGGTGGCTTGTGCGCCAAACTCTCCACTTGACGGTACCTCCCCTGGGACGACGAGATCAGCCTTGGGCCGCAGAGAGGAGACGATCGATTTCAGACTGTCTGAGCACACCAGCTCCTCCTCATCCTTCACAATGACGTTCCAGGTTTCTACGGCGCTGTTCACGATAAAGGCATGTCTACTCTTGAAAGCTGCTTCCAGTGCACCCTCGACTTGGTCGAACTGGGTCTTGGTAAGCTTTTCATGCCGGCTCAACTCAGCACACAACTGGTTCCAGATTTTCCGTACCTACTCACGGGTTAGTCAATGGAAATGTAGCACAAAAAGAGCTAATTTTTAGTTTGACTTACAATAGTGCTCAGCGGAGATTCATCATGAGAAGGTAGCTGAGACTTCTCATCTTGGAACCAGGCTGACAACCCATCTTGAACTCTTGTAACGCATTCAAATCCCATCAGCGAAAATGAATCACCAATTATGAAGTTTACGGCAGTCAAAAACTCCGCGATCTGGCCTTCAGCATCAAGAGCAGCAAGGTTGTCGTAAAAGTATTTGAGTTCGAAGTTCAGAAGCTTGTAAAGATGATCATAGAGGTCCACGGAGTTTTTCGACATGGGGACGTCGCCCCAGAGTTTCCGTCGGACGACTTCAAGCGCCTTCTTGTCATGCGGAAATTTGACAGTCCCCAAGATAGCATTTATTGCCTTGATGTCTTTGGGGGACTGCTGTGGCAGCTTGCCCTGAACCTGGCCCAAAAGCACCTTGGCCAGTGGATCTGTCACAGTCAATGCACGACCGGCATCGCCAAGCTCAGCAGTGACATGCTTGGAAAAGGAATCAAAAAACGTCAACCAGTGCTCAATAGGGAGATTGGGGTATGATGAGAACCCAAGCTCCAGGTGGGACACAACTTCGCGATATTCTGGCCCAAGGATTTTGTCTGTGCTAGGGGGCCCTGCAGCAGCGCGTTCAGTGTATGATGAATGGAGAGATTGGGCGCCTAGAAGCCAGGGGGCAAATGGCGAAAGCGAATTTGAGGGCAGTAGTTGTAGAAGCTCGCGAGTAAGGTCCGCCCTGAACTTATCTGGCTTGCCAACAAGGAATAGGCTGAAGGCAGACAGGAAGAAATCTGCAAGGTGTTGATCGTCCGAAGCGCCTGCAGGAACAGCAGATAATATGGAGAAAAGATGAAGCAAGGAGTTCCGTACCAGACCCTTGGACTTTTCCGACCGGTCGGACCGTTGAGATGGGGTGGCAATTGGCTCAAAGGTATTTGCGACTGTCATCGACAACCTCTTCTCTGTGAATGGCAGGTGCCCTAGCCCGTTTATCAAGGTCTTGAGAAGATTCAGCACGCTTGGGTAGAACCTGGAAACTAGGATATCGTCGCCTTCTAGGCAGCCTTGAGACCAAATACGAGATACTAAGCCAAGAGCGCTGGCCATGAACTTTGCCGTGTCCTCGGAGACTTTGATATCTTTGGCTGAAGCAGCGGCGATCGATCCCACCAATGCTTGCCATAGTCTGTATGGCAAACTCTCCATATTCGCCATATCCAGAAGCTTCTTTTCTAACAAGGGCCCCACAAGCCTGAAGATTCTATCGGAATTCTTCCTAATCCATTTAGAATCAATGGAGGGCAGCTCGTCTGGCTTGACTGGCGGTAGATCCATGATGCGGTCCTCCCTCCACACAACCGGCGTCGACACGTCTAGCAAGCCAATGAGAATCCGTGATGCCTGCAAAAGATCATCTGGCCGCACTTCACGGGTGCCATCTAATCCGGCCAGCTGCGATATAAAGGGGTGCAGCGCACTGTCCCAAAACATTTCTGTTGGTGCAATCCTGTCGTGTCCGGGGCGAAGTCCATAGTAGCAGAGTGTGCAGAAAACCGAAATCACCGTCTTCCGCAACTTCACATTCTCCTCGAGTTGCTTTGCGGTGGCCTTCCGTCGGATTTGACTCAGTAGAGGCTGGCACAGGGTGCCTAGTAACTTTGGTGTTGCTCGGTTATCGTGGAGGGAGAGATAAATGTATCTACTCCAAGCATAGTTTGCCTCGATTTTAGTCCTAGTGTCGGAAGAATTGAAGGCGGATTGAATAAGAGCGAACCAAGCCCCATAGTCCTCCCATCTTTCAAGAGGGCATCGGAGGCATAAAATAACAACGCTCCAAACTTGTGGCACAGTGGCTGAAAACTGCCTATCCTTGACCATCTCTTGAAGGCGCCGGATGTAAAAATCGGAATATCTTTGGTCCTCATTGGTAGTCTGAAGGATTTCGATCACTTTTCGAAACAGCTGGTTTCCGGTCCGCAGCGTATAACCCGCCTCCATACCCAGGTTGATTGCCTGCGTCTGGATATCGCGAATAGTACTAAGCATGTCAGTGAACATGTCCTTTAGCCAATCCGAATGCGCCAGCATGTGCACCCGCGATTGCTTGACCAGTCGTCGATAAATTTGGATGCGACTCATGACAATACTTTTGCCCATTAAATGATTCTCTATCTTGTGCAATGATGCCACAAGTCGTCCGACCCGGTCAAGCGTCATCACCTTGGCCGAGAAATTCTGGAAAGCAACGACCTGCATCAAATGACGAGCCACATCCTTTGATAACGTGGGATCCTCAAAACAGCGAATAGAGTGGTCGATAATGAAGACGGCGAAGTCGGATGTGATGGTAGAAGCGATAGCGGGAAAGTGTAGAAAGGTGGCAAGGAGACCAAGGGCATGGTTCACAAGAGTCGTATCGGGGGAGCCATCTTCCTTCTTGGAGGTAATGTCGCGCTGGATAAATTGCATGAGCAAGCTCATTTTATCCTGCAGCGCAACTCTATCGGGAAGATTGTTGGAAGTCTTCAATGCTCGGCTAAGCATCATGTAGGCATCTCGTCTAAAGTCGCGGTCGGCTCCGGCAAGTTGTTTGATGGTGGAGTCGAGCATCTCTGTGATACTGGCCTGTCCAAGCGAACCATCCAAACTGCCGTCCCAGGATGATGCGAAGATGTTGGATGATGGTGTTTGTTTCAGAATGCCTTTGATCGGTTTTGACGATGCTGATGACGGAGCAGACAATGGGGAGGATTTCCGTGGCCTGTCTTTGTTGTAGTCGGGTGGCTCTTGGTAGTCGGTGTGCGTTGACCACTCCACGCGTTTAGCAGCCTGGCTTGACCGATTCGAATTCGCAGTCGCTGACGGGGAAGGAGATATCGCTGTTGGCGGAGTGTGGAGGCTAGCTCGGGGTTGAAGCCCAGGTGATTGACCAGCAAGTGACTTCAGGCCCAGATCCAGGGCGCCTTCACGTCGGTGAAGATCGCGAGGAGGCGTCGGTGGCCGAGGCAGTAGCGATTCGATGACTGTAGGGCCTGATGCTGAAGATGCCATGACTGCGGCCAAACAGTGAATGGCAATCTTGGTCAGCTAGGTAAGTGTGACAGAAAATTTCGAGAGCATTTAGATCAAGTATCGTTCTTGGATCGAATTGGCAAACATCAGATATCCAAGTGGATCATTCCGACGAGGAGAAGGTCAGATACGAAAAGCAGTTGAAAGGTACGATTAAGGGTTGTCGGCAATTGGACCGGAATCTGGACGCAGATTTGGCGTGCCCACTCTTCATCTCATCTCAAAAAGCGCCAACCTCTTTCTCAACGCGACCGTTTCACGAAGCACGCGTTAAGAGCTTGACTAGCGCGAACAGCTTTCAGCTACTGTGGCGAGTGCATGTGGCTGGGGCTTCATATCCGCATATTACTAATCAATTGTGGCAAATCATGTACCTGCAGCGAAAGTGCCCGCTCCACCCTGCACGTGGATTCCGTCGCAATGAGAGCGCGCTAGAGTTCCAACAAGATCGCGTCGCAACTGGAGCAAGGTCTCTCACGCGTTCATCACACATGCCTACTCTCACAGAACTCGAGCATAGCAAGGGCAACGTTCATTGTTGAATATTTGCCTTTTTGTGTGACAATTTTCCTTCTCCCTCATGCCTTCCTCTCTTTACTTTGACAAGGCTAAACGATCCAACTACGTGTGACGTTGTTGAAAAGACTACCTATTCAGAATTGAATGAGATTTGAAGTCAGTTGCGCAGCCCCGAAATCAAAAGTGAAGGTGCATTTTTTCCCTTAAAAATTATCACCTAGCCGCAGCTCGCAACAACCCTTCCCAGTTCTCAGCTCACCTCGTCTTCATCCACAAACCACACTTGCAACTTTCATCCCACACTCCAGCATTCGCAACATTTCCACCTCACATTATCGCAAAACCAGCATCAACATTTGGCTTGGTCCCCGATAATTCCTCTGGAATTGTGATTCTCCTCCAGATGGCTCAAACTGTGTTCATCGGCAGGGAGCTTGAAGTTCCAGCCGATGAATTTGTACCGTACGAACGCGCCATCGTAGAAGTGTCTCTCTCTTGTTCTCTGCTAACATTCAATCAGTTTCGCCGCCGGCAGCCAGATAAACCCAGCAGAGGACCTAGACATGTTCCTCCATCTGTCAGATTCTAGAAGCTCAACAGCAAGCACTAAATCGCCACTTGACGAGAGTCGGCAAACCAGCCCTGCAGCTCTCCCTTCCTCAGTGGAGCCAGTGATTGCTGCATCCGAAAAGAGTGATCAGGGTGAAGAATCTATCAAACCAGCCGAGCCCACCCCGGCTCGGAAATCCGCCAAAAAAATGAAGGCTACCAAAGAAGTTAAGACGCCGTCGAAGGCGTCACAGCGTCGAAATCGCCGGACACAGATGGAGATTTATGGCACCGGGGCTCCGCGACGCTCGGGCAGAGTGCCACCTACAGCTCCTGTTCAGACTTCCAGAGCAGCCACTAAGAAGACAAGTGTCTCCAAGGCAGACGCCTCGAAGAAACGTGGTCGGAAGAAGGCGCAAGCAGGCGCAAAGCAGCAAACCCCAAAGTCGGGCCAACAGTGGGAGGTTGAATCTATTGTCGACTCACAGATCGATGCAGACACGATGGAACACTTCTATAAGGTGAAGTGGAAGGGATACTCAAGCAAGGAGAACACTTGGGAGCCAAAGTCGAATCTTGTAGGCTGCCAGGATGTCCTGAAGGAGTACGAGCGGCAAAAGAAGAAGAAGAAATAGTCACTATCATCGGCATGAAGGCGCAGTATACGTCCCGGGCGCCACTCTTAGGATTGGAGAGGAATCGGTTGTTTTTTTTTCACTATCTTCGTTTTTGTCGTATACTAATTAAGTCAGCCAAATAGGGCTGTCGTCGCTGCTATCCAGTCAAGTACGCCTTTAGACAGATAGCCATTTTCGAGTTCAATTGCGTAAAAATGACACAAAGCCCGTTGCCGCTCCCAGAAGTGGAAGGAAGCTTCGAGTGATGTTCAAAAAGCTCCATTTCTGAATGAGCTCTGATAGTGTCGCCTGCGACAAAACCGACTGGCCGCTAACAGCAGCCAACAAAGTGTTGTTGGTGGGAGTCATGAATACAATCGTGAAAGGCACAATCGAAACGACCAAAGCAGCAGCTGTGAGATATCCCTTCCAGCTTGCACCACGGCTATGCGAGTCATATGCAGCGTAGGCATAGGCGAGAGCAACCGTGCCAGCAACCTTGGGCATTGCAGCCATGCCTCTGGTGAACATGCCGTGCCAGATCTCCAGTGCAGATTGAGGGATGCTCTGCGCCGTGGGCATCCCGATGATAGAAAAGTTTGCAATTGTACCTTGAGAGACAAATTAATGACAGGGAACAAGCAAAGAAGGAAAAAAACGTAGACATACCGGATAGCCATCCAGCGCCGATGACGCCGGTGGCCACGGCGGCGAGAGCGCCTGGGGGAGGAGTAGCGACAAATGACATTATTGCAAGGGACAATGAGGCAAAAGGGTATTGATGGTATGATGTTATTGCGTGATTTAGGTCTTGGAATATCTGAATTTCACGAGCAAAGGCAATTCTATCCTTTTATGCTACCCCTCGGCCATCTGCGTCATTGTGACTTTTGTCCGGCGCCGTACGTTGGACCAACGGAATGCGGCCGGACATTTCCCAATTCCGTTCACCGCGATGAGTCCGCCGTTGCATCCACCAGCCCATCCAGAACCACATGAATCGGACAATTCCCATCGAGCTGTATGAAGATCTACTGGTTCATCCCTGCCCTCTCCATTCGATACAAAGCCAGGCAGACCCCACTCCCATCTGCCATCAATCACTGTAGAGGCCGCTTTGCTGCATACCCATACAAGGTCTCCATCGCTGTCGGATCGTGTATATCCTGTTCCTCCCAGATCTTAACCAGGGGCATGCCGACCTTGTCCAACACCCTTTGGCTACCCTGATTAGTCGTGACTGTCACTGCAATCAGACGCTCCTCTGCCCTCATATCGTTTGTCTCCCTTGCCTCTGGAACGGTGCTCTTCTCGACCTCGACCTCTACTTCTTCCCTTGGCAAAGCCCACCACATGTCGAGAAATGCTTTCACAAATTCCGTCGCATATCCCTTACCCCAGGCCTCCTTTCGGAACATGTAGCCAAAGACTGGCCACCCGAGCTCACCCTTCCTCATGAAAGAGCCTCCCGCGCCGATGAATTGGCCAGTCTCCGCAACGCAGATGGCGCAGTCAAAGTTGGAGATGTCGTGCGGGGGCATCTTGAGAGCAAGAATCTTCTCAGTGGCCGCAATGTCTGCGTCGGGGACGCCCTGCATGGTCCATTGCATGACCTCGGGCTGTGATCGCAATTCGTTCAACCCTACGATGTCGGCTGTTTCGAACGGCCGGATTACCAAACGAGCACTCCTCACCTCGGGACGTTCCTTGAGAGATGGGAACGGCTGTTTGGGGAGCGTCGTTTTTACCACGACCCATTCACGGGCAGTGGGAGCAGGAGCAGCCATGTCCGTGTTCAAGATGTCTGATGGGAGCGAGGATAACGGAGTGATGATCAGAGACCTTTAGGGTAGGTAGACGTGTGATGCTGCCTGCTCCGCAATGGCGAGTTTTCTTCAGCTGGCTGGTAATACTTGTCTGGTGCTACGCTTACAGGATCTGGGACTGACTGCCGGGACGGTGGAGGGACTTTAAGCCACGATCTGTCCACGGCCAATGAGTCATACTCGGCGAGCGACATCTTGACCTTCACACGACTAAGCTTTACGTGATGCCTTTCACCCCGAGGTTTTTGCCAGGGCGAAGAAGTGCCGTGCTGTGCCGGTCATGTCCGTCATTATGTGGGGTCCACTCTGAACTCAACGCTCGGACGAACCACCACCACCACAATTCACCCCCGCCAGGCGCATCAAATTATCTGATGGTGAATGGTCTCCTCCTCCGCGCTTGCAAGGGACAGGATTGAACCCTGATTAGCCAATCAATCGACTGCCGAACCCGACCTCACCTATGTTCTCGTGCTACGAACTGCCCCCATCATGAGCGATGAGAAGAGACCCAAGGTCCTGAGCTGCGTGAGCTGCCGACAGCGCAAAATCAAATGCGACAAAGTCGCCCCTGTCTGCACGCAGTGCTTGGGCACCAATACCGAGTGCGAATACCCTTCGAGAAAACCTACACGACGAGCCCACCGGCCGCGGCAGAGCGAGCTGCTTGATCGCATCAGCCGTTTGGAGAAGATTGTGGGAAAAGCGAACCCCGCCAAGTTGAAGGAAGTCAATGCGGCTCTTGCTGGTCATGCTGCTCCGACCCAATCGACTAGCAAAAAGGCCACGGCGGATGTGCCGGAGCCAGCGACAGAGCCGTCACCAGTTCTGGATAGGGAGATATCGACCGACATTGCCGATACAGCCTCGCGTTACCTAAGTGTTGAATTCTGGGGACATCTCTGTGAGGAGGTTGAGGGCATCAAGCATGCTCTTGACGAACCTTCGGAAGCCGATGATGACGATGACGAGGGCGACGACGCCTCGCCCGAGTCGCGAGAGACCAGCTACTGGGACGGGGCCGCCAACCACCCTTCAGGGTTTCTCTTTGGGAATCCGAGTTACCACGAGCGCGACCAGCCATCCCATCCGCCCCGAGATATGCTGCTCCGAATGTGGTCGATATACCTCCGTAACGTTGACCCCCTCATGAAGTTTCTCCATCGGCCGTCTCTCACCGAGGAGATTCAACTTTTTGCCAACTCCTCTTCACGAACCATATCCCCTTCAAAGCATGCTCTCCTCTTCTGCATATATTTTGCAGCCGTAACGTCCCTAAGCGATGAAGCCTGCTTCGTACAGCTTGGCCAGCGGAAAAGTGAACTCGCCTCCAAATACCGTATGCATGCCGAGCGGGCTCTCGCTGCGGCTGACTACCTCGCCAACCCTAATCTGACCCTTGTCCAAGCTGTAACCATCTATGTTGTACGTTCTGTCCCACTCTCTTCTCTGTGAACTGTACACTTAAACCGTTCCTCATCAATGGCTTCAATTGAGTTCTTTGGTTAACATTGCACCCTAATTAGACGATGCTCCGCAGCTATGAGCTTAGCCGCTCCGTCTGGGTTCTCACTTCCATGGTTGTTCGCCTAGGACAGACCCTGAACCTTCATCGCGATGGTGACGGTCACAATTTCCCTCCATTTGAAGCTGAGATGAGACGTCGCCTTTGGTATTTCATCGTCGTTCTCGACATCCGCGGTGCTGAAGACCGTGGCTCTGATTCTATTCTCAACAAGAACTCATACAATACGATTCTACCAACCAATCTCGACGATGAGCTTTTCGGTCCAAATATGACAGGGCCAATTGCGCCCCAGCCAAGCCCCGCAGAGAACATCTTTTCAATATGTACTGCCCGATGCTCATCTACCTTTGGATACATTGCCCACCCACAGGCTGCCGAAGTGGCAGCCTCCGAGAAGCCCCTGCATACGGAAGAGGAACTTATCAACCATGTCCGCTCTCTCGAGGACGCTTTTATACACACTGCAAACCCATCTAATATCGTCTCGGTGTACGCTTCCGAGGTGGCACGGATTGTCATACTAAAATTCTGGCTCATTGTCCAATATCCCTTCTCCGCTAAGCCCACCATCATCCCCCTGCGGGCTTCGCGGGAGACGATGCTCCGCACGGCCATCTCCGTCATGGAACTCGTCGAGGCAATGACGGGCGGGTTTTGGGCAGACCGCTTCGCATGGTGGACGAGAGGCTACATGCAATGGCACCCCCTGGCCGTGGCCCTCGCCGAGCTGTGCATCCAAACCGAGGGCGAGCTCGCCGACAAGGCGTGGACCGTCATCGACCGCGTATTCTCTACTTGGAAGCACTCGGTTGCAGATTCGTCCAAGGGCTCGCTGTGGCGTCCGATTCGGAAACTGCACAGGAAGGCCAAGGAGGCCCGGGCCGGTTCGATGATGAAGGATTTGCAGATTGCCGATGCTCAGCCCCCGCAGTCGGCCCATATAGCACAGAACAACTCTGGGATGGGATCGCTACTCCCGTTACATCTGGAGATGGATCCCAAGGTGCCGATGGATCTCGCGCCCACGCCGGGCCACACAACCACGCAGGACCCGAACATGGACCCGTCGTCCCTGTTCGAATATTTGTTGGAGCCGACGGACCTATGCTTTGACCAAAGTCTTGGGAATGAGATGAATTTTGATATGGGTCCTTGGAATGATTTCCTTGATGATACCAACAAGGAGAACTCGCCGGACAGTGGTACTGGCGAGTCTACGTATTCATGATGATGGTAAGGGTTGTACATATACACCTCCCCACTATAGTTAATATAAAAAAATATCCATGTCACATATGGGTCGATTATTGATGCGGTACATCCTGTCACATGTGCGAAGAGAACAATCAATTGCTGCTAAAAAGTTTTTGGTTTTTCATTCGTAGCCCATGTTACCAGGCCAATGCAGTTGATATTTCCGTAATCCGTAGTTAACACCCGCAAAGCCAGCCCTACCCTGCTCAGTACCCGAAAAAAATCTAAGCGAAAGTGGAAGGTCGCTTTGCGCTGAAGACCTTCTTGCTGGTGAGCTGGGAGGTGCGGTGGGGGAGAGGGAACTTGAGATCCTTGGTGATCAGCTGGCGGATGTAAGGACGCTTGATGTCCTCGGTCTTCTCGATCTCGACGACGCGGAGAATCTAGATATCGCCTGTCAGTATTTCTGCTCCATGTCGATTCACAATTCGGCCGGCCTTGACTAAAAACCATAGGGCGGTCTTGACTGGCTTGACGTACGTGGATGGACCTGAAGCGGGCACGGTGGCGAGCGGCCATGTCGGAGTAGAGGGACTCGACGGCATCAGTGCGGGAGACCTCACGGTACTCCTTGTACATGTTGTGGGTGCCGGAGCGGGAGTCGTAGCGGATCCAGATGCCGAAGTTCTTGACCTTCTGGGGGTGCTTCTCGTGGACCTAATTTGGCAAGTGTGAGCACAGAGGCAAGGCCAACAAGAGGAGAAACAATTCTTGGAGAATACATACAGCCTTGACGCTGACGATCTCACCGGTGGCCTTCTTGACCTTCTTGAGACCGCGCAAGAAGTACCAGAAACGGGACTTGGCGACCGTCTCGTTGGGAGCGAAGATGGTCATGCGGTACAGAGAGGGAGAGGGGTTAGCCTCTGTGGGCAGATGGCGCCCAATGACCTCGTATTCCTGGAGACGACCTGAGGAAAAGCCTGTTAGCACCAGTACATTCTCGCTCGTTTGGTGTTCAATCCCAGGAAGAATCCATGGCAGGCGTGTGTCGACAGAGCGGCCAGATATCGCAGGGTCGAAATTGGGGTTGAGGATGTTCAGGTCATATGCTGAACCGAAATTGTTGTCGAGTTAAATTTTCTCGGTCCTCCCCTTCGATACACAGCCGTTCCAAACAAGCAGATTGGCCTCAAGAGTGAATCCATGCTGGAGGAAATTTGCAATTGCGTCGTCGTGGTCGGGTCGCGAACGGGATAATCCAGGAATGAACTGTGAAAAAGCAGATAGAACTTACCCATCTGAAGTATTCGTTAGTATTCGATTGATTAATATCAAGACCTTGATTGTTACTTACTTTAACGGCGGATTATGTCGTCAACTGCTGGTTAGTTGTTGATGTCCGAAGTTGGAAGATTCGCTGGGAAATTTTTGTGTGCGATGATGGAGAGGGCTAGCCAAGTGGTGGGCTGCAGGGCTTCAGTCCCGCCAATGATTGGCTCCGACCTGGATCCACCGCCCTTCCAGTCACGTGCGATACACTTCTGAGCTGCGAGCCAAATTCCATTTTCTTTCTTGTGGGGCCGCTCTTGCCCAAAATTTGTAGGCCAATCAGCGCTGCCCCTACGCCAAGGACGAGACTGGAGGTACGTACCCTTTGTCTAGGTGAGCTCCATCAACGCAAGTCGGTACTTGGAGCTTGTATCTTAGATTTCCAAGAATGAAACGACTGTAAGATCCAAAACTCCTTTGGCCTCTGACCTAGTGATCTGTATCGCGGAATCAACGGCAGCTTGAAGCTTGCAGAGGATTTGGAAAGGCATCGGCTCACCCCGCTCTTTTATCAGCAAACATCTAGGATCCAATCCATTTCCTACATCTTCTGGAGTTCAAGATCACGTTCACTTCACGTCTATCGCCGTTCTCAATCTCACTCTCCACTTCGTAAATCATGAATGAGCTCTTTGATACTTTCGCCAAAGCTCATGCGGCTCACAATGGCTACATGATCGCTCAGACACTGTCACCTGTGCCTCCCGCCAACCAACCACATATGTTGAGCTCCGTCTGGCAGAGTGCCAACCACCAAAATGTTCAAGGGACCATTAAACACTTTATTAAGAAAAGTGCAAGCGCATCTTATCACAGCAGCTTAGATAATACCGAGCTGAATGGCTGGGTTGAGGTGTACACGGCCTACTGGAAGGCTATTGGTGAGATTTTGGCTGGCGAAAGTGGCAAGGTGAGTTCTCAGCCTCCCCCGCGCTCTAACAACACAGAGCTGACACTCCTAAAAGTCTTCCTGGACCAAGGTCTATGATGCTTGGAAGGATCTGACTTCTATGCTCATTCGGGGATACAATAACCATGGATTTCAAGCTTGGACAATACCGAGCCTTTACATGGTTGGTAAGTATCTGAGGCTCTTTGCTATTAAATCAGACGAAGAGCGCAGTCGGAATTCGAGCCGCTCTCAAGCTGGTACAACCATCATACAGGATGATTTCGATGCCGATGCCGACAAACAAAGTCAGCTTAGGGACTGCGAGCAGCATCTAAAGCGAATCTTCACACTGTGTTTGACCGACAGGTGAGTACTCTCTTACAAAGTACATGCCCATGACACTGATGCATTTCCTATAGAGCACCCTTAGAAGAATCAAGAAAATGGGGCATTTACTTCGTGATCAACATACTCTTCAAGACATATTTCAAGCTTAATTCAGCCTCACTCTCTCGCACAATCCTCACCAGTCTCAAAGCGTTCAATGACCGGGGTGACATGCCTCCATTGGAGTCATTCCCAAAATCCCAGCGGGTCACTTTTAAATACTACGAGGGTGTGTTGTTCTTCTTGGAAGAGAACTATGTCGAGGTTTGTGGTCACCAAGCGCTGTTACCAATGTGCTACCAGGTCATGCTAATTGGTCATTGACAGGCCAATAAGCATCTCACAGAGGCCTGGCTTCTTTGCCCTCGAAGCTCTAAGGCAAATATCGAGTGAGTCACTGATATCTCAGAATTCAATAACCGGACTCTTTTGGAAAGGACTTGACGGCTGACTGCTATAGGCGAATCTTGATATATCTAATCCCCTGTCGGCTGCTAACGAGTCACGTTCTGCCAACTAAAAAGCTTCTTGAACCATACCCCCGGCTGCAAGAGCTATTCTTACCTATCGCACAATGTATAAGACGAGGGGATTTACGGTCATTTGACCTGGCGCTTCAGAAAGGAGAGGACGAGTTTGTCAAACGGCGCATATACTTGACCTTGGAGCGCGGGCGTGACATTGCTCTGCGCAACCTCCTGCGCAAGGTGTTTGTTAATGGAGGGTTCGAAGAGCCCAAAGAGGGAAACGCAGCACCAGTGAGGCGCACCCGTGTGCCTCTAGCCGAGTTCCAAACTGCCATCAGCATGGGCAGCGGCGGCGAGACAGTCGACCCCGATGAGGTTGAGTGTTTGCTGGCCAACATGATCTATAAGGTAAGATGAACCTGCGACGCGGGTGCGCATGCCACGTCATAAGAGGGCGTTGTGTTATCATCAAGGCAATCGTGGGATTCGTGGCCACCCGCCTGCCGCAACCTACCATGTAAATGCTGGCAGGAAGAGGCAACAAACCGCCTTACGTCCTCCATTCGCGCATCCTATGACTCTTCTATGACTGGTTTTTATTTTTATTTTATTTTTGGGGGGGAACATGTGACTAATACTGTGCACCTTATTTTTTAGGATCTTATGAAGGGCTATATCGCGCGGGAACGAGGGATCATCGTATTATCAAAGAAGGGTGCCTTTCCCGGCACTGGAGTATGACCTGGTCGCAAATATGCACGAGCCCGAAACTTTCCGTGATTGGAACCTCTCCGGCGGCCGCTTTAATGGATTATCTCAGAAACGGGGAGGGGCATCACAAACTTTGAGAGTCACATCAGTGTGATGGAACTGCAGTTGGTTGGGCACCAGGGCGTGAAGATAGCGACAAGCGAAGTTGTATCACATTAGGACTTGCTCAGCTCGATGCTGCCCGTGCGTTCTCATAGCTGAAAATAATTCCTTTTTTCCATTAGTCTCCCAGTGTGGCAATGGAAGTCCCAACCCCTCACTGTCCGGTGCTGAGCCTGTGCTTCGAGTAACTCGGCATACATCATCATAGGGGACAAGGCGTGCTTTTCGGGTACGGATGCAGTGTTTTTCCAAACTGAAGATCGGCTCTTACGGGGGCAGGCAATTAATTTATCGTTCACGTAAGTCCCAGGTTGCCAAGGTGGGATTCACGCTCTCAGGATGCCTGAGGTGGTTATCAGTCCGCTCAGGCCTCCCCCCCTCTTCGCCTCCCAATGCAAGAAACACCCGGCTCAAAACCGAACTCAGTTTCACGCCAAACAAGGATCATAGCGTCCGCCCTGTCTTGGCAAGGCCGATATGGTTTGCAGAGGCACCGATGTATGGGGTCATGTCACTTTTCACGGTCGTCCCAGCCCGATATCCCTGCACGCTACTCATTATTCGGAATCCGTCCATGGGAAACCAACTCCAGAAAAAAGACAATTATAATGCAAAGGTGACGTTTTTTTAAATTAGAATAAAGCAGTGTTTCTGTATGTCTATTTCCGTCAGTAGCAGTCTCTCCCACTCTTCGTCATGATTTCTGGGGCCGCATTTGCCAAATTATTCATGGTACCCAGAAGAATTGCTTTGATAGCACCAAACCCGTGCGCCAGAGAAAAGATAAACCCCGTTCGCCTCACCAAATACTTATACATGGATGGTAGTATAGTCAGAAAAGAAAGGGAAAATCGAAAGACAAAGGAAAGAAAAAAACAAGTAAAAGTGACAGGAAAAAAATACAGTTCTTCATCAACGCCGTTAATGACCGTGAATCTTTTTGTGCTTTTTGGTTGGGTGTGTAAAAGCTCGAATAGGAAACCCGGCAGGAATTAAATCACATCATCATAACAAGCCGGGACTCGGCGATTGTTAAATATGACGGTTGGAGCGGGGGGTGCTTTTGCCAAAGGTCAGTCGATGCATGTCATATGAGTGCATGAGGCGTAAAGTACGTACGAAGAAGAGGAGGAGATGTCGTCGACATGGTTGCTCAAAGCCACAAAGAGATCAAAGAACAGTTGGCTTCCGCCGTTGTACATCTCAAGTTGCATCGTGCCACTGCGCTTGAAAGTGCTGCGCGAGCGGATGATGAGTGCAAGATAATGAGCCCTGAGTTTAGAGTCATTGTCGGGAGTGTTCGCGTATGCATATCTGGCCGAGGCAAGAATAGTGCTACACTGTATTCCGGACTCTGATGCCGTGTTAGAAACAAATGTAGATGGGGCGATGAGGTTAGGAATTACTTACGGAGACCTTGCTTCCGAAGAGCCAGCTTCTTCAGCTCACTCAGTCCATACTTCTCTGCAGTACAATAGATGACAGTATCCTTGAGAAGATCGCCATCGATACCGTGAAGATAGATGGTGCTTTCGACAGCTCGGCGATCATCATCCGACTCCAGCTCATAAGAGTTTCTGCGCTTGACGAGGCGAGGGAAGTAGTCGCCCTTGTATAGGTACTCGAGGACCGAGCTAAAAATCTCCGGCTCCTCCTCAGGAAGTGCGATTCTCTTCGTCGCCGGGTCCATGTATCCGTTTCGAAGTGCGGTGGCAAAATATGGGCTTGCGCAAAGGATGTCTTCGTGGGCGGCGAAAAGACGTTGCTCGGCTCCAACGACAAGAGTGACGATCGACGAAGACGAACCACTGCGAAAAAGTTTATTAGTTATTGATAAAAATGATAGAGGATAAAGATCAAATCAACTCACTTGCTCATAATAGTGTCTTCAGTGGCTGAAGTAGAAGCAGTCGTAGGTCTGCGTTGGCGGGACTCATGGCGGCGCTTTGAAACACCGCTGTCCTTACTGAAAGACGAACTAGACTTGTTCACCTTGCTCGATTTGTGGCCTTTGGAGAAGCTCCCGCTCACGGACTGTCGTCGACTGCTGGTGAACATGATGAATGGATGGCGGGTGGAATCGGGTATGCGTTTAGAGTGGCGAAAAGCAAAGCAAACTTGGCGGATTTGGGTATCAAAGATAATGCGACAAAAGACAGAGAAAGGAGATTCTTCAATTGGAATGCAGCTGAAATTGCGCCGTTGCGATTTTTTTTTCTTCGTCCGGCGAGACTTACCTTGCTGCCTACATGAATCAAGAAGAACCAGAGCGAGAAAACTGCGCAGAAGGGCGAGGCAGCCGGATATTTATACTGTCGCGGCGGCCAAAGCTCCATGCAGCCATGATTTCCGACACTTTTGCCCCTGTAGGCCCCTGCGAAATAAGCCGTCCAGTGCACCTAAAGTGAATGTGGTGATAGTTGGTCGCTGAGACGCGCCTAGGCCGCGTAAAGTGCCTGGGACCCACATCCTAGTGTCGCCTACCTGACACGATATCACGTGCAGTCCATTATATCATTTCAGCCCCTGTAAGACGCCCCGTGCACCGTGATTTGCACTGTACTCCCAGCAGGCATTGCCTGAGTCAACGGGTGCCAGCAAGGCTTTCGAGTCATACCTAGCTGCGTTGCAAAAAGGAAGCCTGCGAGGCAACCCGCAGGGATTGGTCCGGCGAGAAAAGGGGAGACCTATGAGTCGCCGCTTTGAGCCATATCAGCACAGCCGAGCAATAGCACCTTCTTGTATTACAAGCTGCCTTCAAGTTGAGCTCACATAGGCGATACATGCATGAACATGGCACACCACTCCGGCACTTCTGATTGTCAAGCTGAAGGAACTTTTTCACGAATGGCGGATCAACTCCCAGATTCGGATCTTCGCCATCTCCAGAATGACATTTGCCCGTATTGTCGTCCCACCCCTGTGGTTCGCCGTCCAGCAAATCCCTTGAGGTGTCGCTCTTCACGCAGATGCACGCTCCGGGGTGGGGCACATTTGATAGCCTCCCAGCCTACTCTGTAGCACAACGAAAAGGTGGCCCTGAATGTCCACTAGCCGGCAAGGCTGCCCAGGCTGAAAACCCGACGTGGTAATCAGCTTGCTTTTGATAGCAGCGTCGTAGGATTTGGACCCAGTTGCCCACAGTGTAGATATTCTGGGGTGCGCAAGTACCTTGGGCCACACCATCGGGGAAGGAGGTGCCACCATCCCGGGACGACAGATAGGCATGCATTGGCGTTGCGTTGAGTGGATGTGACATTTGTTTGCTAATTATGTGGTCCTTATTAATACCGTAGTTGGTCACTTAGTGACAATGCCGCCATTCCGCGGACCATTTTGGGCAATCCTTGCAACGGCTGAGGCGATGGAGTGAACCACTGTGGTTTTGCCTTGCATGCGGACGATCGCATCATTGTGATAGGCACCGCGCACCTTTTGCCGCTCAACCGGAATGCCAACATCTTGACACCGTTTGTAGAGGCGATCACCATGCTCCGACGGTACCAGTTCATCCTTGGCAGCTTCAATAATGGAAACACCAAAACCAGGTGGTGGGGAACGTGAGGCAATAACTCCCATGTTTGTCCAGGTGTCGAGATGATTTCGCAAAAAAGGCCACAAATGTTGATAAGGAAGCCATTTCTGCGGATACAGCGCCTTCAGCATGGCACGGGTCGACTCGAACGGCGCCTCCAGCACCAGGCCGTGAATTGGCATGGTTTCGGTAGTTGCGGCCAGATTCGTTGCAAAGCCACACCCAACGCTTTGCCCATATAGAATTGTGACAGGGTCGGGCATTTGCTTTTCCGGGTCTCGCCTGTGATGCAATGACGATATCCAACGCAAAGCGGCCTCAGCGTCCTTGTTTATGCCAGTCTCCGAGGGCCGATCGTGCGACGTCCAGTACCCGCGATAACTCAAACACACCATTGTGTAACTCATAGTCTTACTTTCCTCACGAAGGGTTCGGATAACCCATGATAAGTCCGGAAGTCGGGGAGGAATTGATGAAGCATTCCCTACAATCTCAGTATATTAGACATAGTTTCTCTTATCTCTCCAGTGGCTAAGTAGAGTATCCAACCTTGAAAATAAAGAATGTAGACAGGCGTCTTTGGGTCGACTCCCGCAGCAGGCGGAGGATCATCACTTATGCATAACGCTATCTCAGTGCCATCCAATGAGCGTATTCGCTCCTCTCTCCATTGCGTCCCTCGGCATTGCTTTTTAAAGTCTTCAATCTTCATGCTCCTTGCATTCGGCGGCATGAACGGATTGTATATGATGGTGTTTTGAAACAAGACCATCATCATACATTTCCAACTCCACAAGGTTAGGAAAAGTCCCGTGAGAATGAGCGGCGGTGCAGCCCATTGCATGCTGTGTAATTGTCTGGCCAATTGTGACGTCTGAGGGTTGATAAACAGCCCCTGCGGCCATTGTCGGCGAACCTGCATTAAGTTTGGCCGATATCGTCGGCTGAGAGGCAAATGTCTAAACAGTGGTGGCGCAACCATTCTGACGACTCTTCGGTATTACATGGATCTCGACAACCCAATACGGTGCCCCACAGCAGGGAGGGTAGGTAATTTGGTGGGCTACTTGGCAAACAGCAATATCATGACATGGTCGCCTCTGACTGGGCCGCAGACTGCACTTATGAGGTCAAGAGAAAGGACATGTGAGAAAGTTGGGGTTCATGTTTAGGGTAAGGTGTGTTGATGTTAGAAGGTTGCAGTAGCGCTGGACAACACATTCAGCTTCTACCCAAAAGCGGTATTTGGCAGAAGTGGGGGCCCCTGGAGTTGATGTCACTCCCTCAGACATGCGAGAATGCAGGCGCGAGAGGACGGGCTGAAGGGCTTGGATGTGGTATAGTACTGGTGGAAATAATGGAATCAATAGGGTCGAAACTCTTCAATACGACCAAATGAAATGAGATGTATTGTGCCTGAAGTTGCTGTTATACCGGACAATGACAGACAAGGCATATTCAATGTACCTTTTGCCAGGCACAATGGGTTGGTCCGAGTCCGACAGGGTTCCAGTGGCTGGACCCCTCCGCATTAGTGACCCTGACGAAGCAATTAGTCGAACGGTTGCCTACAAACTTCCCCCACCTATCGAGCCGACAAGAATGTTTTTTGCCTTCTACATTACACTTCCGTGACACGTTCTTACACAGTCTTCTCCGTTCCCTCTGTTCCTTCCAAGGCCACGCACTAACTCACATCGAACTTGTGGCGTCACCCAAGCCCCCGCAACGATGACCAGCTCCGAGATTAAAGCGAACGATGGCCACGCCCATATCGATGTGCCAGCAGATCACAACGTCACGAGAGACGAAGGCGAGACTAGCCCGCGCATCACGAATGGAAAAGGCTGGGATGGGAAGCTTCGTGTTCCGAAATCGGCTCTCTTGTCGAACCCGGAAGCCTTATCCGACCCAGAGTACTCGGATGATGAGAATGTGATGGAAGGAGAAGAGATTGCAGCTGATGAGGGTAAGATGCTTCCTTTTCTTAAATTACACATGCACAGCTTTTGGCCTGCTAACACGAAATCTTCTTCATAGATCTTCTGGACGGCGAAGATCCAGAGACGGACGAAATCATGTGCACCCACTCCCGTATTCGCTCGATAGCGTCCCTCCGACTTGAGCGCTTCAAAAACGTGGCCCGAATCTGCCTTCGACAAAACAGCATTCAGGAGCTGGATGGCTTACAGAGCTTGGGCGCTACCCTCGAGGATCTAGATCTCTATGACAACCTCATTTCTCATATGCGTGGACTCGACGAACTTTCCAAACTCAAGAACCTAGATCTTAGCTTCAACAAGGTCAAGCACATCAAGAACATCGGTCACATGACGGAGCTCAAGGATCTGTTCCTCGTGGCAAATAAAATCAGCAGAATCGAGGGCTTGGAGGGTCTGACGAAAATTAAGAACTTGGAGCTGGGCTCCAACCGGATCAGGGAAATCCAGAATCTTTCGACCCTCACGGCTCTCGAGGAATTATGGCTTGCGAAGAACAAAATCACCGAGTTGACTGGGCTGGGGGGCTTGCCGAATCTGCGATTGCTGAGCATCCAGTCAAATCGCATCAGCGATCTGTCTCCTCTCAAGGACGTACCTACTCTCGAGGAACTTTATATTTCCCACAACATGCTGGAGTCTCTGGAGGGCATTGAGGAGAACCCGAAGCTTCGGGTCCTGGACATTTCGAACAACAAGGTTTCCAGTCTCAAGGGTCTCGGTGGTCTGAAGGAACTGGAGGAGGTTTGGGCCAGTTACAACCTCATTGCTGATTTCGGAGATGTTGAGAAGGAGCTCAAGGATAAGGAAAACCTCAACACGGTTTATTTCGAGGGCAACCCGCTACAGCTCCGTGGTCCTGCTTTGTATAGAAACAAGGTGCGGCTGGCATTGCCCCAAGTCAAGCAGATTGATGCGAGTACGTCGAACTTCCCCTTTCTCAACACAATTGACATGGTCTAACATCGTAACACAGCTTTCGTTAGGGTATAGAATCGGAGGCTTCCGGATTATCTCGTTTCGCATTTACGAGCATGGCGTTCTGTGGTTTATTAAAGGGAAATGGAGAGATGCAACCTTACATGGTCGAGACCAGGTGTGTTTCGACAAGTTTAGACTGACCCTCCCCTCTACTATAGCAAAGGCGAAAGAGCCCAACTTTTATGGAAAATCAATTTACAGCTTAAGTGATACCCTCAATCTGGATTTTTACGCGATTTTTTTTTATTTGTCTTGCTATATGGTATGTGATATATGAATGCTTCCTTTGACCCTTAACCGAACTAGCTTTTTTCTCTATTGATGTTTCTTAACCGAAGATCCAGAGGTTGTCTGCAGAGAAGTACTATATGGTAAATCTGTTAGCGACTTCTTCAAGGGGCTGTATATTTGTCTTCAAACTCACGTTGGTAGGCTTGTTGAACTTTAAGTTCAGCTCCATCTTGGCAATGCGCTTGTTGTCCTCCTCATCGAGGTCGAAGTTGAAGCAGTCAAGGTTCTGGAGCATGACGGCAGGTCGCCCGGTCTTGGGGATGACGGCAAGACCCTGCTGGGTGGCCCATCGGAGCAGGATCTGGGCGGGGGTCTTGTTGTGCTTGGCGGCCATGGCCTTGATGGCGTCGTGCTCCATGAGGGGGGCGGCCGTCTTGGCGTTGTCCATGTCGAGCTCGATGAAGCCGGTGGGGCCGAAGGAGGAGTAGGCGGTCACGACGATGCCCTCGTGCTTGGCCAGCTTGACGAGCTCGACCTGCTGCAGGTAGGGGTGCAGCTCGATCTGGAGGGTGGCAGGGCGGATCTTGGCGTACTTGAGGGTGTCGTAGAGGGTCTGGGCCTGGTAGTTGGAGACGCCGATGCTGCGGGCGAGGCCCTTCTCGACGAGGCCCTCCATGGCGCCCCAGGTCTCCTGGTTGGTGGTCTTGGACCACCGGATCTCCTTGTCGCCGTCGTAGTGCCAGCCGGGAGGGTAGCGGACGCTGGGGTCGACGTACTCGAGGGCGACGGGGAAGTGGATGAGGAAGAGGTCGAAGTAGTCGACCTGCCAGTCGGCGAGCTGCCTGCGGGTGATGGGCTCGACCCGGTCGACGTCGTGGAAGGTCTGCCACAGCTTGGAGACGATGAAGAGCTCCTCGCGCTTCACCAGGCCGTCCTTGATGGCGCGGGCGACGCCCTCACCGCACTCCTTCTCATTGCCGTAGTCTAGATGGTGGATTTAGCCGTTAGCTCTCTCTCGGCCCTTTGATCGCAAAAAAATCCTTCCAGGAGCTTTCCTGTTCGCTCAAACTAGCCGGGACTACTTGTCCCGGGTGAATGTGAAATGGCTGTCGCTTGGAAGCGCGTAGCGTCGTAGTGGGGGAGGGGCAGAAGGAGGGGCAGTTAACTGAGATGCAGGGTTTGCTTTGGTGGGGTTGCGTGTAAGGCAGCACAACCTCCTAAGCTCCTCTGCTCACCAGCTTTCTTGTAGCGCAAGTGTTGTTTGAGGATTTGCTAGACGTACCGCAGGCGCCGTCCAGCAGGCGGTATCCGGCCTTGATGGCGTTGTAGACGGTGTCGGCGCAGGTGTCGTTGGAGACCTTCCACAGACCAAACCCGCAGAGGGGCATGTCATAGCCGCTGTTGAGCTTCACGGTAGGAGACGCCATTGTGTATTAGTCGTGCGAGTATCGTGAGGGTCTGGAGAGGGTGGAAGGTCTTGGCTCCTTTGGGTCACAGAGGTATGAGAGACAGATAAGAGGATGAGAGGAGGAAGCAGGAGAGCGAGGACAGAGGGGGCCTGCGGAGGGTTTCTTATAAACAACCCAAATGGACTAGCAAGGCTATATACAGCATGTGAGAGCTCTTACGATCCACGAGCGCTCTAACACGTGTGTCCTCAGCGATTAATACCTCTCCTAGAGCGGATAATAGAGCATGGAATCCCACCAGATTTCCACATTCATGCAATGTCATGTCCGACGCGGCCGCAGTCGATGCATGTACTCCACGTCCATCGTGTTTCGAGAGCTACTATCTGCAAGTAGTACGTCAAGGAGCCCACCTCGACCAGCCTGGCGTCGCATCCTGATTGGCATGGCTATTTGTTGGATAAGGTCAGAGGTATAGCTCCCGGCGGCTCAGGCAACCCCATTCGTGCGTTTAATATGCAAACCCACCCAATGCGGCTGTCTCTGGCCCTACCACGGCGAGCAGCTGCTAGCCATCCTCGTGTCGTCTTTTGCCCGATTTTCTCGAACCCTGCCAGACGCGCCTATCACACGGCCTGGTAGCCGTGGGGAGGGGATTGACCACGGGTGCTGCCCTATAATATTCGCTCATCGCCCATCATGCCAGATTTCACGTTCCCTCTGCCATCGACCTGCAAGTGACTCGTTTGATGGTCGCTCGTTTGTTTCAAATCTGTTTGCTCGTAGCAATCCGAGCGGCTCCACGACCCGTAAAAGCCCCAGATCAATTTAGCCTAAATCCCACTCTGCCGGATCCTAACGCGGAGTCGCGGCTCAGTGTTCCTGATATTCTAGATAAAGAAATTTTTTTACCCTGGACAACTAGTGTGTCATTAGCATGTTTATCAGTATTCAGTACAGTTATAGCCAATAAATATAGGCAAAAAGGAAGAACACATCGAGCAATGAAAAAAAAAAAAGACAAAAAGAAGGTCCTAGCCAGGTTCGAACTAGCGATTTTTGGAGTAAGTTCCAGAGGTAGTGGATCAAAACCAAACGTACTAACCACTATACTATAGGACCAGTTATTCCACTCATCATTTTTTAAGCTTAAGTAGGCAGCAAAGCAAAGTGTGGGGTGCATCTCCCATATGCTAGAAGCATATGTTTGCTGAAGAAGTGTACTACTACCATGCACTCTTTCGCACTCCAGGAAAGTATATACATAGCTACAAAGGAAAGGGAATGTCTCAGATTTACACCAGCTTGATCCAAGTATGCTCGTGGCCGTCCATTTTAGCTTGCCCTCTCATGAGATCATGAATATAACACTCGCCAATAAGGAGATATCCCTAGTCCTCTTTACATTCACGAACAATAAAAGGAACCGGAGTCCCAAAAATAATGCAGACCTTATCTACGGGCTGCATGCAAGCTGGACCTAACCCTCTCATTTCAGTATTAGTGGTGAATAGGCTTCTGCCAGTGCACGCCGCGATCATCGCATCCAGGAACCGGTCTCGATCGCCGAGCGTGGAAATTGCCTTCAACTCATGGAGTGTGACAATTGCCTCATCTCCTAATGGGATAGTCGAGGTAAGTCTATAATCTACACCGCAGTTGGCTTTCATGAGGCCCTCATCTTCTACACTGGGACCAAAGGCATCTTGCGAAAGTGCCCACCAGAGGAAGCCAAGTCGAAGGCACTTGGCGAAATCAGCCATCGTCTGATGTGAGCAAGCTGCTGTTGTTCCATACCAGTCCTCGCCCGCAGATAATGTAAGTGCGAGCTTCTCCAAGCCGGCTCTTGTGAGACCGGTTTGTGGGGGTAGCTCTCTGGAATCTTTTTGTTCCAGTGTCATTGGTACTGAGCCTTTGCATCTCACGTAATCCAGCACGACCCCTCGAACGACTAATGGGCTGCCTTTGCTGGTGGACTCAATGCCTTGTATTCGAAACTGGCCGATATAACCCAGCCACAAAGTGTGGATGTCCCTCAAGTGGCCCAAGGGTCTGGGGCTGATCGATATCCCATCTTGGGATCCAAGACTCTCCGGTAGACGAAAGATTATCTCTGTTACTATTGAGGCTGTCTTCTCCATCACTTCTTAGAATGTCTGAGATTCCCTTGTGATGAACGTAAGCTAGGATCGCCAAAGGTTACCTGGAACGAAGTATCGCTAGGGCTACACTGCGGTAGAGATCATCCAGGGGCCTCGAATAATCAACCGTGATGAAGAACTTAGCCCGATCCAAAGTCTCCAGTCCAAGCAGAGCAAATATTTTATCGTGCTTCTCCTGACATTTGAACTGTTTGGTCAGGGCTAGGAGTTCACAGAAGCTGAAGCGAAGCGGGTCCAAATTTGACCGAAAGCTGGAGATCCGATACATGAAGTATGCGTTCATGACCCCAACGGGAACTTCATGGGATCTGATTCCATTGTGCTCTCTCCAAGTCCCGATATATTTCCAGTTGGTGCGAATGATTGCGGCTGCGAGCCCGATCAGCTCCCAGGAGACTTCGCTTTTACCCCATATCGCTGTGGCCTGCCTGGCGAGGGAAATCTCTTGGACAACCCACATTCTTGTAAACCAGGAATTACTGAACAGGGGCTTCAGCTTCTTCCAGTGTGGCTTGTCAAGCGGTATAGTGCCGTATGCGTCTTGAGCTGATCCTTATCTCCTATGCCGTGGGCGTCCAATATCGATACGATATGCTTCCCTTGCCCATGTGTCAACGATTGAACACACCATGGCAAAAGCTCGTGACAGCATATCATCACTGTCATCGGAAGCACCCACGGGGTTTCCTCTATGAGTGGCAGGCTCCGGCCCAAGCCACACGACTACCTGATACGCTGCACGGTAGATCTCTCCCATGGGAGCGACCTGCTCGCTTCTCTCCTCTACATCACTTTGATTGATACAGACGGCGTCGGCCCATATCACGCGTGAAGAGGTCCCATAGCGCAGTCGATTCAGCGCCAGGTGCAAGTTGATGCCCACTTCCATCAAGACACCGTTGCATTGTATTTTAGAGTGGTGGGCATGACCACGCCTCTGCGGATCATGAGCTGAGCTTCTCTCTTCCTTCCAACAATATGAGAGTGCTTCATATGAGCCGTGGTTACTGCTAATAGAGCACACATGCAAGGGGCATTCTAGCGTAGTGCTGGGCTTCCCAGGGAGAACTTCGAGGAGGCGGAATTGGCCCTTGTCGTAAATTTTGGAATAAATTGATCCAAGAGTAATACCGCTCACGGGAACGAAAGTAAGAGGAGTAGATGCATCTGCTTTCTCAAGCGGAAAGAAAGTATCCTCAGCTTCGTGCTCGGCATTTTTCGGATATCTAGTATCTTGGAAGCGGGAGTTTCTATGGCGGTTTTTGAAGCCGAATGTTTTTACTGGAGAGGATCAGTGTAAGAAGCGAGACATAGGAACAGAAGATTAGATACAAAACTCACGATTGAACGCTCGAGCGACCGTTTGAGTAAAACTCAGGCTTCGCAATTCGAATTCTCTGGGGGTTGCAACGAAGATGTGAGCTCATTGGCCATCTCTAACCAACAAGTTGATCTACTTGAAAGCTCCTTAAAATACCACCAGTGATTGAACAGTGAGATCTGAGTGGAACCACGACACTTCACTCGTAATGATGATAAAGAATCAACAAACCGACTCTTCATGCGGCTCGTCATCGACTATATATCTTGGCTCCCAATCAATACCCGACATAGTCAGGCTAATAATATACTTATATACGTTTTAGTCGTTATGCATTCTCCTTTCCGATGTGTCGCCCCAAGAAATCCTTACCAAAGTGCCACTTTACCTGCAGATCTGATCTTTCTTGTCTACAGTACACGACCAGGCTGCTGAGGACTCCATCGTTAGGTGCACTCATTAGGATCATGATAGGTAAAAGATTCATTGAGATTCATATTAATGTATTATTCGTGCTGCCTTATAACTCCTTATGATAACATCAATATGCAAAAAATATGGATTATCCCTTCGAAAATTAAGGCCAAGTCAAACAGAAGTTGCAGAAAAGCAGAGGTATCCAAATCCAACCGTAAAACGCAGCGGGATCAAAACATTATGAGCCAGCCAGGCCATATTGAAAAACCTTTTCTTATATGCCAGCTTTGTGAGCAGAAGGCTACCCCTCCGTCACAGGTGTATATTTGGGGGTATTGGGGGTATCTTGTGAATGATCGAATGTTAGTTGCGGTGTTTGTTCATTTTGACTTTTTTTCCTTTCTTTTCTTTTTTCTTTTGGTCATTTCGCTCAAAAGCTGGAGTATTCGCATGAGCAGTCGCCATAGCCTCCCTGGATATCGGTGATCTTGTTTCCATCAGTGTCCTCGCAATTTGGCGCGCCGGCCTTGTACGGTCTCATCTGGAGGACCTGGACGTCGCCGGGCCAGTCCACGAACTTCCTCCCGGCCTTTCTCTTCAGTAGGTCGTCAATGTCAGACAATTCACGGCCGCCGCTCCTTCTGGTCCAGATGGTGGCCTGGAACAAAGTCGATGAGTAGGTACATTTCGCGGCGCGGTTGGTGGGTGTGATGGGCTCGCTGGGGATAATGGTGCGGGACGTGTCAAAGGCGAAAGAAAGGCGCTCGGTGGGCTTTCCCTCATCCAGAAGAGTGGCAGTCTTGTTCGAGAACGAGGGTGCAAAGGGGTTCTCGGAGGAGGAGACGTTGTAGGAACTCCCGGAGCGAGAGATGGACCAGAAAAATGTTGCATTGGATCCTTGGCTGTAGGGATAGCAGCGCCAAGTGGATGAACGAGAGGTGCAGGCGGTTGAGATGTTCTGGAGAGTAGACTCAAAGGAGTAAGATCCCACTGGGTAGAGACTGGATGAGTCTGCGCCGTTGCTGCCGTCACTCGATTGCCTGTGTTTGAATGCTGTTAGCATACCAACTCGAGGCAGGTTATTAAGAGTGAGGAAGATTCAAGCCATACTTGTCTCTCAACCCGAACGTCAGCCCAACAGCCAGGCCAACAACGATCCCAACGGCCATCAAGGCCAAGAATCCAAATTTGAGCCATCTTCCGAGTCGGCTTCCAAACCATTGTCGATCCCTCAGGCTTCTGCCATCTCCCCCATGATCAGAGCCGGATTCCTCCTGCCAGTTCTTGTAGTTCTCTAGCTTGAGCGAGCCAATCCCGGAGGTCGAAGACGCGTCTGACATTGTATCCTTATCCTCCATATACAGTGGAGGAGAAGGATGCGGTGCCGGCACGTATGGCGGAGGCGCCGGACGGTTCATCGGTCCGCGGCGAGTCTTTTGAGGTATCCGCAACGGCCCTCGTGGAAGCACCATAGGCTTGCCAACGACCTCGTCCTCTGCAATAGGGGGCATCGGGGCCATGGATGACCACGAACCCCCGTAGCTGTGACAGGCGTACCGTCCTCTCATGGCGTCACTTCGATTGGAGGAGGCTGTTTCTGGTTCAAGGCGGGGTAGGAAGTCGAGATGAGCAGCCTTTTACTGAATTCTGTTAAAGACAAAGTCCTAGAAAATCTGCTGGAATATGATCCTGCTAAATGGCAGTTATACAGTAGATATCAGTCAATGGCGAGATGGGGACGAAGCTGAGCAAAGGTTCCCTCCGTCTCTACATATAGCCTTGGACAAAAGCGGTGGGCTCAATCCAATGGACACCGCAAAGAGAGCTTCTCCGCATGCGCAAGCGGAAGTTTAGGATGTAGGTGAGACACCGAGAGGAGAAAAGTGCAAGACATTGGGAGGGTGGCTGTCTCACTTCATTCAGCTAGGCCGGAGCATATTGGATATCTCACCATCTCCCCCGGAAGTCAATTCTGCTGCTATGCTATGCCATACAAATGACGCCCTGCCCATCAAGGGTCTGGCCATGTCGCTGACCTCTCTCTGCAGAGGGGTAATCGTCGAGTGTGGAGGGCACGACTGGAATGCGCCCAGACTAACCGATTATTGACCTGATCGTTCCAACGCGATACAGAGACAATGGGGACCTACGTGGCACTAGATGGTCCTAGGCCTGGATGATTGGCAAGGCTGGTGGCAGGATGCATTAGAGCTGAACGGTCCAGCTTCAGGTAAGCCGGTGTGCTTGCGGTGGCTGATCACTTCGATTGGTCGCACCTCTACGGTGTGCGTACTATTGATTCTGATAATGACAGAGAATATCGCTGATGTGCTGACTAGAGGGTGAGAGCTGAACCTTGGCTGCATGCGCCTGGACCTGCCGCTCTTGGTGATCTAGATTGCGAACTACACGCAAGGCGACGGGACGGAACAACGCGCTTTGGGCCAGAGAAATGCGCATGGTGTATGAGGGAGGCTGGTATAGCCGCTTTCTACAATGGCTGGATCACCATGGATTGATGGGCCACTCATACAAAGGGATAGTCGTGGACTGCGGGTGTTGGAATGCTGCGGTAATCCCGCCCAAAACGCGTTTCGGAAAAGGTATAAAGATGGGGGAAGGGAAATCTCCCACTACTGATTCCAGGGTGTAATGCATACCTCTAACTAATACTGACTCTATGGTCCCTTAATCATGATTAGAAGCCTTCTCCCTTCCCCGGGGCAATGCACGAGTACGGCAGCGTTTATCTTCCATTCCAGGAATGCAAATGTTACATATATTTGGCGATGTTCAGGGAGTCGGAGCACTCGATCTTCCATCGATATTCCTGGCCCTTCAATTGCTCCGCTTCCAAGTTCAGGCGATACCGAGGCAATCAATTATCACAGCTTGAGAATATTAATAGCTCCTCCCAGTTAATAGTGTGAGTGGATGCTGTTGCCACAGTGGATAGCTTCACCCGGCGCCAACTCCATCTATCTAACTACCCTATACCGGCTATGCTCATCCAAGCCATCGTATTGACTTTCATATGACCCTCTATCATGGACTAGTTTTTGTTTAATGGTTGTCCAGACCTTTCTTGTGTTTTGCCTGCCGTGTCGATCCTTGACTAAATCCTGAAGATCTAGTCATGGGAACTCCTCATCGTCCTGCCTAGACTTCTCAAAGCAAATGATGCACGTCATCATATGCAAATCCATCCTGTTATGTCGACCCGATCTATCCCTCACACATTAGCCAAGTTAGCTTATAGCCTATGCAATAGTGAAAACGAGTTAGTCACAGGCGAGATTCCCTTCGCGACACGTTATAATCGCGTCTTTATCATTGAAACATAAATTCGCCATGGGCGGGAAGCAAACTCTTCAACTCTGATATGATTCGCATATATTCTATCATGATACACTCTATCCTAAATTTCGCTTGACGATGTAGCCGGGTCTACCTCAATGTATGATGGCGCCTGTAATGATCCCCCCTCTTCCGTCCACACAGCAGCAAGCTCTTTCTCAATCTCCTCCCTCCTCTCCCGCCACTCATCAACCTTCGATAGGCGTTCCCGGAGGTCTTGAAGCTCCTTCTCCACGTGCATCTTCTCCTTCTCAGTTCCAATGCGCTCAAATTCCCATTCATCTCCTCTCTCACCCTCGCCAAGAATCAGGTTAAACGTATGGTACTTCTTGAGTGAGGCCCGTGTGGAAATAGTAATCAAGGCTGTGAAATCATGGTTAGAAATGAAAAACGACACCTTAAACACTGCTGGGAGTACTTACTGATACCCTTTTCCTTGCATGTCTCGTACAGGAGCCCCTCAACATCGCTCGAGACGGCACTGGTACCTTCATCGATGATGGCGTATCTGGGCTCATGATACAGAAGTCGGGCAAAACCCATTCTTTGCTTCTCACCACCACTCAGGACATCCTTCCACTCCTTGCGGGTATCCCATCCACCCTCGCGCTCGGGAAGATACCCGAGTCGGGATTCATCCAAAACTCGTCTCAGGTCCATCTCAGACTTGCGTTTCTCAATCATATCATTGTGGCCATCGGGGTAGATGACCTGATCTCGCAAGGTTCCGGGGCTGAGATATGGACGCTGGGGAAGGAACATGATACCATCTTGTCCGATGTCCTTGGGACGACTCACCAGCCCTCGATATACAGGCCACATGCCGGCTAGAATACGGGCGATGGCAGTCTTACCCACGCCATTGGGCCCGGATATCTGGAAACTGTGTTAGCAAACCACCACATGCAGCTATTTCATAGAACCGGAGACCTACCAGGACGTGCTCTCCACCTCGAACTATAAGAGAGAGGGAATCCAATAATTCTTCACCCCCTTGGGGCCACAGGCCAGGTGCCACCACTGGCACGTGCTCCAGACGAACGCCGTCAAATCCTTTCTGGATAGTCCCCTGAACATCAGATAAAGAGTACAGCTCGTAGTTCCCCCCTCTGATCTTATAAGCGTCTGCATGGACGCGGTGTAAGGTGGAAATCAGTGTGTATACCCGACTGGTATGTCCTGCTAACTCAGACAAATCCTTGATGGAATACATCATTCTACCTCCTGCATCGGCACAAGAAAGCATGAGCCGCTTGTTTGTGATGAATTCCTTCATTCGGTTGCGCTCCCTGCCACTGCTCTCAGCCAACTCGGCCATCTCGGCGACGCCGCCAAAGCCACCCCATGCAGGTAGGAAGACGGGGAGCGATGCGAACAAATATCCATATGCACTCCAACTGTACTTGAGAATAAAATCCTCCAGAATGTTATATCGGATCTTGAGCATATAAATACTTTCCATCCAGCTCTTGAGCGACTTGAATTCCTTGTTGAGGAAGGTCTTCTCCATGTCGGCACCACCATAGAAGGCTACCTCCTCGGCGTTTGCAATCAGTCGGGCATGTAGGCTTCGGAAATCGCCCTCTTTGCGGCCTTCCACTGCCTTGAGTTTTCCAAATGGTGGGGACAGCCGCCGAAGTATACTGGCTGTCAAGAAGTAAGTGCTAAAAAGGCCGGTGACGGCCAGTGGACCAAGTGAGCGATACAGCTGGAAACTAAAGACGCCAATATCGACGGCGGGTTTTCCCAGAGAGGAGTAGATATTTGCAGCAGCAGCACAGAATAACGTCAAATCCTGCGTCACAAACTGGTCTGCACTATGTCCGATCCCTCCATCGAGATTGACGAGCTTGTAATAGTTCAGATTGTCGTTTAGATAAAGGTCATGGATGTATCTCGTAAGACGGGTGCGGAAAGCGATGGAAACCTTTGACTCTAGGAACTTGATCATGGCGTTTGTATAGGAAGCGAAGCCCCCTAGGCCACACCACTGAAGAACATAGGGGTTAGTTTAATATAACTTGTTAGACTTAGATTGGACTTACTTTGAGAAGTCCCAAGGCTAATGCCTTTCCATTTCCAGCCACTAGATCCCGGACTAATTCACCGTCAAGACGAGCCACGACCAAGGACAGATATGTCCTCAGCATTAGGAACATTGCATGGCTAAGAAGCAAGCCTGCCTCCTTGCTAGACCAGCGCGGAATCATGATACTCATTAAACTGAGGAACTGATGCAGGAACGCTAGGTTGAGCCCTGGCTTGGCTTGAGCAGAGGGGACCGTCCCATTACCGAGACCCGAAACGCGAGGCGGGTTGAGGAAGAGTCGTCGATGGGCTTCGAATGTCAGAGGGTCTGTATTGTTGATCACGACCTTGGAGGTCCGATCCTTGTATGGAACGTAGATGGTGCGTGAACCGTCCTTGTTATGAAGCCATGAGTTGGTGCGGACAAGCTTATGGCCCTGTTCTCGTTCGTGCCGCTTTCGTTTCCACCATCGCCGCGCGCCTTCACCACCCAGGATGATGGATGTGATAAGTGCGATCGTCGCAACTATTCTGGTGGTTCGAGATGTCTTTCGCAGACGGTTCTTGAAAAGGCTGGTCCATTTGTCGACGAAGGCGGCCAGCGCATCCTCGGCCGCCGTATGTCGCAAGGTGGACTGAACAGCCATGATGACGTTGGTCGCGAGTGCCCCACGCGTGGTGTAGTTCTAAATGCGAACGGGAAACATGAGTGTTGTTGCCACACAATTGCTGGATAACCTCAAATCTGTCCTCGAGTAGGATGGAGGGGATACGGGATCACAGGTAATGCGGTGGCTCGGGAGCTGGAGGTAGCACGCCGCTGCCTCAATCGATGACGGATGTTGGCGATTAGATGGACATGTGAAGACAGCTTCGGCTTCCCGAGGCTCAACCCCGGATTTTGGCACATGCGATCAGTTGGTGCTAATGCGAGAGAACGGCTTGGCGTATTATGTAATGCGACGCAGGAACTTGAGCCTCTGGACTTGACGTGCTGGAGCAAGACGCCACAAACTCGCGCACGTACCAGCCACACGTGCAGGCTAGAGATGGAGCGGACCTCAGTCCTCATTAATCATTGCTCGGTGGAGCTGTGAGAACGGGCGAAGTGCTTATGTGGTACCTATTTTTATTGCCGGACATTGCTCCATTTCAAGAGCCAGTCCATCAGCAGAGCTCTTGCTGTGCGCTCTGGACTGAGGCTGCCTGTGCCCAAGTCGGCCGAAAAACCATTGCCGTCCTCATGACAGCCTGCTTGACAGGTGTGCCTCCTGATCGGCATTTCTAAACCTAAATCTACTGCTTCCAGTTGAGAGTGGAGGCCCGTACTGTGTACTTCGTACGGTATTGCTCCGGCACATTGAGAAGGTGTTGAAAGCTTCAGGTTGGCCTGGTTTGAGGGTTTTTTACGATTATTAGCCAATGCTAGGGGTACGATTAGGGCCCCGGGCATGATGGCAGGGTATGCTAGAAGGGAAGGACCTGTTAAAAGGAAGCCGACTGGTAATTGGTGGTAACTGAAGTGTTACCTCTCTGCTGGTGATACATGGTACGTGCAGAAGGTACCCGTGCGATTGCGGGTACCCTGGACCCAATCACCAACGCTAGCATCCACTTGAGCCATCGCTCTGAGCGTGATGTAGTAATATGGGTGAGCTTGCTTAATGTTTGATATGCATGGTAATTGCACCCACGGGGGAAAACATGGGCGCCAACAGCACCAATCATCGCTGAGGCTTCACATGCACGGCGAGCGCAGAAGTGGGATCGCCGCCACAGCTCTGGGAGTGCTGGGATCGAGCTTGCAATCTAGCGTCAAGGGGCGGTTGCGTCGTCTTGGGCAAGTGAAAACATGCGGCGTGATTGGACCCGGCCGATTCGATTTGGAGGGATCCTTTGCCTCTGGCTGTCCAAGGAAAGCAGCTACTTGTCATGATGCCATGGCACTTGGGAAGGCTGGGTGGGAGGGGGAGATGCAGGTTGCAGCACAGCACCCACCCGGACTAACCCCCCCGTCCTAAGATGGGAGCGGCTTCTGTAGCCAGCAGGGGTGGCCTTTATTACTGTCGCTAGACTCGATAGGTGGCAGGGTGGCTTCACAGACAATCTTCAGCTAATTTCTTGGGTCCCAGCACCGGGCATGGGATGACTATGACAATAACAAACACAGTGCTGCTTCCGCCCTTTCAGTGTGAGGCGGCCGTCGCCAGCCACAGGGGGACAGTGCCTGGCCACACTGTATTTGCTAGCACAGCATCTCCTTCGCGGGCCGCCCTGCTCCTTGGCTAATCTCACAAACATCTCCACACACACTCGCTCTATACCCCCCAAGGCTCAAGCGTTCTGCGCTTGCAGCCCATCCCCCCGTCTAGGTTATCCATTGCCCATCAGGTTCTAGAGTCTCATCATTTCGCTTGTGCTTCCGGCCCCAGATACCTTAACACTCGCTGTTGGTGCCGCCGCCGCACGTACTACAGGTGCTCTGTTTCTGGACGTGTTGCCCGTGTAGCCTCTGCCGTCCAGTTGCGCACCGCCGACTTCCTCCTTGTCAGCGATCCTTTCCCAACGACGACAACGACGACGGAGCTCTCGTCTGCACCGTTTGTCTACGGTCATTTTTTGTCAACCAACGAACCCCAACTCGATCCCCTTCGACTCTGTATTTTATTTCATCGATTGAGCAACTGTCTCGGCTTTGCTTTTTGGAGGTACCCGCACACTGAACCCAGTGGCGCGACGAATCTGACACGGCCGACCGCCTCCCCGACCAACTCGCATTTCAATCTTCGACCGCGCATCTGATCGCGACGCCTCTCATTTCAAGCTTGGGATTCCTGGAGTATCGCTTGCATTTATTTCGCTCAAGAGTGTTGCGACGACGAACTGTCGAGCCTGATTTCTCTTGAAGCCTGAAGGGCCCGGAGGTCTCAAGAGGTGAGTCGAACCACGCCCAATTCATCACCTGTGCCTGTACCTGTCGCCCGTCCGATGTGGCTGGCGGTTTGATGCGAAATTTGCTGTGTGTGATGGATTTTGATACTGGCCTTTCTCTGCTGGAACTTGGCAGATGATAATGTGCCCGGGTCTTGAAAAGGGGCATCTTTCATCTTGAATCTAGACACGAGTCAAGGCAGGAACTAACCTCTGCGTCCCATCAATAGAATGTCCGAAAACCCGGCCCCTACGAAAGCGACTGACGTGGTTGTAGCCGATCAGCCGACCATCGACTCCGGCGTGACGAAGGAGGACGAATCCAAGAAGGAACGCGGGCTTTTGCAAGTACCCTCAAGGTCATCATCCCAGAAGAACCAGCCATCATCATCTACAGGCCTGAGCGGAGCCACTATTGGAGAGGCCAGGAATAGCATCGGTGGGCGATCTAAAGATTCGCGAAGCAGTTTTCTTGGTCGTCAAAGAAACGGTAGCGCTTCAAGTAAGCGCACAGGTGGCGAGAGCGACCCTACCCAGACGCCCGGCATGTCTCAACCAAGCTCGCCTGTGCAAAAGAAGAAGAAGAGCGGTGGTTTTCTATCGTTCCTTGGATGCTGCGGTGCCCCTGACTCTGGGCCTGGCGCTGATGGAGAGAATGAAAACGTCCATAAGCTTGATAAGCTCCCGCAACGGCCGGCCACCGCGACAAAGCCAAAGACGTCGACATCGCAGGAGCAGCCCGCGACAAAGCAGGTGACCGAAAAGGAGCCCCAGACTACTGAGCAGGACAAGCCCCAGAAGCCCACTGCCTCTGAGGATGCCGACGAGATTACCCCAGCAGAGGGTGACGCCGCCGCGCAAGCCAAGGTCCCTCCCGTCACGGGCAACTCTTCTGCTCAGAAACAGGAGGAAGAAGTGAAGCAGGTTGGAAATGGCCCCCAGAACGATGTCGTGATGCAAGACGCGTCTAGGGAAGAGCCACAGGTGACTGTTACAAGCGTGGAGGAGACGGAAACCACAACTCAGCAATTACCGCCTCCACCTCCAGTACCTGAGACCAACGTTTCTACCCCCTCCGGCCCGGAGGAATCTACCGCCCTGGCCGAAGAGCCCCAGAAATGGCTTCTTCCTCCCATCACACCCGAGCTGAAGGGGAGAAAATGTCTGGTACTGGATTTGGACGAGACTCTCGTGCACAGTTCATTCAAGGTAGATTATCACATCGTCTCTGTTGATTGATTTGCAAGCTGACCTGATTACTCTAGATTTTGCACCAAGCTGATTTTACGATACCCGTTGAGATTGAAGGAAACTACCACAATGTCTATGTTATCAAGCGCCCAGGCGTGGACGAGTTTATGAGGAGAGTCGGCGAGCTATATGAGGTTGTTGTTTTCACGGCGTCTGTCTCTAAGGTATGTTGATTCTGATTGACGCGTTGTCGCAAAACGGTAACTGACCCCTTGAATTAGTACGGCGACCCTCTCCTTGACCAGCTGGATATCCACAAGGTCGTACACCACCGGCTTTTCAGAGAGAGTTGCTACAACCACCAAGGAAATTACGTCAAGGATCTCTCCCAGGTCGGACGAGATCTCAAGGACACCATTATCATCGATAATTCGCCCACATCCTACATCTTCCACCCACAACACGCTGTTCCTATCAGCAGTTGGTTCTCAGACGCTCATGACAACGAACTGCTCGACCTCATCCCGGTTCTCGAGGATCTTGCCGGTCCTACTGTTTCGGACGTCAGTCTGGTTCTCGATGTCACTCTTTAATTGATACCACTCCACTTTATTTTCTTCCGTGTTTAACAAGATATTCACACCAAGCCTGCGGCATTGCCATCATAGCGGACGGCGTTTGGTTGAGAAATTTCGTTTCCTGTTGGTATAGATTACAACTGTCTAATCTTACATAATGTGCTCCGGCAAATAGGGGAAGGGGCGGGACTCTGTTGAGCAAGTCACTCTCTTATCCATGCAGAAGGACCGACTCCTACTGGCATGTATCCTGAAGGGGCCATTTGTTCTGTCATCATAAGATTTTGAGAGGTCCAACGACGGAATCACTCAAGAGCTATCTGATGAGTGGGTTCAAGGCCAAGACAGAACCCCGGCAACCATGAGATATTACTGAAGCATCATTGTCTGCGACGAAGAGTCTGTATGAGAAAGGACGATACCATAAGAGAAGGCGCGTCTGTCAGGATGAAGGTAGTCAACGAGCAGGGCATGGATAATAATGCCTCTAGTCGACCCATCTGGAAGCATGGGTTCATTCATTATACTTTAGTTTTCCTTGTTGTGTTTTCAATTCCTTTTGTTGCGGTGTTATTTTTGCTGAGCTGGTGGGATTCGAATAAAAAGAGCGCGCGAACTCGAAAGACTTGTTCTGTTGCATAGTGGCGAGCATGAAGATGCTGCCCCTCCAGGCGGGCTGGCAATTCGGAATATCAAATGGGACCATTTAGGGAATGTATCTTTTTTTTTGTCCATCAATGGGTTAATACTATGCACACATTGAGACTATAAATTGAGACCTGTAGTTATTTTAGTAATTAAATATTGAATTAAATTTTGTACTTGAGATGAGCCATGTTTAAGGTTGGAATGAGGCAGCGTGTTGGGTCGGAAACGGAAAGCGGATTAACAATGGGCCGATGGGTCCCTTTCTGGTGAAGGTGGCCTCAACTGAAGCCAATTTACTGGTATAGGGACTCGCACATCCACCTAGCTCGCTGCTGCATCAACACTTCAACCGTCGTTCTTTCTCTTCCAATTCGACCCCAGGAATTCTGCAGCGATTCCCCATTGATTCTTATTTCTTTATTTCGTCATGGTAAGCATACCTGTTTCTGGACCACATATCTCGTCTTCACCAGCTCCCGTTTGATTGCGCATCACGCGAGCTTGCGAGTATCATCACTACATTGCGTCAACCTGGCAAGAGCTCCTGTACTGACACAGACGGCGCGTGTATAGTCTTCTCCCCGAGCCTCATCTCCCGCCAACGCTGCTGCCGCCAGCGGCGCCAGCACCGGCCGCCCTTCCTCTCCCACCCCCCCTGGTGGACCTCGCACCGCGATCCGACGACGAGCTGCTGCCGACCAGAAGGAGAAGATCGCCAATGCGCGCCCATCGAGCACGAGGGCCGCTGGTGCCGGTGGCTCCAGCAGCACCATGCTGAGTACGTTTTGTCGAGATTGTTGGAGGTTCGCGTCATGATCGCGGCCTCCTCTGGAATTGGGATTACGAGATTGCTAACAGCCTGGGTTAGGACTTTACACTGATGAATCGCCCGGCCTCAAGGTCGACCCTGTCGTCGTCCTGGTTCTTTCCATTGTCTTTATCTTCAGCGTTGTTGCCCTTCACAGTAAGTTAACGAGAACCCCCGGGAGAACGACCTCGTACGCAGCAGACAGATGTTAACCTGGACATGTAGTTATTGCCAAGATTACCCGACGATTCTCTAGCTAAATCTGGACGCGAATCGATGAGCGCAGGTTTGGGGTGGTTATGTTGTTGGTACCTTTGTATGGTAAAGGCGTAGGACTATTTGAGTGGCTCAGAAACACCAGCGGCTACTGGTATTGAAAGGAAAACATGAGCCAGAAAGGGAGGACCACCTGCTTGCGGCACTCTGTCATGGCGGTGCGCGGCGCGGTTGGCTTCCACGACTTCTCATCATGGCCGTCTGTATAATAATACCCATCTAAGGTTTTTTTCCTCCTTTTTTGTTTTGTCAATTGAAAGAAAAGAACGAAAGAAAGAAAGAAAGTGTGCTTGCGTGGAGATCTTTGGCGTCAGGATAAGTGAAGACGATGATCCAATGTTTTGGGCTGAGAGTTCGTCTTCCTCTGGACTCTGCACTTCATGCATGCTTCGGGCGAGACAGACGGAGGAATACGTAAGTTGAGTGAGGCCGGGTTGAATACCCGGAGTTTGGAGTTTTGGCTTCATTTCCCATTGCCGCTATTGAAGCACTGGTTGGGCCAGGATCGGGTCCGGTGAAGCTGGAGCTGGGGCTCTCGGGGCGGCGTTTTGGTCTGGGGGCTAAATGGCCGGTCCAAGAGCGACCAAAAGTATCCTAATAATAAACTAGGAGTTGTACGAGGTGTGATTTGGGTTGTTTGGCTGAACTCCTGAGAGGCTAAAGCGTTGACGTGAGACATGTGAGACATACTGCATCCCAGGCACGAAGGTTGCGATTTCATATGTATGTGCATAACAGACAAGGCTCTGGATGGGTGGTGTAGGAGAATGCAAGGGCCTATCACCGCCGTGGATGGAACAGGAAAGGAGCCAGTGGCAGTTGATCCCCGCCAACGCTGTGAAACCCCCCACTTACATTGAATCATTGCGTCGTTGTCGATGCACTGCCACCAGCATCCAGGTGCTGCGATTGGCAAACCTTGAGCATTGCCAAACGCCTCAGCCACGCCTCCTCCCGCGCGCCAAGTGCCGACGTGATTTTTCTCTGAATCCCGGCTCCTGATACGCCGGAGTCAGCCCTGCTATATAAGCCGCCTGCGCGGGTGAAGCCGTGGATCCATCCTCTGGCGTTCGCAGGTTGTCTACCTGCTGTTGTCTTGCTTCGAGCCACACCCGGCCTCGTCATCTCTAGGCCCCCATCCCAGGACGGTCTGTTGCATCCAGGCTGTGGTGTGCTGTGTTTCATTGTGTTCAGCTCGAGTCGGTGATACCAACCCCAAAGCCCCTCGCGCGGGCAGTCTCATATATACCCATTCTGCCATTGCATCACCACCTCGACCAACCCCACCAACCCACCTTATCTCTCATCAAGCGAGCTCATGTCTAAACAGCCATGACGTCGGCTCAGGAAGAAAAAGCCATTTTGGCTCAAAAATTAAATCAACCTCCTGCTGGCCCTACACAGACTGACTATGCTGCCGAAGCGCTCGTCACAGATGGCTACATGGTCCAAGATCTGGTGCCTCCCAACGAGGAGCCGCCAGCCTATGGCGACCTCCACGACCAAATGCAGTTTTCCCAGCCGGGGGTTGAAGCTGGCGCTGTGGTAAATGGTATGAAAATATAGAAGATCTGGCGAATTGAGCGATTTGAATACGCCAGAAGCTAATAATACATTGTAGACGTCGGTCGTGTTAGCATCTCCATCAATACCAAGAACAGGTTGCTCGCCGACCTTCTGGCGCCGACCTTTCGCGCCCAGGAGAGGGCATATTCCTCACCTGCGCTCCCTCCAGCTTACATCCCGCCAAGTCTCGGCGGCCAGCCAGGCCAACGTCCTCCTCCGCGGATGAACGTTGTAGTCCAGATCGTGGGATCTCGCGGTGATGTCCAGCCCTTTGTGGCGTTGGGGAAGGTGTTGAAGAATACCTACGGTCACCGAGTCCGTATCGCGACCCATCCCAACTTTCAGTCGTTTGTGGAGGAGAATGGCTTGGAGTTCTTCAGTATTGGCGGGGACCCAGCCGAGCTCATGGCCTTCATGGTAAAGCACCCGGGGCTGATGCCAGGATTCGGCGCGATCAAGAGCGGCGAGGTTACGAAGCGTCGGAAAGGAATTGCGGAGATGCTTCTTGGTTGTTGGTGAGCATATCAGCAGCACCTTGACTCTCTATGCGCCGTCTTGACTAATATATTATCTAGGAGATCATGCTTCGAAGCTGGTGACGGGCTTGGTCCAGCACAACCTCCCCATCGAGACGAGCCATTGGACTTTTCACAAGGATTGCCTCATGATGATGGCCGGGATCATTTTGTCGCAGATGCCATCATTGCTAATCCCCCGAGCTTCGCACACGTCCATATTGCAGAGAAGCTTGGCATCCCACTCCACATGATGTTTACGTGAGTCTCGAAACTGCGCTGTTTGTACGGTGGATGATGATTCTTACTAACAAGAATTAAAGTATGCCTTGGTCACCGACAAGAGCATTCCCACATCCTTTAGCTGATATCAAATCGTCCAATGCCGATGAAGTCCTCACACAGTACCTCTCATATGCCCTCGTCGAAATGATGACTTGGCAGGGCTTGGGAGATGTTATCAATAGATTCAGAGAAAAGGCACTGGACCTGCCGCCACTCTCAATGATCTGGGCTCCAGGCCTTCTGAACAGATTAAAGATACCATATACATACTGCTGGTAAGTTTATAAGTCTCGTGATAAGCTTGTGAACAATAACTAATTCTCTACATATAGGTCACCATCCCTGATACCAAAACCCAACGATTGGGGTAAACATATCGACATCTCAGGTTTCTACTTCCTTGATCTCGCGACTAATTTCACACCCGACCCTGAACTCGCAGCTTTCTTAGCAGCTGGCCCGCCACCAGTTTACATTGGGTTCGGCTCCATTGTGGTTGACGACCCGAATGCCTTGACGCAGATGATTTTCGAAGCCATTCGCACGACCGGCGTGCGAGCTCTGGTATCGAAAGGCTGGGGTGGTTTAGGAGCTGACGATGTCGGGATCCCGGAGGGAGTTTACATGTTGGGTAACGTGCCCCATGACTGGCTCTTCCAACATGTCTCCTGCGTTGTCCACCATGGCGGCGCTGGTACTACAGCCGCAGGCATCAAGGCTGGCAAGCCAACATTGGTCGTGCCCTTTTTTGGAGACCAGCCTTTCTGGGGTTCCATGGTTGCACGGGCTGGAGCTGGCCCTGACCCGATCCCGTATAAGCAACTGACTGCACAAAAGCTTGCCGACTCCATCTCTTTCTGCATCCAGCCTGACACTATCGAGAAGGCGATGCAGTACGGTGAAAAGGTGAGGAACGAGAAGGGTACTGATGTTGGCGCTCAAGCCTTCCACAACCACTTGGATGTCGAGTCACTCCGGTGCTCTCTTGCCCCGAGCCGCACGGCCATTTGGCGGCTCAGAAGGTCCCAAGTTCGGCTCAGTCCACTGGCTGCGGCAACGCTCGTTGAGCAAGGCGCTCTGCAGTATACCGACCTGAAGCTGTATGACTCCCTTTCCCTGAAGTCCGTCTTTGGTCTTACTAATTAAACATTTCAGATATCGAGCGAAGGAGCACAATACTGATGATCAACCCCCCGACCCCATCTCCGCTGCCGCATGTTCTCTCGTGGCGGATGCGAGTGGGATCGGAATGGCGATTGCAGACATGCCCCGCGAGCTGTTCCGGACCCGTCGCAAAGAGTCGGATGTATTCGATACGCCGGAGCGACGTGCTTCTCCTGAAGCGACCACGCCCCCAGAGATCAACATATCGCCCAGTGCAAATCAGAGTCAGGAAAAGGGTCTCGGGCTGTACGATGAGAAACAGGGAGACGCGGAAACCAAGTCGCAGATCACTGCTGATACTGCCTCGACCGCACCTCAACCTAATGAATCCCAGGTTTCTCTGGCCGATAACGCATCGCTTCTTACAACCTCTGCGGCGACCACTAGTTCAAACTCGAATGACCGTCCAAGAACACCAGGCTCCCGGGAGAGTAGGGGGAAAGGGATCAGGCGGGACTCATCCCCCAGGGCTATAGGGATGGACGCTGCCGTCGGTGCTGGAAAGAGCGTCGGTAAAATCGTGACGACCGGAGTCAAGTCGCCAATGAACTTCTGCCTCGGTCTCGCAAAGGGATTCAGGAACATCCCTCACTTGTATAACGACACGACGGTCAGACCTGTCGAGAAGGTGACGGACATCCCCACTGGGATCAAGGTTGCTAGCAAGGAATTTGGCTACGGTCTCTTTGACGGCATATCTGGCTTGGTTACGCAGCCTCTCAAAGGCGCGGAGAAGGACGGGGTTGGGGGCTTGGTCAAGGGAGTTGGAAAGGGTATCGGTGGGTTGGTGGCAAAGCCAGCAGCAGGTAAATATTCAGCCCCGAATGAGGTGTGATGAGAGCTTGTGGACTAATATCTTTGTAGGTTTCTGGGGTATACCGGCCTATACAATGCAGGGCGTTCATGCCCAAGTATCCAAGCTGTTTGCGAGAAGCAGCCAAAACCACATCGTTGCCGCCAGGATCATTCAGAGTCAGCGAGAGTTGAGGAGCGCGACGATCGAGGAGCGGAACGACATCATGCTTCGATGGCAGGCCGGCGAATTCGACCTGAAGCGTTTCCACAACTGGCAGAAGTCGGACAGGGCGCAGCAGAAATCCCCAGCTCCTGGCACGTCGCCTTACATTCAGAGCGGCGGATCCCCGCGCGGGAACTGGATCAACTCCATCAACTCCTTCGTTCCCGGTCTGGATGAGAAGCTGAGCAAATTCCCGGTCGACTTGAGTAAGATCATGAAGTCCGGCAGCAGTGGCAGTGGGTTCGCCTCGCACACCGGCTCCAGCGTTTCGCAAACCTCTACAGATGCCGAGTTTGAACGCGCCATCCAGGAATCTGTGCGGGAGACGTCTCGGGGTGATGCGAAGGAAGATGCCATGATCGAGGCGGCCGTCCGTCAGAGTGTCATCGCGGTGCGCCAAAACGGCGAGCTTCCTGACCCCGTGATCAAAATGTCAGACAAGAATTACTCAATTTTCGAGGATAAAGAGTACAAGGTCACGGACGAGGAGTATCAGGCTCTCATCGAAAAGGCTATTCAACAAAGCCTGGGCGCCGCCTCGGAAGACGTCCCCCAGCCTCAAGAGGCAGGTTCTTCAAGGCAGAAACAGGCGGTAGTTCAGGATCAGCCCCTCCTGGATTCGAAGGCCGCAGCTCCGGCGGAACATGCTGTTACGCAAGAACCTTACGACGCCGAACTGCAGCGAGCCATCGAAGCGTCTCGGCATCCGCCGGCGTTACCCCCTCGGGAGAGCCCAACAGAAGAGGACGAGTTTGAGCGGGCCATTGCCGCCTCCAAGGAGGAGATGGAGCGGGAGAAGAGCCAGCGGACGGAGGAAGACGTTGTTCTCGAGTACATCAAGAAGCAAAGTCTGGCGGAGGAGGAGTACCGGCGGCAGATGAACAAGGGCAAGGAGAGAGCGCCCGGAGATGGGCAGGAGGACGAGGACCTGAGAAAGGCACTGGAGGAGAGTCTCAGGATGAGCGGGCACGGTGGTTCGGGACCTTCTGGGGCGTCTGGAGCTTGATGAACAGAAGATACCAAGATACACGATACATTTGAACTTTTGCAATAATGACGAGCTTTTCTAGTAATGGAAGATTTGAGCGTTCATGTACATGCGACATAGGTCCTCTGAATATGAATCGAAACGTTGCTTTGAATAATTAGATTTTCTTATACAGGCATACCTCCTCGTATCGGGTATCTCCTCGCCCCCTTTAAACCCATCCTCAACGCCTCGCCACCACAGGTAGTAATGACAATTACACCCTTAACCTGTATAACGCTGGAATACAACTTGATATCGCCTCACCCAAAAAGAAGAAGAAAATGTTCAATAGAAGAGAAGAAGAAACTAACTCGCAAAACTGACGAAAGGTTATATACGTGCCAAGTGGCGAATCAAGAGAGAGAGAGAGAAGAAAAGCAGACGCCTCAATAGCCACAACCTTTTTCCAAGTGAGAAAGAATAATAATAAATAACAGCCTGCAAGCTAGACGAGACTCAGCGGTACTGCGGCGGCTGACCAGGCGCAGACTGCTGCTTGTACTGGTAGTCGGGCTGCGGAGGGCCCTGCTGGTACTGCTGGTTGGGAGGCGGGCCCTGATGCGTCGGCCCCCCGGGGCCTGCGCCGCCGTTGGCCATGGCCTGGACGTCCGGGCGGGCTTCCAGAGGCTGGGCGTGGTTGCAGATATGGCAGACGATGTCCTTGTACCCGCTGATGGTGAATGGGATGAGGGGCTGGTTATGATGTTAGCGGGTGAGAAAGGGGAGGAAAGGGGTTGGCACTGCGAGAGAACGCCGCAGACTTACCACGAAGCAAAAGGTGAAGAAGGGCCGGCGGTGGAGGACGTGGCCGGACATGTTACCGCAGTGGTGGCATTGGCAAATGACTCCCTCATAGCCGGGGAGCTCCTTGCGAAAGGTGTGTTCGCCACAGACGAAGAAGAAGAACATGGTGGGCGAATAGGTGGATTTGGTAGTGTGGCGGGTTAGAGACTGATGCAGGAAAAGCGCGTTGAGTGCAGGTAAGTAGCACAGGAGTGGTTGTCAAGGAGTACAGATGGGCGAGATGGAGAAAGAAAGGGCGCTGTGAGCCAATCTCCAGAACCAGTCGGAGGCTGTTTGTTGTCGATTTTGTGAATCTCCGTTGGACGTAGGTGCACTAACGTTAATTTTGTATGACGCGACAAGCACCGGGCCAGGCCGCAGGGCTCTATTTCTATTTTTCTGGGGCGGCAAAACAGGAGCTTTCAGGCCTAAGCTTTGGAAATGGGAGGGGTGATTACGACGCAAATGCCAAGTCTCCGGGTCACGTTGTGAAGGCTTGGCTCGCTGTTTTTTTCCGACTATCAACAACCATGCAGGACGGCAGACATAGAGCGCCAAGTATTCTTTGATCTGATGTCGCAGCCATCATTGGAGTCGTGGCTGAGCCGCAGCGGTGACGAGGGCAGAACACGTCGCTACTGGATAGTGCCTCAGGTACCTACAGTAAGGTTTCAGGAGACTTTAGTACTGCTGCAGCCCGTCAGCACCCTAAATCCATTTCATGAACATTTCCGCGCCTGGACGCCTTGATAACATCCGCGTCAAGACATCTCCCATGCGGACGGCGACCTCAATGCAGTATGAGTGTCACTAACATTGATCGTGTTATCGATGATATCATAGCCGAATCCGTACGAGGGTAGGCCCTCAAACCATCCCTAGTACATCCTGCGATGGGTGTGAGTGGGGTTTAACATCTTCAACAACCACGGGGCAATGCGCATGATGAAGTACAAGAGGTGTCTGGCAATACTCGGTTCTAGTCAAAATTATACTCATTGCTCAAACGGAAATAGATATAATCACTCGATTTGTAGCAGCCCCTGAAATTAAATGAAAAGAAGCTTTTTTAGGCACAACTTTCAACATGATTCGAGGCCGACTCGGGCATCCACTGATGAGCATGACCCGGCAGGTACGCCGACTGCCCCACTTGATCTTTTTTTTTTAACGCCCATGAAGCTTATTGAATCCGCCCGCCATCACCAACCAGCAGCATCGCGTCGCGTCGCATTACCCCAAAACTCTTCTCTGTCATTCGCAAGACTAGAGATTGAGCCTCCCGATGGCCTGGTAACAGCCGGTGTTTGTCAAGAGTAGCGCCCGCTCACTACGACTTCTCCTCGTTCAGCCCGAAGGTTGCCCGTCATGCTCTACGACCTCAACGTCCCTTGGTCGCCCTCGACCACCGATTCCCAGTTGCTGCAGACCCTCACCCTGTCTGCATCTCTTGGCTATGGGGCAGTCGCACTGAACACGACCTTGACACAGGCTCCCTCAGGCCAACAGGGGGTTCCATTCCCCAAGCTCTCGCCCGATTCTCCCACCAAACTGCCCCGGATTCTTCATCGGGCAACCCTCGTCCTGGACGACCCCGCCGCCTCCAACTTCAGCCTCCCCGCCCTCGTGCGAATGTACGATATCCTCGCCGTCCGGCCCCTCTCCGACAAAGCCTTCCAGAACGCATGCCTCACCTTCGACACCCCAATCATCTCCATGGACCTCACCCAGAACCTTGGCTTCTACTTCCGCCCCAAGCCGTGCATGGCAGCCGTCTCGCGTGGGGTGCGATTCGAGATATGCTACAGCCAGGCGTTGGCTGCCGATGCTCGCGGCCGCGCGCAGTTCATAGCCAATACCACGGGCCTGATCCGTGCCACTCGCGGGAGGGGGATCATGATCAGCAGCGAGGCCCGGAACGCTCTGGGTCTCAGGGCGCCGGCAGATGTGGTCAACCTGCTCGACGTCTGGGGTCTTGGGAGGGAAAAGGGCATGGAAGGCCTGGGCTCCGTCCCCAGAAGCGTGGTTGTCAATGAAGGGGTCAAAAGGACTGGCTTTAGAGGCGTCGTCGATGTCGTCCAGGCGCTGGACGCTCCTTTCACGAAAGAAAAGCAAGAGGGACAGCCTGGTCAAGGCAGCAACAAGAAGGACAAGAAGCAGAAGCGGAAAAGTGGAGAGGAGACTCAAAGGGGGGACAAACATCAGTCTAAGAAGATGAAGCTCGTCTCGCGGGACGCTGACACAGCCAAGAAGTAGCTCTCGGCCGTCTCTCGTTCGATCGACTTTCTTCTCGCTCAAATTGGCTTCCTGAATCGCGTATTCGGCATGCTGCATATAACCCGCTAGTCTGATCTAAAGAATTGCGGTTGGTGTCTGCTCCTGACACAGACAAGAGAGCACTACTTGGACTTGCGAACACTATCGTTTTTTCACACATGGCCCAGGCTTTCTCGCCCAGCACTTGGTTAATACCATGAAAATCGAGAATGAACCTTTGGCAGAAATACGGGATATACGCAGTCCCCGACTACGAGCACACGCCGTGTTCTACACTAGGCCCTCAGTATCAAGATAATACCAGTTAGCCCAGTCTTGCATGGAGCGGTATCTAATGAAACTGGTAGGATGGCTCCATTGAGATCAGACGGAAATCGGAAAACGACCTCTGGATGATTCCTACTATATTTAGTTCAAGGGGCTTCACTCAATGGGGAACCAGATACCATAGCCGCCTTGGGAAATGCTAATCCTAAGACGATTTTCACAGCAAACCAATAACAAGAAAGAGCTACCTTTTTTTTTAGTTGGTATCCAACTGTAGATCTGTCTTGATAATTGTGACATACATTTTGGTCTGGCGAGCACCTTGATGGATCGTAGAGGGCCCCTCCTCATATATATCAACCAAACAATTCCCCTCAGGTTTTACCCTTGACACCAAGTAGGCTGGCGTTTCCTTCCCCCACATTCTTTCTTCTCAGCGGTTGCCCTTGATGCGGGGAGTAGAAGCCGGGCTTGGCTTGGGGATCCGACTGTGGGGTAAGGAGCTCCGGGTGTCAAACCCCGGCTTGGTTGAGTCGAATTGCCCGGCCTCTATACACTTCTGAGGGGACTGAACTCTTATTCTTGTCCGTACTGCAAAGCTCCGTAGCAGGCACGTGAGCTAGTTGACCTCCCTAATTCATATGTATGAAGCCATCTCACGCACTGCCACCCCGACTACCAGCCCGTCTCATCGACCTCCTCGGCGCAACGCTCAACGTGATGGAACTTCCGTGCGGCAACGACTTTCCCCAAGATTCCCCAAGATCTTGGATCATTTAGTAGATTCGTGTCCATCTTCAACATGGCAGCTCCCGTTACCCATCAGCTCGTCCGGCTGGTCGTACGAGCCCTCGCTCGACGACCCGGGCGAGCTGTACGCGGCGCAGCTGTTCCGCGACGAGGGGGGACCGTACGTGTACGACTCCGAGCCCTCGGGGATGGGGACCATGGCGTTCTTGGCCCAGATGTGGATTGCCTTTGTCCAGTCCAGGCCCTGGATGCAGCCTGCCTTTATGGAGATGACGTTCTTGTTCTGCGCCGGGAAGGGTAAATGAGAACATGTATTCGAAAAGGGAATGTATTCTTTTGAGGGGGCTTACAGGTACTGAATGGAGCATTCGTGTGCCGCAGTTGCGGCAGAAGTAACTAATAGTCGCGAGCCAAGTCAGAAGGGAGTTCACTAAACCTAAGGTATTTTGGGGGAAAAAAGCAAGATTCCTACCAATAAAGAGTCTGGCCCGTGGATGTCGGACGCCTAGCAGCGGAAAACAAGAATCAGAATACTGGAGAATTCATGTTTGGTGAGAAGAACCCTTATTCACAACGCACCTGTAGCAGCTCAGAAGCTCCGAGTCCGGGAGGTTGAAGCGGGGGAAGATGGCAGAGGAGCCGAACGCAGAGCTTGCCTGGCGGCGACAGTCGTCGCAATGGCAGACATAGAGCGCCAGGGGGTTGGGGAGGGGCGTGGTGAATCTGACGGCGCCGCACTGGCACGCGGCTTCCATGATGCTGGTTTTTGGTGGTGAAGTGGGCTGGAGTTGAGGTGAGGGGTCGGTTCGTGAACGAGGTGAGACGATTGTCCTTGTTATAGCAAGGGTCTTGTGCATGGACGGCTCCTGCCGTATTCTGCGTGGCCAATTGCGACGGCGAGTTCCTCCGTATTACTGGCAGATACGATACGATATAAGAATTCGCCCAGGTCGAGTCTGATCATTACATCACTTTGGCCAGACGCGTGACTCATCGCACACCGAATGCCGCTTGCAGCTGCGATGAAGCGAGATTGGCGCGAAGTCACATGAGTCAATGCGAACGTGCATAACTTGGAAAACTTGCCAATCAGAGGATAACTCGTACAGGGAGCAATCGATTAAATAATTACGATCATTAGATGTTCCCAATCAATAATCTTGAGTTTATAGCATGTGTATCTAATGATGTGGCGTTTTAGCCTCTCGCATTGCTTGCATTCGCTTGCCTCTGACTGGGCTAACTGCCTGCAAACCGCTTTTTCACTTTTAGTAGTTTTTATCTGAGAAATACTCAGAGAGAGGCGGCCGTAAATATATCATTATGTACATCATTTGGGTGCGGTTGTCGTCCTTTCTCTCTTATGATAACTCCTTGCCATCTCCATGTCCCTGTGAGGTGGGATCTCGAATCTGTGATGTGTTTCGAATTCCATCTTGAGCTCAGCAAGCTTCAACTCCCAATCAAACCCTGAATATTCGCTGGTACCTCATTAAATATGGCCCAGGACCTAGAAACGCCGGAGGAACCTGGCTTGACTACCCACACAAGATTGGCCGAATAAGAAGATAACTTGGTCAGTGTTCGGTGTTCGATAACCCGCTCGACACCTTGCTCATCTTTAGGTATATCAAGCGACCCGAGAGTCTTCGTTCGTCCCCCCACACTCACCTCAGCCTTGCTGCATCGGCTCAGGCGGTATGCTCACGCCCTGCAGCCCTCGATACACATCCACCTTGCGCTCAAACTCGATATTCGGCGGCACCGAAAAGTCCCCCCGCGCAGCAAACCACAACAACGTCTCTGGCTCCGGCCCCCGCGTAACCGGCGGCGCACCCTGCTGCTGCTGCGACCCCCTCGTCCTATCGTCGGCCTCGTCCTCATCCTCCCCCTCCTCATCGTCGTCGCTCTCGTCCTCCTCGAGCTCCCTCCGCAGGCCCGTCCGCACATTCTCCACGCCCGCGTCCCTCTCCTGCTTGGTGTACACATCGTCGGCCTCCTCGGACACGTACTCGGCGATGCGCTGCTGCGTCCACCGCCGGCACTCGTCCCACACCTCCTGCAGGACGGCGATGCCCTCGGGCGTGGCCCGGTGCGCCGTCTCGAGGCCCTGCGACACGCGCTCCTCCATCTGCGGCTCGAGCTTGCTCCGCAGCAGCGTCGAGAGGAGGCCCTCCTGCGTGCGGCCGGGGTAGTTGGTCGACGGGTGGAGGGCCATCTGGCTGAACAGCTCCGAGTTCTCGGTGATGCTGTCGAGGATGGTCTGGAGGTTGCGCTGTAGGATCTGGGCCGAGGCCTGGAATGAGGATCTATTACGCCACCCGGAGACGTTAGCAGATTGCGACATGTGGATGACTCGGGGAGGTGGTGAGAGACGCACGGAGGAGGGAGCGGTGCGGATCTCAGCAGGTCGTGCTTCAAGCTGTTGATGCTGCTGGAGAGCTGTGAGATTCTCGAGACCATCTGCTCGACGGATTTGAGCTCGTCATCGTCGAGCCCGAGCGTCGCCATTGTGGCGGATAGTTAGAGCGGCGCAAGGTGAGTTGGTGCTGGAAATCGGCTGGATCAATGCGATGGTGCGAGTGCGTAAGAAGTAGTTGTCGGCGGTGTGTTTGATTCAAGTTGGTCCAGTGAGGGGAGGCAGGTGCTTCCTTTAGGTGGGCTTATCGATAAGATCAACAGCTCAAGCTCGTCATTCCGCCTTCTCTCCTCACCATCACCCTTCTTCCCCTCTTTCATTTCTAGCCTTCGCCTTGGTAAGGTTGAAAACTTTCAGTTTTCATCTCGGGTGCGACGGGTGTGAGAGTCCGAGTGGCTTGACTCACACAGTAAAATCAGCAATGGAAGATGCCAGACCCGACATGTCAACACAATGAATACGGAAGGCAACAATAAGCTCTACCAGCCCAAGGCTACAGCGATGCAGAAGGAAGACTCTGAAAACCTTCATGCCGGTGACTCCCTTGCTGTCGGGGCGAGCTGCTCGTCAGATGCCTATTTATTTTCCCTCTTTCCTCTACCTAGCTGGAGTCCTGCATCACACACAGCTTCCTTCGTTCATCTTACACCAATCCAAGCAACACCAAGCTCAAGGCCTTTCACATACCAACCCGGTGAGTACCAGTTGCCCCTTGGCAAAGCACCCGCACTGACACGTGCGCAGCCTTGGACATCATACAGGACCAGATCTCGGCCCCTTCTATCGAAGGCAATGAGATTACTTGGACCCAAGTTCCAAAGCCAAAGTTAAACATAAGTGATCCAAAACTTGTTGACTACGCTAAGGGAGCCCCAGTCGAGGAGTTTGATAAGGCTGAGCATTCTGAAGACCTTGAACAAGAACAAGAACTTGGCCTTATCAAGCTGTTTGATTGGGACTGCCTTAGCGTAGCCAACAAGTCTTCATCTCAAATCCAATAATGGCTGGTTTCACCTTGATCAAAAGAAAGCGAATTCGAAACTCAAATGTCATCATTGAAATCTTATCAACTATATGCCTAAAATACATTCGCCAATGCCATGGATGCCAACGCTTAAGATAAAGAAGAAGAAAAGGATATGGGGACGGATAAGAATTTCCGATAGCAGGATCATAAAAAAAAGAAAGAAAGAAAAAGAAGTGGAAGAAGTCATCCCGACACCGGCTTGTGTATGCGTTGCTGATCAAAAATAGGCATGTTCTCACTCCAACCCTCCCTCCTCTTTAACGCAAACACCTAGGACTTATCGTATGCTCTTTTCTCTCACGGTTTTGGTGCGCTTTTGGGTATCAGTCTCATATAAATCAAGTGAGCAGTCCAGGTGTCGCCAGGTAGCTGGAGATTCAGCCATCTAAGACGCCAAGAAGCAAGATGGCCATCTCAAAGGGGACAATTCAATGTTCAGATCGTTTAGCTACCACGCGTCGAGTTCACGACAGAGCTCTTGAGCTCGGCACCGTAAACGTCAACGAAGGGGAAGCGAGCGCGGCGCTCCAGGTCGTCAAGGGGAATCGTAGAACGGATATACCTAGGGCGCAAAATCCGGTCAGCAACACGAGACATAAATCGGTGAAACAAATGCGGGGAGAACTTACTTCTGGCGGCCGTCATCCTCGGGGTTAAAGTCCCAGCTGGTGAAGCTGCCGAGCTTCAGGGCGTCCCACACAACACGGCGTCTGCGCTGGGAGTGGAAGACCTCGGCGGTGATGGCATCGTAGTCCCATCGAGCGTCGGCCTCGGCCTTCATCTGGTTGAACTTCTCCTTGGCCTCCTGCTCCTCGGGGGTCTTGGGCTCGATCTTGCGGAACCGAGCAAGGTTGTCCAACTCATCGGGATCGCGGGCCAGGTTGAAGAGCTGGGGCTCGTCGGCAGGGCAGGTGATATACTTCCAGGGGCCACGACGGATCATGAATAGGGGGCGGACGGTGCCCTCACCGGTGTACTCGGCGAAGACCTCATCGTGGCCTTCCTTGCCCTGGAGATGGGGCAGCATACTGACGCCGTCCATGGGCAGATAGGGAGAGGGCTTGGTGCCAGCGAGGTCACAGACAGTGGGGAGGATGTCGAGAGTCGAGACGTTCTTGGAGACGCGGTGAGGCTTGAACCACTTGGGGTAGTTGACCAGGAGTGGAACACGGACAGACGACTCGAAGTAGCTCATCTTGTACCAGAGTCCTCGCTCGCCCAGCATATCACCGTGGTCACCGCTGAAGATGACGATGGTGTTGTCAGCAAGGCCAGCATCGTCGAGGGTCTCCAGCAGTCTGCCGATGCAGTCATCCACGTAGCTGACGGAGCCATAGTAGGCACGCTTAGCACGCTTGATCTGGTCATCAGTGAAGTCTTGGTCCCAGAGGTCGCAAACCTTCATCAGACGCTTGCTGTGGGTGTCCAGCTCCTCCTTGGGGATGCGGACCTTGGGGAGGTTGATGTCCACGCCCTCATACAGGTTCCAGTACTTCTTGGTGATGGTATAGGGGTCATGGGGGTGAGTCAAAGAGACCTAGGTTCATAACGTGTCAGCCTACCCGTCATGCCAGGACATCCGAGCACGCCTCGGCGGCTTTACAAGCCCATCCATCTACCGGGTCACTTACCGTCAAGCAGAACGGTCGCTTCTTGGGGCCCTCGCGGACGTGGTCCCACAGATACTGTGTGCTCTTGTACATGACCTCCTCGTCATAGTCAAGCTGGTTGCTACGGCCACAGGGTCCTGCCTGCAGGATGGAGCTGGCGTTGTGGTACCACTCGAGCCTGGTGTCAGGCTCGTCCCAGTTGACGGCCCAGCCAAAGTCGGCAGGGTAGATGTCGCTGGTCAGGCGCTGCTCGTACCCGTGCAGCTGGTCGCCGACGAAGTGCATCTTGCCGGCCAGGGCAGTGTGGTAGCCCTTGGCTCGGAGGTAGTGGGCGTACGTGGGGATCTCGGAGCTGATCTGGGAGGCATTGTCGAAGGCACCGATCTTCATGGGCAGCAGGCCGGTGATCATGCTCATACGGGAGGGGGCACAGAGGGGGGAGGGGCAGTAGGCCGAGTCAAACTGGACGGCGCTGGCGGCAAGACGGTCCAGGTTGGGGGTCTTGATCTGGGAGTCCGGGTTGTACATCTTGAGCTGGGGAGCAGCCAGCTGGTCCGCCATGATGTACAGGATGTTTGGCTGCTCGCCGCCATCCGCGGGGCGAGGTGCCTCCGCAGGGGCCTCCCCAAAGACTGATGGGGGGAGAGAGTTGAGGTCTGGAGACATGGTGGGAGAATAATGGAGTGGAGTGGTGGTGTTGCTTCTGTTGTCCTGCTTGGGTGGACGAGAGGCCGGCAGTCGTCTTTAAGAGACTAAGCTAGCCTGAAGGTGAGAGGAAGAATTAGAGCTGGGGAAGAAGGGAGCAGAAGAGGCGGAGGGAGATGAGGAGGGAAGGCAGGGTACAAATAGTGGTTAGTCGTTGGGTTAGAGGCGGGAGCCAAGGTATTAGTAGGGTTCCGGTGGCGGCTCCTAGATACCGGCTGTGGAAATTACGCAGGGGGGTGAGGATATGTTCCTTCGGCCAAGTATGGATTGGCTGGATGGATGGACGGGATGTTCAGGGATAGTGGATGGCGGTTTGGGCGGTCACGAGGGGTGGCTTGAGCAAAGCTGGGTGAAGACACGATGGGGACAAGGAGGTGGGAGGTGTGAGGTCGTCAATCATTGGCATATTCGAAATGCGTGGTACGTCAGTCTGCCAGGGTGGAATGCTGGCATGATGCTGAAACTACGGATGAGACTTGCGAAACTATGTTGTCGAGGCCGAGGCGTGGGTGTTGTGTCTTCTGGGACGACGGCATCAAGAGAAGCGAGGAGAAGACGAGGAAAAAAACAGGCAACCAGGCTAATCAATCACACGCTAGCCAAAGGCCTTCCGAACAAGGCAAATTGGCAGGAATCCGAGACCGGCTTGGGGTGATGGAAAGTGGTCAATCGGGTTTTCTGGGACCATCAACGGCTCATACGGTTGTCGGGGCGCCAAATGGCATAATAATGAGACGCACACAGACTTTGCACACTATCAGTGGTGTCGACGTCGAAACTTTTGCGACGGACGGACATGGGGCTGTACAGTCAGCACAGTATTTGTCGAGTGAGGGCCGGAGGATTACACTGGCATTCCGTGCACTCAACTGCCTGTTTCCTTGTCTTTGGCTCTGGCTCTGGCTATATCATGGTCGCTGCTCACCCAACCCATCTCTCCCATCTCCTATCTCCTAAAAACATCCATGAATTTCTCTGCTGGTCTTTTTACTGGGACCGGCTTATCGATTGCTATCAGATTTACAAGGCCAGACCTAAGGGTAGGCGGTGAGTGGAATAGCGCTACACAGACACCAGAGACCCTGAGAAACTACCCGATTGGGTGCTGTCAAGGCTGCGGTTGGCTGAGAGCCCCTGCGCACCTTGCTGAAAGCACACAGGCTGGGCGGCGGGGGAGCAGGAGGCTAATCTGCAGGGGTCTTGACCCTCAGCAATTGGAGTCATCATTCCAGCAACGGCCGGATCGATCTATACGGTGCATCTCGACCCCAATCCGCACCGTATAGATGCTGCATCGTTCGAGCTCAACGCCAACAATTCATCATGTGGACACACGCGCACGCGCCCAGAGACCAGACACAACTTTGCCTCCTCGCCATGGGTCAAGTCGAGGGAGGCGGCAGCACCGGACACTTGGCCGACGGCGCGCAGCAACGAGCACCGGGCTGCACTCCTCGACCTCAACACCAACATCCAAGGCAACGTATGGGATGGAGATAGTGGCATATTGCGGACTGGACCCGTGCCTGCTCTGGGCGCATCCACCCGCCGTCTTCCAGAACTATGGATCGAAGGCAGAATGCCATCATCAATTCTCCGACGCCTTGGGCCACAGGCTCTCCGCCGTCTGCCAGGTCTTTGTCTCCTCCAACAAAGGGACGAAAACAATACGTGCAGCACAACGGAAGAGGGGGCGGGGTCGGTGGAGTGAGGGGTGTTGTCAATCCAGTCCCAGGCTTGGACTGATTGACACCGGGTCTGCAACATTACGAGAGGAGGCCAGCCATGGCAATCCAATCCAATCCTTTCTCCGGACTCGATTCGAGTGTGTGTGCGAGCAGCACGACAGCTACACCGTCCCACGCGTCCCCCATTTCCCACAGTCTCGCCCGTGGCCGACGGACTGGCCAGAGCACTGTATAAGTCTGCCCATCCGTGTCAATGTACCCTCTTTTTATGTTGTGATTTCTGCGATTTTCCATGTCGACATCAAAGTCTAAGATGACACCATCGCCTCCCTGACACGCTCACTCTCCGTTCCTACGGATCAACCTTCTCACTAAGCTCCCCGGTCCCAGCTTTTTTTCCCTCCTCCTCCGCAGCGTGCTGCGCGCGTTCCGTGTCTGGGTCTGGGTCTGGATGGATTGCCGTTTCCACAAGTTTCCACACCCAAGCCCTGGTGCTGGTCCGTCCTGCAACCCCGGTCATACAAACACGCCCACACCCACAACCACAACGAGGAACGAGGCACCAAAGCTCGCATCTGTGGGGAGACACGACATGTCTGTTTCTCTTCTTCCTTAGGTTGCATGCAGTAGGTCCAATTAGTGCCCCTTCCCGCCCTCCTCCCACCTCCGTCATCTCCCTCAGTGGACAGACAGCACGCTTCCTCCACGCCCGCCCGTCCTCCCTCCCAGACAGTCAGTCGTGTTATCGTGCATGGCTTCAACGCAGGAAGAAAAAAAAGCCACCGCCGGCACCGACTCCCACAGTCCAGCCGCCAGCACCCTATTCGCCCGTAACCCCCGGTGAAAAGGAAAAAAGCCACCATCACCTCTCACCTCCTCGCTTAGCCCGGGTCTGTCACCTCTTATCGTCAGGAAGAGAACAACCTAACGGCAACGTAGTCCACCTTCCTTCCCTCGTCTCGCTCGGCACTTGTGCTTCCCCCCCCCTCGGCCCAAGCCTCGCTATCCATCCTATGCTCCCAAGCCATGTCATGGGCTGGTCGCGTGAGCTCCTCGCTAGCGTCGCTTGGAACCGATAAGCAGGAAAAAGCAATCTTAAGAGAGACCGCTTGCAAACCAGTCCCACCCACCGCTGCCCAATAGTCAGTCACGCCAGCGACTTTCGCTCGAGTCGGTCGGGGGCCCGGGATAAGAGTAAAATAAGGGAACGGTCCTGTGGTAGGTAGCTCTGGTGTAATATGTTGTAATGGCGAGTATGGTATCTTGAATATGTAAAACCTCACTAATAAAGAAAACGAACCGGCCCCCTAACCCACATTATCATGCTACCTTATCTACAACATCACAACACCCGAATGTTACAACTCCGGTCTTGCGCAAAAAAAACCATGGTCCCTTTCGTTTCGTTTCGTTGCCCTTTGCCTTGCGTTTCCCTTTCCCTTCCGTTTCACTCCCCCAATAGTCAATCAATCAGTGCAGAAAAACAATTGTCGCTTCCATAAGTCAAAATTTCAGTTTGCTTGGGCGTCCCTACTCCCGTTGGAGAGGCCGGCTCATCTCCACCCCCAACACTCCGATTAGATAGAACAGTTGTTGTGCGTGCCCAGATTTATTGTGTTCGGTAGAACTTCTTGTACAGCAGGTGCAGCAACAAGTTGACGTTGAGTCGGAGGTTGCCCTCGAACAAGTTCATAAACTGGTGGGCTTCGAACTGGGCCTGCAGCAGATCCTCGATCGGCACAAGCGCACTCGCTCCCGGGATCTGGATGTGGCCCTTTGATCCCTCAATGGCGAAGACGCCCACTTCGTCGCACGAGATGGTCAGGTTGATCTTTTCCCAGTCGGCCATGCCGTTCCATGAGACGAGGACGCCCTTCTCCAGGAGGGCTCGGGCGCTGTACTTGTAGCTGCCGAACTTGGGCACCCGGCCGCTGCGCTCGAGCTCGCGCTGGTGGTTGTACTGCTTTGTGAACGGCAGGAGGAATCTCTTCTTGCTGTTGAGCGAAACTCGTGTCAGTATTCCGTTACATCTCATATCTGGTAGCATAATAGTAGGTTGTAGTCACTTACCCCTTCTTGTTCTGGAGTGTCGCCATCGCCTGTTCAATGTAGTCGTCGTAGCTCTTCCTCTGCTGCTCCAGGTACTTAGCCTTGTCGTGCAAGTTAGACAAGGTCATCCGAACACCATCCAACTCCCGTTGTCTCTGTACTCTCCGCCGACTCTTGCTGCGGATGTCGACAGCAATCGCATTGAGCACGTCCTGGTAGTAGTTGTGCTTCGAGATGCGTCCCCACTTCTCCAAGCGCATCACGTTCTCCAGCGCTGTGCGCTTGAGCTCGTGGTACGACATTCGCGTCACGTCCACCATGTTGGCATCCGAGTACGCTCCACGAGTCTTGTTATCGTTCATGAAGTCGTCTCGGAGGATCTGCTGCCACTTGATTTCGTCCTCGTCCGTGATCGGCTTCACCAGGATCTCCAGGAGGTTCGCGCCCGTTTGTACTCGTATAATATACAAGACGCAACGTTTCGTCTCCATAAACAGCGCCTTCACCTCGGCCTCCGGATCATTAATGTCGTGGAGCTTTGGCGTCAGGAACATGTGGATCTCGGAGGAGCCAACCGCATTCATCTCGCTCTCGTTGTTCTTAGCATTGCCCAAATCGTGCATAATCTCACGCAGAACGTCGTCACGGCTCGGGCACATGTAGTTGAGCTCAGCAGCGACCAGGTTGTGAATGGCAAAAACATCCGTCATCTTGATGTACAAGGTAGGCTTGTTCTTGGCATAGAGGTCGTTGAACTCGTCAATATCGAAAGTGCTCTCGGCATCCTGGACGGAAATCAACTCTCCCGTGATTTGAGCCAGCCTCTCAATAGACTCGGAAACGAAAGCGTTGAGGGGTTGGAGATAGATGTTCTCGCCTCCGAAAACTCGACCAGAAGCAATCTGCCCGACAACCTTGCCTACTTCGCTCAAGTTTCTCTTCTGAAGAGGGCTCAATCCCTTTTCAATTACACCCACGTTTTCGGGGTATATCAAAGCAGGCTGGAGGTAAGATTTCCACACCCAGTTGGCGACAAGCTGCAGTATCACCTCGGGGGCCTCCCTCTTGAAATGTTGCCTCAATGACTGGAACATCTGGCTTCCAAGGAAACGCAGGCCATAAGGCATCTTGTGCAAGAGATCCTCCAATGCCAAGAAGAACTGATCGCAAATCTCTCGGAGGTCGCGAAGATGATCGATGAAAAGTCTTCGGGTCTCTGGGTCCCTGATGGCCACTTCCCGAGGAACTTCGAGTGGGCGAGGATCTGGCATACCCGTTCGAAGCTCTTCGTTGTTGATCGCAGACCGGTAAATCTGCATTGGGTCGCTCTCAAGGTCCAGAGCAGGATCATCCACAATATTGTCCCGAATCAGAGGTCCCAAGAGATCCCTCAAATACTTGCGGTCGCGAGGGGATCGGGTGTAGTTGCCGAGCAGCTTTGTCCAGAAAAAGTTTCCACGAAGATATTCTTGGAATGTCTTACACCCCTCGATATCTTCCTTGATTGACCTAGAAACCAATTTTAGGAGATAATATTCTTCTCGGCGCTTTTGGGCGTATCCGAAAAGACTCATGATGAGCAGCTCTATCCTCTTGCTCTCCTTCTCGGACGTTCCTTGCTCGCGAATATGACGGAAGAGTCGAGCGAGGTATTGTGGCTGTGTTTGGAGATTGAAGAACAACTGCTGATACGACTCAAGCTTCTTTCTTGAACCCTTATTGAGCGCCTTCAAATCAAATTGGTTGCCAGAGGACATGGATGAGTTGGCCAGCAGACCCATGGTGTGGCCTCCGAAGTTATGTTGGTGCCGTACTACTTCGTCGAGAGTAATCTTGTTCTTGACCAGTAGCGCGATCTTGATATCAAGTTGGTCGATGTATTGCTCCAGCATTTCGTTCTGGCGAACTTGCTGAACGACCGTCTTGCGCATGCGCTCAAATTCGATCTCTTCGTTGAAATCGAAATCGCTATCGTTCAAAAGGTGCACAAAGTTCTTGACAGCGCCGACCGGGGGGTTCTTCCCCGTGGTAAGACTCTTGTAAGCCTCTCCCTGGACCTTGGCACGGACAAAACTCTGAATCTTGACCACCTTTTGCATGTTCTCGTTGAAGAATCGTCGCTTTTCTTCAAACCGGGCTCGAACGAGGAAGCCCTTGATAGCAGACTGGGCCTCAACGATTGATCCCTCCTCTTCCTCTAACTCTGCAATCAAATCACCAACTCTTCCCCGTTCCATGATTCCTCTCAGGATGGCCTGGAATGCTGCGATCTTATCATAGTGAGAATCCAGTTCCTCAAGCAAAGCGGAATGCTGACGTCTGTACAAGAAGCCACGGATACCGGCTTGTAAGCCGACCGTCTTGGAGACGTGGCTATCGAGCTCAGTTCTGTCTGCAAGAATCTGCTCCCGAACGAACAGACCCCGGATCATAGACTGAAGCGAAACAATTTCTTCCGAGTTCTCCTCCAAAGCATCAAGATCTGCTTTTACGTTTTTCCGTACAACTCCCGCTCTAACGATGGCCTGGAGTTGGGTGACCTCGGCTCGGTGCTTCTTCAACTCTTGACGCAAAGCCTTGGTCTCAGCCCGAGACGCAAGGCCGCGTGCAAACGCCTGAATCTTAGTGAACATAGGGGCTGCAGCCTGAAGATGCTCGTTTTGGATCTCAATTCGTTGTCTCAGTTGCTGTGCCCGGAGTGCAGCTTGGAAGCTAACAATCGACGGCGATTCAGCATGCAGCAGTTGACGATCCTGGTTGAGGCTTTCTCGGACAAGCATTCCCCTTACGGCTGCCTGCAGTCTTTTCACCGCGCCAGAGCTCTTCTTGGTTTCTTTATGTTGAGCGACGAGGGTTTTGCGGAACAAGAACCCCCTAACAGCTGCCTGGAGTCTTTGTACCTCACCAGAGCTCTTCTTGACTTCTTGATGTTGAGCAACGAGGTTTTTGCGGCACAAGAACCCCCTAGCAGCTGCCTGGAGTCTCTGTACCTCGCCAGAGCTCTTCTTCGTTTCTTGACGTTGAGCGACGAGCTTTTTGCGGAACAAGAACCCCCTGGAGACTGCCTGGATCTCTCTGATTGGCCCTCCGCAGGTGGCCAGAGTAGATCGTGCCTCCCGTGCCTCGTGGCGAGCTTTCTTCGCCCTGATCATGCTTTGGAGCTCCAGGATAGCTGGCTCGACAGCCTTCCAGAATCTATCAGAATTCTCCAGCCTCCGTCTCAACAAAAATCCGCGGGAAGCACTCTGCAGTTGGGTGGCAAATCGCCTCATCTGAAGTCGGTAACCCATGATCTGGCGAGTAAAGTCACCTCGAATGCGCGATTGGAGGTCAATCAGAAACTCTTCCTGGTCCCAGAGCTTCTGCATAGTCTCGCCGAGTTTCAGTCGTGTCATTGCTCCTCGGACTTGCGCCTGGAAATCAGCTATAGATGCCTCGTTTTCGGCCAGCTCTCGGTCAATTCGTTCCTCTTCCGTCTCTTGCGGCTCAGGTTCTGGCTCTGGCACGCCAAAATCTGCACCCATATCGCCGAAGGTCGGCATGTTAATGCCCAACTTATCAAGGCCTTTCTGCATTTCCTCCAGCTCATGATGTTCGAATTCTAGCTGTCCAACCAGATTTCCTATGCGAAAATCGACGATACCGAGTCGGAATAACAACCAACTCAGTGCATGGATACAATAAATTACTTTTGGGATATTCTTTTTCTCATAAAGATCGATGAGCTCGAACCGGAAGAGGTCGGGTAGCTCTACTTCATCTAGGTATCGAAAGAAAATCGCAATGTTGTCAGAGTGTCGGTACTGGAGGCGCGGATGATGGAATATCCTGAAATGTTTATTGGGATTGAGGGCTTCAACCACCTGTGCGAGGGTGACGCCGTCTCGTAGAGCCTCTTCGAGTTCAACAATAGGCGGAAGTGTCTTGTGTGTGACGTCCTCGATCCATTCTTTGGCCTCGCCAATATGGCAAAGGTATTCGTAGGCTTGAAGAAACTGGCGTTGCTTGTCTATCCACTTGCTGCTTTCCCAGCCATAATTGCCTTGCTTTGGGCCACGGCCACCATTAGACTTGTCTGACCGCTGCAAACGTCGTCGGCCGCGGAGACCGACGACCTCTTGCGCCGGCGAAGTAACGTTGAAGCCATCAACGGCTTCAGACTCGGTAAGGCGGGAGAGTGTTCTCAGTTGGCTCGTAGTTGAACGGCCCAGTTTTTCCAGGTCTGGACGGCCGATATGTGTAGTGCTCGAGCTATGATGGTGGCTCGGTTGGGTCCCAGCACCGGCCCTTATGCTCATTGAGTCGGAGCGGGATAGCAGCATAGAATTTGGTCGCACATTGCCGTGTCGAGAGGGCGAATTTGGCGACGAAGGCCCATCACTGTGTGACATGGCCAGCTTGCCAAAATCGACGCTTTTTCCACGATCATGGCGCTGCTGCTTATGCGGTGGCGTGCTCGGGGCTGATGGTATCGATGCTGGAGCCGCCGCGGGCGCTTGGGGCAGGGGACGGAGCGACTGGCGAGCAGAGCTGTATATATTGGCCGGTTCGGGCTTTTTGGAGTTCATCTCTCCGACTTCGAAGGTGCGGGCGCGTGCGAGCACATCGCTCCGTCCGCGCTTATGACCGTAAGACCCGTACCCGCTCGAGGCTGAAGTATACGAGGTGCTGGTGCTGTTGTCGGATGCGTTGGAGTAACCTGAAGAGGCTGATGAAGTAGTTGAGGACTGGCGGGCGATTGCGCTGTTGGGGTTGTTGAAGGTGACATCAACGGTATGCGAATGACGAAGATTGGGCCGGAACGACATTTTTGGCTGTCGCTGCTGACCCCTTTGACTTGTGATTCGATCTTCACGTTTGTTTCTCCGAATTCTCGTTTCTTTGGGGACCCGTGCGTTCAGTGCATCATTTCAGCCAGTGAAAGGTGCTTGGCAGTGCTGGAATGTCGGCAAGATATAATTAATCGGCTGAAATTGATGGCTTGCAAGAGGGTCGGGCAGGAGAGTCTAAGACATGTGCTTGGGAGAAGAATCGAAATAAAGATGGACCACAGGCTGCAAGTCCAGAGGTGTAAAGCTGGCTTCGCGATACCAGACCGAAGCTCAGACTCGAAGTGCCGGTGTGTAGACAACAAACAGACTCGTGAAGTTGCAGAAAAGGGAGAACGAGCTGGAAGACCGGGTCTGTTCGCTGCCGCGATACACACCTGATGCCAATCTGAAAAAAGACGAGCGGGGCCCAGCAGCCAGGCAATAGGATGCTGCGGTGAGTGACACATGAAGTAAACAAATCATCCAGGACAACCACATAGCAACCTACGCCTAGCCCCGCCTCTGGTTGGCTGCTCGTGGTCCTCGAAGGCCCACTCCAGCATCGGAAGCCAGGCTACCCAAGCGACTGAGATGAAACATGGCACACCAGACCTTTTCACGTTGTCTTATTATTAATTTTGCAAGTATAATAACACACTATCTTATGACGTTTATTTTGTTAGCTTGACATTGTATTTCTTACTGGGAGTGGTTTCGATATGGTGTTGAAATCAACGCCTGTCGCTCTCTCATGCCAAGCTACCTACCCTAGACTCAAAGATCAGGGTTCTTCAGCGAGTTCCAATTTTCCATGGATCACCGTCATGTCAGGCCATATATACATATGCTTTATCTAATATCGTTAAAATATTCTGTGGGATAAATTAATATTTAGATGCCGTAGAGAATGCTTGATCGCTGTTTGAAAATATTCTGGTGGAGTTGCGTGAGCTTCATATGTTCGAGGCGAGCCTCTCAGGGCAGCATTTAGCAGATAAGTAGAACTTGTACCAGCCGAGAATTTACTTTGTACTTTAATCCTTATGTGGAAGCAGGCATACAATTATATTGATAAGGTTTGCCTAGTCTTCCGCGTGCGTTAATATCTAATGACTTCTCTTGTGTGTCAGTTGAGGTCCTCTTTTCGCACATTCTACTTGGCCTCTCGATGAATCTATTAACAGTCTCGTTTACCACGCCCTAGGCACTAGCTCAGATTATCAGCGAGGCCACGGGCGATGCACTCTGTGTTAAAGGTACGCAAGAGAAAAGTCTCCTTCTTGCCTGTATTGCATGGGTATCTTTGATATAATGGCCTCAATTCTCAGATGTATCTGCTGCCGGCTTTGAAAGCCTCAAAGACTATCGGATTGCGAAGAATTATCAGTGCAGTGAGGCGCTAAAAGTAAACAAATAACGGCCCTATTCCCAGTGGGTCGAAGTTCTGGGCAGTGGGGTCTCGGTGAATGAATGAGGTCATGGAGCTCTGCCCGCGTAATTGGCTGCGGTTGGTCCAAGCTCCCGGCCACTCGTCCTCCGTCGATTGATCTTGAATGTCCCAAGACCATACATGGTTAATTCAAAAGCAAGCATCAAGAGCGATACCTGCATGCGCGCCCCAGGACCAGCCACGGATAAATTGCCCCCTCAATTCGAACACATAGTTTTTGAGCGACACTCCTTTGACTGGGCCCTTGGGCTTGGTTGCGCCAGAAAGCCAAAGTCATGTCGTCTTCAAAGCAGCGCCCTTCGGTTCTGGTATGGACGTGGTCGTCTAAGATACAGATGCATCTAAATCAATGCTAACAGAAATTGAAACCAGGTAACCGACGCGAGACAGAGACAGAACCCGCGCAAATCGCTCCAGAGACAGGACACATCTTCAGCAGCGCAGGGTCGAAATCCGATGCGGTTCATGACCGTAGACAATGTCCTTCAATTCAACACGCAGATACCTTCAGGCCAGCCTCGTCAACCCCCGTTGCCGCCTCAAAGGGGCCCAATAGCACCCGGAGGCACCGTTCCAGGCCGTCGCATCCCATCTGGCGGCCTCGCGAGCATTCAAACCAGAACAGGCCAGCCTATGCCCTCTCGTACGACCAAGATTAGCGAGAAGCTTGTACTGCTCCCCGAGACAGACGACAAGGAGGATGCGGACGAAGAGGTTGAGAGCGAAGCAGTCCTGGCACGGAGGTTGCAGAGTGAGGAGAATCGCCCACTGAGCAATGAAGAGCTGGATGTTCTGCGACTGAGGGGAGGAGTGCGAGGGAAGAGTTACGCCGAGAGGCTGCCCAAAGTGCAGAGAGCAGAAAAGGTTAGCAGGCTGACTGCATACTGCACTGCGCAAGCCTTCAAGGTGACCTCTACTGCCGAGTTCCTGAGGAAGAAACACGATGTTAAAACGAAGAGATATGATGATTGTCTCTATGCCATCTACTCCCTACCACTGTTGAATGGCACCGAAGGCTATCGCGTGCGTAGCCGACCTATCCTCAAAACACCAGGCACTGGGAAAACAGTTTTGGACTTTGAAATTGAGCGGAGCGAGCGGAGGGACCATTACGAGGGTTACTTCGACGAGGATGCCTATACAAACCCTGGAAGTCCCCATCGTCAGACTCACAGCGACTCATCCCACCGGGATGTCCCTGAAGACCCCTTCCACCCTGACGAGCATATGTCTCATTACAATAGGCTAGCTCCTGAGACGAAGAATTTCGCGGAGATGTTCATCTTCTCGTACGGTGTCGTCGTCTTCTGGAACTTTTCAGAGCACCAAGAAAAGGACATTCTCGCTGATCTGACCTTTGCTGATGCTGAGAACGGTATCAGTCTCCTGACACGACCGCTCGAGCAGGACGACTATGAGACCGAGGAGTTTCACTTTGAATACAGCGCAGATGTGAAACGACCGCGGGTGTTCAACGACATGATCACACTCATGCCACGCTCCGACCACATGATTAAGCTCACCATCAGCCATGCCATCGCCCAGAGCACAAAGCTGTGCTTTTTCGAGGAGCGGATGAGCGAGACAATGTTGGATGCCCAGCATGTGCCCAAAACCCTCGCTCTGACAGGCGAGCTCAATATGACGAGGACGGAAATCGTCAAGATTCTGGGGAGGCTATTCAAGAGCCGGGTAGATATCAATCTCTGTACGTTTTTGCGTCTCCCACGTATGTAAACACTACGCTAACCACACTTCACTCGCCTAGCATCTAATATTCTCGACGTCCCCAATTTCTTCTGGGACTCGGAGCCTACTCTCCACCCACTCTACGCGGCCATCCGTGAGTATCTCGAGATCGACCCCCGGATCAAGGTCCTCAACGAGCGGTGCCGCGTATTCCTCGACCTGGCCGAGATCCTCTCCGACTCCATCAACCACACCAAGATGAGCGCAATCACCTGGATCGTCATCGTCCTCATCGTCCTCAGCATCCTCGTGTCCGTCACAGAGGTCGGCCTCCGCTTCGCCCTCCTCCATACCAGCCAGAACAAGAAGAACTCGGCACTCGCTGCCCACCACGTGCGAAGCGACGAGCTGGGCCTCGTGCAACCCCCGCGACTCCTCACCAGCCGAGACCCCGACCAAGTCAGCACCGACAGCCCCAGCAGCGACCTCGAGGTGCTCGCCAAGGCGCTGGGCCTCACCCCCAACGCGACCCTGGCCGACATCACCGGGAGCATCAGAGACCTCAAACAGCAGGGTCAGTCATGTGCCACCTCCTCCACGGACTCGTTACGCAGCAGGTGAGATGTTTAGGGGCTGTCTTAACACGAGGCGGGGGCCCCCGTTGGGGTCGGTTTTCTGACCATTATCAATTGCTGAGTGTAATTACTGAGTGGTATGATCCCCGCGACGGGTTGGAGAGACACAGAACCGGGCGAGGAGAGTAGAGCGAGAGTGGTTGAGGGCAACCTCGAAACGGAGCTGGAACATGTACCGTCCTGCATTTCTCTTCATGTTTTTCTGCATAGCATGGCGTTTTTTCTTTGTGTAGGTAATTGAGGGTAGTGAAAATCAAAAACATGTAATCTTCGCGGGTTTACCGTATTTAATTCAAATAAGTCTGCTGTTGGCACTTCTCATAGCAGATTGAATTTCACCTTGAGAGATCACTTTCAAGCACGATATAACCTTAGCCATGTAATTAAGTTAACATATATATCTATTGCTGGCGACTGGGATAGCACAGACCCTGTTGCTATCTACCTGTCAAAAGTATGTAAGAATGTTCCCGTATGTCCAAAAAAACGCCATAAACCGTGACCATTGCCGCCCTTCTAGGAATGCGAGGTAGCCAATTGGCCGCTTAAACAAACAAAAATTGGGTATTATTTCTAGATCGGCCGTTAAAGGAAAGGTCCACACCTAGTCATAATAGTGATTGACCTTCCATGTGATTTTATCATTGGGTTGAAACCGTGGTAGGAGAGAGCGAGAGAGAGCGAGAGAGAGCGCCATTAGGTGCTCTGGGCAACGGGCTTGTACTGGGCTTGCTGCTTCTTCAACTTGTTGTCCAGCTCCGACTTGCTGTAGATGGCGGCACCAATCATAGTCACGCCCATTCCGAAGCCGTTGAGCCATTCGATCGTGACGTTGAAGAGAAAGATGCCGAGGAGAACAGTGAGACACTGCTTGAGGTTGCCGCAGACCGTCATTGTCAGGGCACCGGCAACCTTGTTGGTGTTGAAGGAGGAAATGTTGAGCAGGAAGGCGAGGAATCCGTTACCGGTCAGAGAAGCGATGGCTGGTGGGAGGGCGACGTCGCCGGACCTGATCAGATCTGAGAAGCCCTTGACCTCACCAGTAGCAGTGGCACAGAAGAGAGCCTGGAGAGCGGCGAGAGGAGACATGCGCATGAGGAACTCGATGGGTGGCAGGGAAAGCGAGCCAGTCATGAATCGGTTGGTTACGACGGTCTAGTTGACGAGTTAGTCCCAACGCCCCCGGCAGTATAGCAAATGCACGTGTACGAACCTTGACAGCGGCGAGAATGACACCGAAGATGGTAAGAAGGAAACCAGCATCAGAGAAGCTCATTTCGCCAATCGTTGTCATGCCAGCACCGATAATGAGAGGAAGGAGAGAGAGATAGGTCATCCTGCTGTATGTGCGACCGTACCACGTACGGTAAATGAGAATCGTAAAGAGAGGGCAGAGCATTCGCATTGTTTGATAAAAGGGAACGGAGACCATCGCCAGCGAAAGGTTGGAAACAGCAATGTTGGCTGTGAAGAGGGCACTGAAGGCCAAGAGGGCAAGATGCTCTCGACGGCCCAATCGTGAAAGCTTGAAATAGCCCAATTGCAACATCACGAGGGTGCCAACGCTGGCAAAGGAAGTGTGCAGAAAAGTCAAGAGCCATGGGAAATGGAACTACACCAGCAAGTTGTAAGCAAGAGATATGGCATTCGGCCTTGGAATCACACATACCACTCCCAGGACCGTCTTGTTGTAGAGGGTCAAACATAGGGAAAAGAAGAAGTAGGTTCCGAGCCAGGCGAACTTGACGGTGCTGGAGACTGAATATTCGTGGTCGAGATTCTGGCCTCTTGATTCCTCCTCTCGCGCCGCCTCAGCTTCGAGGTCGATGTTGTCAGGCTTGGATTCCTCATCCCGTTCATCTTGCCGCAGCAGAGCCACGGGCTCTTGGGAGTCGCGACGAGACATTGCTGTAGGTTGACGGCGCCTTGGATCAAGGTCGAATGGATGGTCCTCTACAAGTGGTTGCGGAAAGGTGAGTGGTGGCGCCAATTACACTGACATCAGCCCGATGGATTGACAGAAGTCGGAATGCTGCGAGGTGTGTCCGTGTCAAGATATCAGGTTTGGCGGAATAGAGATGAGTGGCTGTGCGCCGTGTAACGATAAAAATACAAACGGATCCGGGACAAAATCGAGTGAAGGAGCAACGAGCGTATCAAGGTGAGCAATCAGACAGAACAAAAGATCCAACACTAGCGCTGGGTCGAGGTGGCGATAGGGACAGGAGGCGGTTGGAAATAGAAGCAACCGGCAGTTGAATCTTGTCAGGGCACAGCTCTGCTCACCAGAATCTGAAAGGAGCGGATGAAGAAGAGGAGATGCGCCAGTTGTATGTCGGACGTAGATTGTGTTTGGCGAGTTTGTATGAGATTACGTACCCGCACTTCAGGAGGCAGGGGGGCAGCCAGGCGAGCGCTGAAGATACATCTCTGGGTGCGGCAAATGGCCACTGTAAATTTGGTACCACTGAACCAGACAGGAGGGACGTCGTGGATCGCGATGCGTACTGTGTACCTACTTGTTGGGCCTCTTGGCAGGCAGGCCGTAAGGTAAGGTAGGTATGCTGGGGGTGGGCCCTATGACAGAGCACGGCAGGGGACGGCGAGCACCAGCGCCGGCCGTCCCCAGCGCCATTCCGAGCGCCTCGTCCAGTGCTCGCGATTATGCTGCGTACGACTGCTAATACGCTCGCGAGAGCGAGTGAGGCACAAGACAAGTGGAGGACACAAATAAAGTCAGGGGCTTATTACGGGGCTGGTGGTTGGGGCTTGAGTGCTAGGATCAGGGAATTGCCCAAACCGGCAGGGCCAGAAGGGCAACGTAATGGTCCCACGCTTGGAATTGCTTGGCTTTGAGGTGGCTCCAGCGACAGCCCTCCGCTCCTCAGCGACTTTGGCCCGCTAGCCTGCCCACCACCGAAGTACTGAACAGCCCATGACCATGACACCCTATGGCGATAATAGAACCGGCGACTCGGGGCAGTGACGCCAGAGCCCAGGGCTCTGTGGCATCGGCCGGTGAAACAGCTGCTTGTCTTGCCTCCGTTATGCCATCGCATCTCCTGCAACTTGGAATGTGCTGTTGCGGGCCGCCACGGAACCCCCGGCTCTGGGCCAAGCATATATCGCTGTGGCCAAGACGTTGCAGCCTCCACACTACAGTGCGCTCAGAAACACCGCCACATCATAGGTCGAGGACAAACCTTATGACGACGTCGATTGTGCCAGCCAAACTCGCTCGTCCCAGCACCTTATCTCCAACGCGCCCTTGCCGGCGCTGTGGCGGCACCTAATTTTAAATGAATAGGGTTGGGCAAGGTTGTCTCTCCGTTGGGACGGCCACGCGAGGCCACTGTTGAAACATGGACTATCTTGCTAGTTAAGGTTGAATGCATGGCAAAATCAATCTTAAGCATCTGTGGCTTGTGTCCCGCCAGGGACGATGAAGTAGGTAATTCATGGTATCCCCCCCCTACGCTCCCCCTCCCTGGTAGATGCCACCTCAGAGATGCGATCGACCGGTAAGCAGGCCATCCATCTGTCAGCGTTCGTGTTGGTCTCTGAACGAGGTCGTGATGATCAAATACCATATCTGAATTGGCCTTCTCATCTCGAGGAACAACTCCCTTCAAAACTCAACTTCGAGCTAGCAGCTCATTGCCAAGATGTGTGCGCGCCGCCAAGACCCTGGAGGTAAAGCCAAAACGTCAGCTGGATGCAAGTGTCCTTTACCTCGCAGCATGATTCATGGCCAGTTTTCCCTTATCCGTACTTGGCGCTTTCAGCTATTAATCTCCCGCATCTCCGTCGGAATGGACTTTGGCTCGCGAAGTGACGGTGAGACAATAAATTAGCAAGACTTCTTTCTCTTCAAGGCCATGATTTTCTGGGGCCAGCCTCTTGGCTCCCCCATACCGGTAGCATCGGCCTCTGGCAGGATTCATCTTTCCACGGCCACTGCCAATCTGAGCTAGGGTGCTCACGCGATCCTTGTTACACATAAAGAAGTGTTTTTTTTTGTGCCAGCCAATCACGGAGTGAAGAGATCCGAAGCAGCAATGCGCCGCAGGAGCGCTATAACACCTCAACACACGTATTGCCTTGGTTTCACTTCCGGTGCTTTACCACGTAGGGCATAGGGCAGACAGGTGGTCTGTTCGGCTTGTTACTACAATGGCCAAGCCATCAAGCTAACTTGAAGATAACAATAATAAGCAGCCTAAATAATAAGCAGCGTGTTGCCATATCTCCCTGGATAACCTTGGGGATTACCACCCAGTAGCAATACGGAGTGCCGGTTTTCGTGCCAGGGAGCCCCACACTGACCGTTGCTTTTTCCTTCTTCCTTGGGCTTCTTTTTCCAACCCCTAGATTCGGTCTAATAAGTGGCTGCCAGCCACTGGAAGCAGCAAGATCGACCGGAATTAATCTAGCTGGCGTTTTATACGGTTTCTAGAAAGGCAAGTGCAGTGATATGGCATATTACATCGAAACTCGTTGCAGACGATCAAACAACTCTCTTTGACACGCCTGTCTCATAGTTGTTTCCGAACAGCCACCACTGCGGCCGAGTCTAGCTGCTTAGCGGCTGGCACATGCGCAACCCCCAAATTTAGCATCTTCTCGCCTGCGTGCACACTGACTACCTACCTACTGTTAGCATCACCCGCTAAGGCCTTAGGGCTTGGGGGAGGTTCTCAAGCGATGTCCGGTGCTAAGAAATCAAGCTCCGACTGTGCGAGGCGGCTGGGCGTTGAGGGGAGCCCCTTGGGACACCCCACCAGGGACCTGGTTAGCTTAGATCGACTCTGCGACTAATAATTTGCCGTGCCGGTTTCTGTTTGATATTAGTGTTAGTGGGTAATGTTCGAACGACGACACAGATTGAGTGACGGCATGCTGAAACCCGAACAAGTGTGTCGGCATCCATGAATCCGATGATCCGGCCTCGTAAAAAACTGAGTGCACCTATCATGACTGAGCTGACACGTTACGATCGCACTATGTAGGACCACCAGCTCCTTTGAAAAATGTGTCTGCCCCAAGCTCCTCTGTGCGACGTAGGATCGGAGCCGTGATTGGCCTGGGGCTCGCACTGCGGCGATACTGCCCTCCCACGCAGTCGCACTTGGTCCGCATATCGAGTGCCAAGTCCCAAATTGCAGACCCGGGCCTCCACTCTCGGCGCTCTTTGCCTACAGGCCTTCAGCTGCCCCTCATGTCCGCCGTTCCAGCGAGTGTTCTAGTTGAGTTAGGTAGGTCGGTCGGCTACACAGCAGCCAAGTCTCGCTCGGCAGGCCAAGCACAGGGCAGGACCCGGATGGAGAGCAACGCGCGTCCCCAATCTACCTCCTGCCATTGTACTGGTGGCTCCTGCCCTGCCCTGGCAATCTGTCTAAAAGCTTGGAGATAACGCAGGGATGGCAGAGCTTCCCTCTAGCCACAACCAGCCTGGCAGCAGGGGACCATGTATCCTGCTCGGGGCTTGGGACTTCCGTGCACTGTGACTGTGTGTGTGCATGCTCTTGGTTCTCCAGACCTGCTAATAGCAAGGCGAGGTGGCGAGCAATTAGGAGAGGAGGGGCCGAGGGGGCGGCCGGAAAGGTAAGGTAAGGCAAGGCAAGGCATGGTAAGGCAAGGGGATAATGTAATTACATCCGTGGCTTCGTTTGCTTCTGAGCCATCTCTGACCCTGATTTTCCCTCGGGCTGTGGGCCATCGTCAAGCTTCGTCTGTCCTTCCAGATTTCACTTCAGTCTCTACCGCATCTCCTTGTTCTTCCCTGACGGCCTTCTTGATTTCTCGTGGCCGCCCTTTTTATGATCCCCCTCAAGCTATTTCGGTAGTCTTGTGTGTCACTCCTTGATCCATCTTCAGCCACTTACGCATAACCTACGATGACGACAACTCTTACCTCCAGGCGGCGCAACATCATTGTTGCGTTCGCTTTGGTGTTTTTGACGACGGTCCTGTTCCTATCCAGCCCTCTCCTCAACCTTGTAAGGCCTCATCCAAGCCATTCTCCATTTACTGGTAAAATATTCTCGTCCCGACTGACTCGATCTCCCTTTGCTCGTAGAAATACAAAACCACATCCCACACTCCCCATCCAACTGAAGATCCCCAGCAGAGTCCGGAGCCAACCCCAGAGAAACCAGCAAAGCCCCCTCAACCCGAAGCGCCGGTTTCCAGGCTTCACTACTTGATCCCCGCCAGCGGGCCCAACCTGAACTTTTGCCTCAACTTGGCCTCTTCAGCAGCCGCCCGATATCCTGTCCCCTCGGTCCTCGGCTTCCATGGAGAGGGTATCCTCGACGCTGCCGCTACCCATCTGGCGAAGCTTCGAGTTATTCAACGCTACTTGGACAGCTTGCCGAAGGAGGAGGACAATGATCTGGTCCTTATTGTTGACGGTTACGACATTATCCAGCAATTGCCGCCCGTTATCATGATTGAGAGGTACTTCGACGAGATCCACCAGGCAAACGGTCGCATTGCCCGCCGCTTCGGCATTACCGTGGCCGAGGCTCGCGAGAAGGGTTTGTACAACACCATCCTCTGGGGACCTGACAAAGCTTGCTTCCCATATGACGAGAATGCCCCTCGCTGCTGGGCGGTGCCCCCGTCCCACCTACCGCCTGATATCTTCGGCCCCAACACTGGCGGCGGAGAAATGGAGCTGAACGACCCGATATGGCTGAACTCGGGAACCGTAATTGGTCCCGTCAACGATATGCGGCTCGCTATCAGTGCCACGCTGCGCGAGATTGATGCGACATATGACGAGAACTTTGACTTGAAGGAGTCCGATCAATACTACGTCGCCAATGTCTGGGCACGCCAGGAGTACTATCGCTCTAAGCAAGCGGTCCACGGCGAGGAAGTCAAGGGCGGACCACCTACTCGATGGATCCCTACAGCGCGGGAAGGGGATCCTCAGGTGGAATATCACATGGGCCTCGACTACGAGTCCTCGCTATTCCAAGCCAAGGCCTTTAACGAGCCATACTACGGCTACCTCCAGTTCAACAGCTCCGGCCTCAATGCCAATATGAACGTCGATATAAACAACCAGGGCGCAAAGTTCGTCCCTTACCTTATCGAGATGCCTGCCAATGTCCTATCAGCGCTCGGTGACCTTTTCGAGTCTATCAGCAAGGCACATACTGGAACTACTCTCAACGACTGGATCCGCTCCGTCGGTTTGGGCGTGAATTACGTGACTGGCCACATCTACCCGCTCTGGCACTGTACTGGCGAAAAGAACGACATCGAGCTCACGTATACCAAGATGTGGTTTTTCCCATACGCCAGGTCCCTCATCAGCGCTACTGTGAAGGCTTTCCAGGGCGATGATCTCATCTCCACGCATCTGATCGACGGACGCAAGTGGGCGCCCAAGAACCGATATCCTGATACGAACACCCTCAACGACACCCTCGGTGGCGCCTGGACAGATCTGCAAGGGTCCGAGTTTGTCCAGTGGGAGCAGCTGTGCGGTGAACACAGCGAGGCGTTGTTCCGGGGCGAGGACACGCCCCTTTGAGGAGGCATCTCTGTTCCAAAAGATGGTGAGCGCCACCGGTAACTGATGTCGGATCGTCTCACCTGTATTCAATCACATCTCGTGGATCTATATCTATGGATGAAACCAAATAATTTTGTCACGGCCGAAAATAAAGATGATTAGAAGCGCATTGAAGAGTATAAATGGCGTTCTGGGATTCGAGGCGGTTGTATCTTTTTTTTCATGCCATGTCTACCGGAGTCTAGAGGAACCCATCTGTTTGATACACGATGGGCCTTTTCCTCTGCTTCACACACACACAAACACTCTCCCTACCTTTTATTAATATCCACCCTGTTCTTTTGGATATTCTCTCCTAGGAACACTCGACTGGCATGATGACTTTGTTAGGGTATGCCTCGATTTCATTATTCTGTATTTTAGAGATCCCGGGGTTCGCAAGCATTGCACCCCTATGCATACATTCCAATAATTTTCCAGAGAGCCTTGGTCCCTGTGCATGTTCAATACAATGCCTCCATTGCCACAATCAACATTTCTTGCTAATATAGACCCGTAATATTCACCATTGTTTACTATTTTCTCTGCGTGTCGCCGCTTGTTGGACCCAGGGGCAACCTAGTTCGTGCTGATGCGATGCTGGTTAACATCGCGCTTTGCCGCAGCTAAACATAGCTCGGAAGCTTCCATTTCTGCTCAAGAATAAATAGCCTACACCTTGCTGACCATCTCGTCGCAGTGGGACCTAGCCCGGAGAATGCTGACAATCTCCCCCCCGGGCGCTCGTGTTCCTCGGACTTGTCATATGTAGTGTTTCCTCGTATCTTGTGCTGATCTGTCGTCGTCCCAAGCGGCGACGTCCCCTTCGCCGTGGCCAGAAACACTATTGAACCGCCCCGTTGGCTCCGGGCCGCCCTGCACGCCAATCCCGGCGCCGGACTCGGTAGCCAGCCAGCCTATTAGACGCGGGCCGGGCTGCCAAATCTGATAAAAATGCGTCGAGACATGACGCCGTTGGAGGCCGCTCGGCAGATGTGGCTTTAGGTTGGCACTTGCTCTCCCGCTGCGCCATGTGGGGCCCTTCCCTTCTGGAAAAGCCACGGGGTCTTGGTGAGATGGAGTTGGCCTAGCACGTGTTTTTGGATGCCCGTTCGCGGCTACTGGCGATAGGTCACCTCTACTTGCTCATACAAGGAAAGATCTGCGTCAGATATTCATTTGGCTGAGTACGAGGGGTGATTGATAATACGAAGTTCAGCACGGGTTTGAGATTGGGTGATGGGACAATTGGATGGTATCGCTTTCTATTGGTCATTCAAAATAACTGTTACATCCGTTCTCTCGTCTTTTATAACAAAATGCTTGCTGCAAGGAAACTATACGAAGGAGAGGCTATGGAAAGATCCCTAAAAGATGACGAAGCCGCTAGTACAAAAAAATATAACACAAAATAGTAAAGAAATTGAACGCCATGACACCCGCCTCTTATCCTAGTTGCAGGCATGGTGATATCTCGGTCAGATTTGGAGCCGGTCACCTGGCGAGAGCGAGAGCGAAACACGAGAGGCGGACGAGACGGCTCACACAGTTTCGATGCTTTCCAATGCGACGTATCCGCCCTTGTCATCTGTTCTGCTTCGGCTCTGGAAGAGGTCTCGTACACGGTCGACGAGGCTGCGACGCTTCCAAAGCAAGCCACCGGTTTCTTCCGCGGTCGCCTCGTCCATCCAGCGCGGGCGTTGCCAGAACTTGAGGTGCAGGCTGCTGACGACAACGCTTACACTGCTGCAGGCCATGGCAAACCCAGCAAACATTGGGTGCATGTGGAGGCCAAAGGGTAAGAAGAAGCCCATAGCGATTGGCAATCCGATGAGGTTGTAAACGCAGGCCCAGGCCAGGTTGAGCTTGATGCGCCGGAAGATGGTACGGGTGAGACTTAGAGCGGCAGGGATATCCATCAACTCTGTTGGACGCATCAGGACCAAATCGGCAGCTTCCATGGCAACGTCGGTGCCGCTGGCCAGGGCAATACCAACGTCAGCGGTTGCGAGGGCGGGCGAATCATTAATACCGTCACCCACCATAGCAACAATCTCGCCTTGGGCTTGGATGTCGCCGATGATGGACTGCTTCTCGTCGGGACTCACACCGGCGTAGACGTCTTCTGGAGCAATCCCGACAACTGATGCAACGGCGAGGGCAGTTGAACGCTGGTCGCCTGTGACGATGGCTGTCTTGATTCCCATGCGGCGCAGAACAGACATGGTGGCAACCGCACCCTCCTTGATCTTATCAGCAAGGCATAGGTGGCCGGTATACTTGCCATCAATGGCCACAAAGATGTTGGTGGTCCCGGCACCTTGTGATGACGGGGCTGACGCGGTAACCTTTGTTTTAGATGCCTTGGAATTAAGCTCCTCTGACTGCTCGATAGCGTTTCGTGGAACATCCACACCATTGTTCTGGAGAAACTTGACGTTACCAACTAATACGGTGTATCGCTTTTTGCCTGACGATGAATCGGGCTCAACCCTGGCCTCAACTCCCTGGCCGATCGTTGCCTTGAAGTCGGTCCAGCCTTCTATCGTCGCCTCGGGCGCGAGTCCAAGTTCCTTCTTGGCTGCACCCAGGGTGGCCTTTCCAATTGGATGTTCGCTGCCCATCTCCGCGAGTCCGATGATGGACCACCAAGTGCGTCTCATCCAGTCGTCCTCTGACCAGTCAAAGACCAGGTTGGATTGAACCACACTCATTTTGCCGTATGTGATGGTACCCGTCTTATCAAAGACAACCTGGGTGACCTTTGTGGTTCGCTGCAATGCAAGACCACCCTTGATCAGGATGCCATTCTCCGCACCAACACCAGTACCAACCATGACAGCCGTAGGGGTAGCCAAGCCAAGAGCGCAAGGGCAAGCGAACACAATAACCGAAATACACAGTTTCACGCAGACCATGATCTTGCCACCACTGGTATCCGCGGTGAAGATCTTAGGAGGGTTGGGCAAGGTATGACTTAAAACCATCCAGCCGAGGAATGTCACCATTCCAAGAATGAGAATGACTGGGATGAAATATCCGGCTAGAGTATCAGCCAGTTGCTGGATAGGTGCTCGAGTGGTCTGCGCGTTCTGCACCAGCCTCACGATCTGGCTGAGTTGAGTATCTCTTCCGGCTCTGGTCACACGGCAGTCGATCCTGCCTTCTCCATTCACAGTGCCACCAATCAAGGCACTTCCGATTCGCTTTTGGACGGGCATCGCCTCTCCAGTGATCATGCTCTCATCTACATAGGTTTCGCCGCGAATGAGTGTAGCATCCGCCGGGATCTTGTCACCGGGTTTGATAATGACAATATCACCGACCTGGAGTAATTCTGTAGGGATGGTTCGCTCCTCATTAGCAGATCCACTGGGTCCGTCAGCCTCATCCTCTGCTTTACCCTTGGACTTTTTGCCCCATTTCTCCAGAGCCTTGTCGGCCGCAATTGGATCAGCGTAGATAGTTGCTGATGACGGGGCCAATGACATGAGATTTGACAGAGCCTTGGAGGTTTGGCCCTTGGCACTATTCTCAAGATAGCGCCCCAGGCAGATAATTGTGATGAGCATGGTGCTGGTGTCGAATAATGTATGCGGCCTTGTGTGAGGAGCGGCCACGATAGAGACGACCATGGTCAGAATGCTGAAGAAGAAGGCGGCCGATGTTCCCAGCATGACAAGGACATCCATAGTTGGGGAGCCATGCTTCAAAGACTTGAATGCCGAAACATAGAACCGTTTTCCAATCCCAAATTGAATGGGGACCGTGAGAACGAAACAAATGATGTCTCCCAAGAACAGACCGGGAATGATCTGGCATTTCCCAAAATCGATTCCTGGAAGACACATAGGCAATATCATACTGATAAGAAAGACCGGGACGGCAAATGCAAATGATATCCTAAATGCTAGGCGCCACTCGTTGATTTCTTTCGTTTTCGCCAAAGACTCGAGCTGTGCATTGTTATCCTGACTCTCTGCCAGGAGAGCGTTGAGTCCCTGAGCCTCTACTGCTTCAACAATGGCGCGAAGACCAATGGCTGTAGGTTGGTATGTGACGGTCAGTCGTTCAGTGGCCATCGTTACGGATGCTGCCACAATTCCAGACAGTTCCTTGAGCTTCTCTTCGACAGCGTTTGCCATTCCCGCATTAGAGCAACCATAAAGCCTCAAGTGCGTGGTTACCGAACCCGAGCCATGGTTCAATGTTTCCTGTTGTGTCGATAGAACGAGAGGATCAAAGCCGCGGTCGTCAATGATCTCTGCAATCTTCTCCGGAGAAAGCTTGGTAATATCATGTGTAATGACAGCACGCTCTGCCAGAAGACTAATGTTGAATTTGATAACACCGTCCACTCCCTTGAAACCACCCTCAACTGCAGCTGTACATGCCCCGCAGGTCATACCCTCGATTGCTACTGTAGTCGTCGCGATGTTGCTCGCTGGTTCTTGGTTGCCGGATGGCTCCTCCACCTCGGCTTCCACTGAATCAACGATGTCGGGTTCGAATCCTCGATCGTCAATGATCTCTGCAATATCTTGCACCGACAAGAGGGCCGGGTCGTGCTCTACGACCGCCCGTTCTGACAGAAGAGATATGTTGAATTTCTTGACACCCGGGACATTTTTGAAACCTTCCTCAATCGCAGACGTACACGCCCCGCACGTCATGCCCCCAATGGCAACCGTTGTGCTCAAGAGCCCGCTCTTTTTCTTGAGGTTGCTGGTATTTGCAGCTGGCACAGGAAGGTCGGTCGACACAACCTCGGCGTCGAATCCTCGGTCCTCGATGATTTCTTTGATGGCGTCGGCGGATATCGTCTTCGGGTCGTGGATTACAACGGCTCGTTCCATGACGAGGCTGATGGAGGCGCTAGCGATGCCATCAACGCCTTTGAAGCCAGCTTCAACGGCGGAGGTGCATGCGCCACAACTTATCCAGACACCACCGTTAGCTTCAGCTTCCTGCAGGATCCCAAATGGTCCACAAGCCAATTGGAGAGGGGAAAAGCAGTCAACTCACGTCATGCCCTCAACTTTCAACGTGGTCGTCGCAAGATGCGCTTCTGGCGCTGTGGTGGCCCTTTGCGCATCTTCGTTCGAGTCCCTCGTCGGGACGCTGGCATAGGTGGGTGACATTCCGATGCGATGCCCATCCAAGGGCAATATCCAGCAGGTTCGTTGGGTCGAGAAGGTATCAAGGGAAGAACAAACTGGGTGGTTCTTGGGTTACCGGCGATGCATGTCGCAGCTGGACTGAGTTCGCACTACTGTCCCGATGCAGAGATCGGTGAGAGGAGAACTGGCACGCAAGAAGCTGCTAGACGGGCAGCAGCAGAGGGACAAGAAAGGCGAGGTTATGAGAGAGAGGGGTGTGCAGAATGTATGATTACAAAAGAGCGCAGCATGCCTCCATTATGTACAAAGGGCTATGATACTACTACCATCTCAGCCTATCCGAGGCGACGAAGCACTGCCAGGTCAGACAAACACGGCAGAGACCGATGGGACAGGCTCAGAGATGACTGCGTTGCCAGTGGGGGCAGGGCGCTATGATTTCCAATCAATTGCTTCGCCGCTGTGATCGATAGAACGCTGAAATGCCAGGGTTGCATTAGCCCCTCGGCTCAGGGAGACATTGCGTATACCGCCGTAATCCCGGCGAGATGCACTGCGCGGCTCGTACCTACAGGCCTGGGGCCAGGTACCTCCCTCCCCCAAACGAAGCCACGCAGCCCGCTAGGAGCAGATCTAGGACAACGGAGGCGGTACCACCGGAACGTGGCCGGCACTTTCGGACGATATTGCGCCATTGGAGGCCATTCAGACTCAGTAGTTTCGTTTCGCTACGTGGTGTGTTTGGCAGACCTGAATGAGTTCTCTCCTCGGCAAATTGACGAGACATGAACCAGCTCTCCAGATTCAATTCCGACTTCTGTGGCTTTTTGGCTTTTTTTTTTTCTCCGTCTGAGGATCTTGAACAGACTGGGGTATGAGATGAAGGTTTGCGGGCACCACTCGAGCCTGCCCTGAAGCTGCCAAGAGTTTCAAGCGGTGGCCAATGCCCTCCTGTCTCCAAAACCTGGTTTCCAGGCCTGGCGTCCTCGTCATTTCGTTTCCCCCCCGTTTCATGAAATAGGCGATATTATATCAAGATACAGAGCCATTATTCCGGAATATAACAACCATCTACTTAATTCAGATTGCGCTGAATGGCGACATCTGGCATCGGTAGTCGGGTGAAGATCCCAATTCCAAACCTGTGAAGGTGTCATCCAGCCCATCTTCCGACGAGTCTTAGCTCTTGCCTTGTTGAGCAGCTCCCGGGCTACAAATTGGGAGGCGCTGCACTTAAGCCCATGGTTACGATATGCTTACGGCTGGGCGAGTAGTCATGTGGATAAAGGCCCGAGCAAAGTGTGCTGATAACGATGCAGGTGAGGTGGTAGCATGGTGCAGTATGATGCAGGCTTGTGCACAGATGCATCCCCAGATCTTCAAAAAGAGGTGGGAAGCAACAGCACAACAACAATTAGCAATACCTATCTAACTCCCTACTTTGTCTGTTGGAGCGTATCCTTGGGGCGATTTCATCATTCTGGACCTGCTTTGCGAATAATCGGCTGCTTTCTACTTACTCCCAATCGAGTATACAAATGCCTATCACTATTTTTTACCAGTACTAAGGCTTAGATCGGTTTGCTCTATCTCTTAGCCGTCGTTGATCTCTCGTGAGCTTAGTCTAAGTAAGGTATAAAAATACTGGTCGTGGTGGCTAATTAGGTGGTCTTGGAGGCTGAATGCCCGCGTGCAACCACCAGGCGCCGATAAAGGTAACAAGCCATGCGACGCTCCGGTATACTAGTAATCAAACTGAGGGGTGCTTGTCTGAATATGCTTGCATCAGGGAAGTCGCTTAAAGGACAAGCGGCTTTACTTTGTCATTTCGTGCGGTGGTATCGTACCTACAGCTCAAACTAAGAACCTCTTTCGTGAGGCCGTCATGAGGTCCCAGCACGGCGCAGGCGGATGTATTGGGTACTTCTGTCCGAGCTTAGTGGCAGCACTACCGCGTGAGATTTTAAGTACTGTCGACTTGCAGCCTTAAGCCACCACCCCGCGCCCCGCCACTCTGTTTGGCGATAGGCAGCCACTGTGGATGCTATCAACATCTATCACCAGCTCACCAAGCAACACCGTCCATCACCAACACAGTCATCCTTCCCCTTTCCAGAAGTCTTCGTTCTCAGATCTACCTCTCGAAGATCTCTCGGGGAAACAAAGGACTCTACCAATTGTTCTGTGCGGCTTGCCCCCGTTCTGCTGGGTGGATTGGAGAGAGAGCTGTGTCCTGGCCTCGTGCCTTGAATTAATCATGGAGCAAACCAAAGCACTAAACGCTCTCGAGGTATGGCATCCAAAGCTTCAATCTCATCAAAACTGCCCTCCATGCATATCACGAGTCTAACCTCTACCAGCCTTTCCTCGCCCTGTCAAAGTCGGCAAACTCTCCTCGCGCCGCCGCAGACCTCATCACACGCGCAACATCAGCTCCGAACACCTTCATCTTCGCAGAACTCCTCCAGACACCCCAGATCGCCACTCTGTCCAAATCCCCCGAGTTCCTGCCCCACTACAAGCTACTCCAGATCTTCTCACATGGCACCTACCAAACGTATAAAACCACCCAGGACCTGCCAACGTTAAGCGATGCCCAGACGCTCAAGCTCCGCCAGCTGTCCCTCCTCTCCCTCGTTCGCGACCGAAACAACCTCTCCTATGGCAGCCTCCAGGAGAACCTTGATCTCGAGACAACCCGCGAGGTCGAGGACCTCGTCATCACGGCCATCTACGCCGGTCTCTTAAACGCTACACTCGACCCCGCCCGCCAGGCCGTCCAAGTCTCCAGCATCGCCCCCGTGCGAGACCTCGCCCCTGGCGCCATCTCCGAGATGACCTCCATCCTCAGCACCTGGTCCGGGCGGTGCTCCTCGACCCTCGCCGAGCTCAACGAGCAAATCTCCAACATCCGCGCCTCCGCCGCCCTCCGAGAGAAGGAGAAGAAGGCGGCCGACGAGAAGATCAAGTCCCTCATAACCGACGCCAAGGAGAACGACTCCAGGGCCGACCACCACCGCGATGCGCTGAGAAGGACTTTTAACAAACGGGCCATCACGGGCGGCGGAGGGCGAGGGGACGACATGGACCTAGACGAGCCCTTTGAGAATGAGCCCAAAGGCCGTTCGAGCAAGCGGAAGATTTAGAAGATTAATGCACAAGGCGGACAGCCCTGGCATGACGTCTGCGAGAACACATAGATCTTGGGAGTCCAAACCTCAAAACACACAGGCCCGCCACAGCCACGAAATCAAGATTGAGTAATAATGAGCCACGAGAAAGAAAAAATACATTAGGTGTTTTTTTCCATGTTAATCTTTTGTATTACAAAAAAACCACTTTCTGCTAACCTAATGATATTCATGAAACGCACTGTCCCAACTCCAAAATGCAATCAGGGGAATCCTTCAAGGGGGACACTATGCGCTGTAGATGTAGAAAAATAGATAGGTAATCCGACGCCAAAATCCTCCAATTTCTGTACCAGAAGACAGCAACAACAGGGGAAACGAGGAAACAATTTGCCGATGGGATGCACGCAATTATGTGCTAAAATCAAGCCGTAATGATCGTGATGGTTGTGAGTCTTTGCTGTGCCTGCCAGGGACCTCACTTGAAGCTCAACTCGGCGGTCAACGCTAAGTGAAGGAAGAACCATCTCACAGTCTCTTTCCAGGGACGAGGATGAAGAGAATACACAGCGAGGCATCGACGAGTAGGGTCACCGCCAAGACCATGAGAGCTCGCTTCGAAAGCAGTTGGCGAACGTAGGGCTCACGGATGCTCGAGAAGTTGAATGGGGTATACTCGCTGTACCCCAGCAATGCCAGCACAGGGTCCAAGCAATACTGATAAGAAGCAAGGAAGTAAACTCCAACGGTGAATGGAAGGATAAGCTGTTCGCAATGTCAGTACTGTGAAAAAATGAACAAATCCTTGGCCTTTACTTACCCAGCACTTGGTCAAGCGAGACTTGTCAAGGAAAATCAACACAAATCCAGCCCAGAATGCACCAAACATGGCAACCAGGCCGACGATGAGACGCAAAACAAGGGTGGGTGGAATCAAGTTGCCCAGAGCCTTCATTCTCAGGAATCCGGGGAAAGCGTCTCTTTCCATGGCCTGGAAAACGTAGTCCTTTGCTACGTCAAAGACCTCTGGATCATCTCGACCATCCTCCTCGATTGCCCGAGTAACATCATCCGTAATCGATCCTGGCAGGGTAATCTCGCGTTCAGCGCCAGGAAGAAGGAAGGTGTAAAGAATCTTTTCGGCGGAGGATTTGATGTCGGCTCGAGCGACAGTATGGCCAGGTGAATTCGAGTCGGTGAGATCATGCGAGTTGCTGAATTGTGGGCTTGGGCGAGGAAGAATCGATCCGCTCTGTCGGGGAGAATCTTGAGCCTGCTCTTCTCGGAGGAATGCCGACATTTGCGCGTCTTGGTCCCTTTCCTTCTCCGTCGCATACATCGAGGGCCCAGCTATTCTTGGCTCGAGGTCTCCCATGCTCTCGAGAATTGCCGATGATCTCTTAGAGCTTACCTTATCCATATCGGGGGTCCCGATCATGACCGATCGACGAAGCTCACGGACATAATGACGGCACAGGGACATGTGTTGGGCAACATCAAGCCTTGAGAACTGTCAGTAGTGGTTCGGACACAGAGCGCAGTCAAGAGAACTAACCAAAAGTCGAGATAGTCCACAGACCGCTGTTGGTCTCGCATATAGATATAGAAAGAAAATAGATCGACCGGCGGTAGAGTACGGCGACTCAGAACCTCAAAGAGAGTGGGTAGGCGGTTCCTGGTCAGATCGGGCGCAGGTGAGGGCGTCATCGCCACTGGTTCATGTTCGCGGTCTGCCATGACCAAAGATTCGGTGGTTTATCGATCTAATGATATGGTAGGAGTTTGATGAGGTCGTTTTCGCGATTTTTCGTGGACTACGAGGGGATGAGGGTCGGAATCGCAGGTTGAATTCGTACGACTCCTATTGATCGGAATCTCGAAACACCGGAAATCTGAAGGAGCGTGGAGCAGTTGGCGTTGGTCACTAATCCCTTTTTTATCTGGCGGGAAAATGAGCGAAAGTCCTGTCAAAGGGGGATTTATTCGTATTCTAGTCGTTCGTGCTTGTCGCCGTCGTTGTACCAGAGAGGTTGGAATGGAGTCGGGAACTGCGCATGACGATCAACACAATGCATTGCTCAACTTCATTTGACGTGACACCCAATTTGCGGACCTCCAAACAAGGAAGCTTGGCTAACAAATAGTGGGTACAATAGCCTTGTCCTTCGAAGTTCGTACCCGCAAAAAAAGATACGTACTGAAGACACGTGATTTTGAGGATTAACCACGGGGTGAGGGCTTTGATTGGGTCGCTAGTCCCCACCAAACTTTTTCGAGCCTGCCCTAGGCACACAGAAATTATACATTTTGGCATCCGTCTTCAACAACTCCTCATAGCCAGCCGGACATCACGAGACGAGCCGCAGGTACGACCAGATCCAATTTCCTTGAACAATCCTTCACTAGATTCGCTCTTGAGCCCAGCAGGAGGACTAGAGAATAATCTTTTACTTTATTTGTCACCGAACAGAGCACTGATCCCCCACCACAGAAATGTCGTCAAAGCCTTCCGGAAAGACCCAGCGTTCCGCTATTGCGGACGTTGTTGCCCGCGAGTACACCATCCACATGCACAAGAGAGTACGTCGGAGCGAGGACCCAAGCCTACGAGCTTTGAATTGATGGAGCGGTTTGCTAACATTCGGGTGTGAAGGTGCACGGTGTTTCCTTCAAGAAGAGGGCTCCCCGCGCCATCAAGGAGATCAAGGCTTTCGCCGAGCAGGCCATGGTACGACTCACCACAATCATCTCTTCTCCCGGACATCAATGGCGCCGGACAACTGGGTGGGAAGATCAGCGGGCTAACATTGCAATTTAGGGTACCTCCGACGTCCGTCTGGACCCTGAGCTCAACAAGAAGGTCTGGGAGCAGGGTGTTAAGGGTGTTCCCTACAGGCTGCGCGTGCGAATTTCCCGACGACGAAATGACGAGGAGGGCGCCAAGGAGAAGCTGTACAGCTACGTTCAGGCCGTCAACGTCAAGAACCCCAAGGGACTCCACACTGTCGTTGTTGAGGAATAAAGGTGCGGTTTCTTTCCAAGGAAAAAGGATCTGGGTGAAATTGGCATTTCGGAGTTGCGAACGGCATTCTAGCTTTTTACGCTAAAAATACTGAGGGCAATGTGAACAAAGCTCGAACTTATGACAAAAACAAAATTCTGCTCCTGTTCTCGTTGTGATACCGACTGGATACGGGAACGATCCCAGACACGAAGGTCCTGTTGTCAAGTCTAGACTATACTGCTTGTTGCAACCTCACAAAGAACGCATTTGGATAAGATGGTCCTGGAATGCCGAGGTTTCCTGAAATTCAATGCAAACCCTAACTCTAGTGAAGAAAAACAAAAAACTGGTCAAGGCAAAGTTCCAAAGACTCCGGTTCTCCTCAGAAAATGCATCATGGTATCATGAACTCTTCCCCTACTCCTCTTCGATATCCCTGTGCCTCCCCAGCACCTTCTTCTTGAATTCCTCTGGGTCGCTGTCCCAGAGCTCTGCAGCCTCGCCGTTCAACGGGGATGCGCTACAAATCAGCGTGTTAGACATCAGAAGTGACATGTTTGGTAAATGGGGCCAACTTACTTGTTGGGTTCTCCGAGCAAGCTTTGCAGGCTCAGCAGGACAGTCTGGACGTTGTAGGCGGCAGTCCACTTGTCCTTGAGAATGTCCAGGCAGATGCGGCCTGAGAAATCGACATTTGGGTGGTAGATAGGGGTCTTGAACAGAACCGTAGGAGGGGCATAGGGGTAGTTTGAAGGGAAAGCAAAGCTCAGCTTCATGGTCAGACCAGTGTAGGGAGTGTCATCCGGACCCTCGATGGTCGCAGTCCATGTTAAGAGATTGCCATCAGCTGAAGGAAATGCAGATACGCCAGGAGCAGGCGAGGTCATGAGCTGCATCAGCTCAGTCTGCAGCCTATCAATTGCCAGTTAATTTCATCATTCGGGAATGGCGGATGGGGAGACCGTACCTCTTGGTGACGCTTTGAGAATCAGGCTTGCGGGCTCCATTGAGCTTGGCAGCATCCAAGGTACCCGGAGCAGCGTTTTGATTGTCCTGTGTAGAATAGTCCATGGCGGAAAAATGTAGAGTAGCGCAGGTGGAATAATGCGTGCTTCTGATGATAGCTCTTATGAGAAGTTATGTGAGAAAAAATCAAGCCTCTGGTCTTGGATGAGAGCAGGGAGACGGCGCAAGAGAACTATGCCTGGAGATTTTTATATTAAGACGGAAAGCAAGAGCGATGCAAAACTCCAACACAGGCGGGTCCAGAAATGGATGAGTATCAAACTTGGCGCTTGGACAAAGAAGACGAGGAAGAGGATGCTGGTCAAGAAGGTCTGGTAGGTAAACGATGAAAGGCCAAAAGTGACCAAAAGCCAGGCCGTTCTAAATCAACGGGCCATTGTTTGCCGCAGCAACGGCGAGTCCCAGCGCTTTGCACTACCACCACCAATCAGCGGCGCGCCACCTCAGCCGCCCTGACTCGATAGGCGGGCGCCTGGCAACCAACCAAAACAGTGTCTCTGTGGTGAGCTGGCACGCCCTGAACCAGCCAACCGCGGATCACACCCTGCAATACACCTGTTTAGGAGAAAAAAACAGCTTAACGCGGGTGGACGCGATTGTCACGACCTAGGTTTTTCTTTTACGCGTGCCAATCTACAGGCCACAGTCAATCAGACGCCGTCCGCTGAGGTTGTATTTGCTTGCATGTGCATGAGCGTGCTAGCAACATGGTAAGTGCTGCCACCCCCAATGAGCAATGCATCACTTTTGTTTGTGTACTTTTAGTGCTCGATGAAAAGTTCATCCAATAGATGGCTAACATGTCACAGTCGCAACTCGATCCTCTTCCCAGGGACTTGCCCTTCCGTATCGTCTCAAAGACGGTTGGGCGAGGGGCCTACGCTTCGTAAGACTACCTAAGCTTCGTTTTGTTTCACCTTTCAGTTTACTAGGGCTCAGGGCTGATATCTCGGTTGTAGAATAAAGAAGGCCATCCCTTTGGATGAACCAAGCCCTGTATTTGCAGTCAAACTTATTCACAAAGGCTATGCCTTGAAACAGGGGCGTGTCTCACTCAAGCAGTTGGCCATGGAGGTGTCTCTCCATTCACACATTGGCCAACATCCCAATATCATCGAATGGTTCGCCTCGGGAGAGGACAATGTGTGGCGTTGGATTGCCATGGAGTACGCCGAGGGTGGTGACTTGTTTGACAAGATCGAAGCAGACGTGGGGGTGAGGGAGGACATTGCCCAGCTGTACTTCGCCCAACTGGTTGGAGGCGTCAGCTTCATGCATTCCAAGGGTGTGGCGCATCGTGATCTGAAGCCGGAGAACATCCTGCTCTCCTCCGACGGGAGCTTGAAACTGGCAGACTTTGGCATGGCCACCATGTTTGAATACAAAGGCCAGAGGAAAACAAGCTCCACGCTCTGTGGAAGTCCTCCGTACATCGCCCCGGAAATTTTGTTGTGCGGAAAAGTGGACAAGAAGTCTGCCGGCGGAGACAAGTACTCTTCCGACTTGGTGGACATATGGTCCTGCGGTGTAATCCTCTTCGTTCTCCTCGTTGGAAACACCCCATGGGATGAGCCCACCCCAAGTAGCTGGGAGTTTCAGGAATACGTACGTACATCAGGGAAGAGCAGCGATGCCCTATGGGAGAAGATTCCGTCAGAGGCCCTCTCCTTGCTGCGCGGCATGATGAACGTTTCTCCCAAGAAGCGCTTCAACTTTCAGCAAATCCGGCAGCACCCCTGGTATACACGACACAACCCTCTTCTCACCACTGATGGGAAGATCTCCGATCCTATTAACCTTGCTACTCAGATGCTCGAGAACCTACACATAGACTTCAGCCAGCCAGCAAGCGCCTCACAGAGGGAAGCCGGCGCTGATAGCATGGACGTTGATACTGGACTAAACGCTGGTCGATTCGCATCCACCCAGCCTGAGGCACCCATGGTGGATGAGGACTGGGACTGGGAACGTCCTGTATTGCGGTCTATGGCTGCACCTGCCTCCTCCATGCCAGCAAGGGCTCGGGAGGCCGGGCGTGCTATTCTAAATAGTCTGGCTGATGAGCCTTCCATGTCACAGTTCTCCCAAACTCCTGGTCCTTCATTCAGCCTCACACAGCAAGCCCGGCGTTTTGCTGATATCTGCCCTCGAGAATCCCTGACAAGATTCTTCTCACACGTTCCTCCCGCACACATTGTTCAGATGCTAAGCGATGCCCTGCATCAACTCAACGTGCCACTAGGAACCGTCACACCGAACCTGTATGCCAACAATGTTGCCAACATCAAAGTCAAGGCTGTTGATGGCCGTCGGCAATACCTATACGGCGAGATCCAGGTCCATAAGCATGGGCTGGCTGATGGTGAGGTGCTCGATGTAAGCTTCGTCAAGGTCAAAGGTGATCCATTGGAATGGCGACGGTTCTTCAAAAAGGTGGTGGTTCTGTGTAAAGATGGTGTTTATGTCCCTGAGGCTTAGAGGAAATCGAGACATCCTGTCGATATTAATAACTTGCTACCCGGAGCGCAGTCTCCCGAAATGATAGATAGCCTTCTTAGGCCAACTCCATAAAGATATGTATATCATGAACACATCTGGTCTACTTCCATGATAGTGGCATGTGAGTTTACTATGTGTGTCGCCTCATTCGATTTGGCCGGCAGATTCATTGTTCTGGTCAGCCCATTCAAAAGCTGGAACGAGGTCAGATACCACAATACGGCTTGAGAGACTGGCACAGCAATACGAACGTTGACGGCACATGGGGCATTGCCCTCGTGAAGACTCCTGTTTGATCCATTCCATGATACAGTGCTGTTTGAAGAGGCGGTATATTAGCCAATGTGTGAGCTAACAATAGAGCTCATAGACAAACCATGTGAAAATTATGGCCACATTTTCCAGATACTAAGGTTTTGATTAACGCGGGCGGAATCGGCATTGTGGCAGGGATTCGGCTCACATAGCTGGCAATCATCGCCGGGATATTTGCATGTTGGGCATGTACCATCGAAATGAACCTGGCAGATACCACAGACGTCCTCTTCCGGGATATCCCATCTCCAGGTCGCGACGGTGTTCCACTTTTGGATCGTGACCTTCATGATTGATGATGCTTGGACAGGGGAGATGAAGGTTCCTCTGAAGAATAAGAATAGTAATACACTAGTTAACGGGAGTAGTAGAATGCGACAGAAATAATAGAGCTCCCGCTGGATATACGCGTGGGGGTATGTTGTTGTTCAGGCACCCGAAATAATAAAGGTCTGGTGGTCACCGTTATCACGAAACCCAGCACATGCATAATTTGGTAATGAGCCCCCGAAAGACGGCCTGAAAGTCAAGATGGCCGCTGTGACCAATAGAGATAGGTCGAATGCCAGCGCAACGTGGTGCCATTGACCACTAAAAGCTGCCTCCAGGGGTCGGTCCTATTGGCCTGTAGGCTTCCCCGCAGCTCACAGCAGAACCGGGCCATGTGCCTGTGCGTGCTCAATGCTTATCAGCAGCTTCTCCAAAACCGTGGATTGCCTCACATCTACGGCATCTTTTATGTCGGCCAACCCCCCTAGGTCTTCGTGAACGAAGCCTTCCGAACATACTAATTATCTCTTCTCATATCGGCGTATTCTTGCTGCCATATTCCGGCTTTGCTCTCCTAGGTCCCGCCCTTCAATTCCTCTCGCCATTCGGAGGAGAAGAAACCGATCCAACCGTCCCGCGACTCCCAGAACCTCACACAATGGCAGCCGTTCTTGCCCTCCGGCCTTTGCGGGCTGGGATCCCTCGCATAGGAATCAAGAGCTTCCATGTCCACGGTGCTATTCGTCGAAATTTCTCTTCCTATCTCGTCAGCCCGAAGGAGCTACATGAAGCCCTCGCGAAAAACCCTCCTTCCCCGATCAGCCCCGAACCCAGAGTCGTACCTCTATGCGCTTCATGGTTCCTCCCCAACGATGAGAGATCCGGTATCCAGACTTTCCGAGAGCAGCGGATCCCAAAGGCGCGATTTTTCGACCTCGACAAAGTCATCGACAAGCGGAGCCCGTACCCTCACATGCTGCCGGATGCCAAGGGCTTTGCGGCCGCGATGAGTGAATTGGGAGTGCGCAAGGAAGATGCAGTGGTGGTATACGACTCAAAGGAGCTTGGAATCTTCAGTGCCCCCCGCGTAGCGTGGACGTTAAGGCTTTTCGGACATCCCAAGGTGCATATCCTGAACAACTTCAAGCAATGGGTTGACCAGGGTCTCCCTACCGAAACGGGAGAACTTTACAGCGTCGAGTGTTGCCCGTACCCCATCCCTAAATTCGACGAGGCCAGCGTTGCCAGCTTCGAGGAGGTCAAGGAAGTTGCGCAAGACTACAACAAAGAGGGCGCCGAGGGCGTCCAGATTCTGGATGCAAGATCACCTGGCAGATTTACAGGCAAGGCGCCTGAGCCTCGCGAGGGCCTTTCCTCCGGACACATGCCCGGGGCTATTAATATTCCCTTCACTGATCTCTTGGACCCTGAGACGAAGACATTCTATCCCCCGGAAAAATTGGCGACCATCTTCAGCCAGAAGGGTGTTGACCCTGCAAAGCCCATTATCTCCAGCTGCGGTACTGGTGTCACAGCCTGTGTTATCGACACCGGTCTTGAGGTGGCCGGCTACGGTTCCCCGGAATCAAGAAGAGTTTATGACGGAAGCTGGACGTAAGTGCAATTTCACGTGCATCATAGATGAGAAACCACCATGGGCTAACACATTGAAAACAGGGAATGGGCACAGCGGGTCAAACCCTCTGACAATCTAATCGTAAAGACAGAGGCAGAGGCAGAGGCAGAGTAAAGAATAATGAGATGGCTGGTTTCTATTTATATACCCCGCTCTTCATCTTTTTTCCTTGAACCAACGCATGTACTACTATCGCTTGTTATGACCGGAGCTTCAGGTAACGATTTGGCAACTTCTTCACTGGGCCTTGGCAGCGAGTGGCAAGGTTATTCAACTGCTTATATATTCAACCTATTCTTCTTTTCACCTCTTCCCCGCTTATTCAGGGATCCTTTCCATTTCTCTGTAGTTTGTTTGGCTAAAAAGTTAGCGGTTCTAATAGCAGCAATTGAAGTCATGATCATGAGATTCTATACAGCAGATCGTTAGCGAAACCTTACATCCCCTCCCCCCATTGTCACAAACAGTCACAAGACAGAATATCAACGGCTGATGTCACCCATTCTTGCGGATTTCCGCAGGAACACAAATCTGAGAGAAGTCTGCATTGAAATTCCTCGCTATACTTTAGAGCGTTGAATTCAATCATACCAGTTTCGGAATTGTAACGTCTACTAGCCCGAGTGCCTGTTGATCACATTCGGTACTTACCGGACGTCCTACACCGAGCTTCACCGAGACCTGTCGTCGGTGAGAAAACTGGACCCCCTTTTATTCGTGCCTAAGTACCCAGGCATGCACAACATGCACAAGCCGATTAGGGCTCAGATAACCCCAAAATTCCCAATTGCGTGGACCCCACCAACCACCAAAAAAGTTCCTAGCCAAATCGCCGAAATACGACGACTTCACATCCGCCTGCGTCCCATTTGCGTCTCGACAACTAACCCCCCAGCGCAAATATCCGAACAATAATTGCCCAAGATGGCTGACCGTGGAACTTCTCGAGGCGGTGGCTTCGGCGACCGTGGCCGAGGTGGTGACCGTGGCCGTGGACGTGGACGTGGCCGTGGACGCCGTGGTGGAAAGAGCGACGAGAAGGAGTGGCAGCCCGTCACCAAGCTCGGTCGTCTCGTCAAGGCCGGCAAGATCAACAGCATGGAGGAGATCTACCTGCACTCTCTCCCCATCAAGGAGTACCAGATCGTCGACAACTTCCTGCCCAAGCTCAAGGATGAGGTCATGAAGGTGCGCAGCGATATACCAAACCCATGCCATACAATATATTGGAACCCTGTCGAAATTCAAATTGGGGGTCTAATTGTATGAACAATGAGCAATGAGCCGTGGCTAACATCAACCGTTCCCATCCTACAGATCAAGCCCGTCCAGAAGCAGACCCGTGCCGGTCAGCGCACCCGATTCAAGGCCATTGTCATCATTGGTGACTCTGAGGGCCACGTCGGTCTCGGTATCAAGACCTCCAAGGAAGTCGCCACTGCTATCCGTGCCGCCATCATCATCGCCAAGCTGAGCGTTATCCCCGTCCGTCGTGGTTTCTGGGGCTCCAACCTTGGTCAGCCTCACTCTCTGCCCTCCAAGCAGAGCGGCAAGTGCGGTTCCGTCACCGTCCGTGTACGTATTCATCTCGACAACACCCCCCGAAAAAGCGTCTCTATACGCCAATTGCTCCGTTCAAGTGCTGACAGTTTTGCCTCTCTAGCTCATCCCCGCCCCCCGTGGTACCGGCCTCGTTGCCTCCCCCGCTGTCAAGCGATTCCTCCAGCTCGCTGGTGTTGAGGATGCCTACACCTCATCCGCCGGTTCCACTAAGACCCTCGAGAACACCCTCAAGGCCACCTTCGTCGCCGTCACCAACACCTACGGCTTCCTCACCCCCAACCTCTGGAAGGAGACCAAGCTGCTGCGCAGTCCCCTGGAGGAGTTCGCTGATACCCTGCGGGCTGGTCAGAAGCGATACTAGAGAGTTAGAGGCTGGTGCGCGGAGTCATGATCCCTTATGTGTTTCAATGCATGGTTGGCCGGTTAGGGCTTATTTTTTTCAGATCTGAGGCTACAAAAATATTACTGGCTATGGTCTGAATGAACCAAAAAAGAAATTCTCTTAAATTCAAGATTTCCCACCTGTGCCCTGTGTCATTGTGCGCCTATATATATCAACTAACCAACCATTCTCGCAACGAAGAAAGATTTTGCTAACACTTAGACTAACCCAGCATATACAGAGAGGATTCACCATACAACAAAAAACTCAACACCTCACTACCGCTCTTAGGCCTAGTTGTATTTTGTCCAAAACTCCGAACGTCGAGTCCTCGGGGAGACGTCAGAGTCTCGTGTTTCTGGAACTATGGACGGTCCAGTTGGGCTCCGGAAACCTGACTTCTCCATTGTCACTAATATGCGTCGTCGAGTGGCTGAACTCGCTCGGCTGTTCCCCTGATTCTTCGCTCGACTATTCACTCGATCCGTCCTCAAATATTTTGAACGAGCTGTGTTGATCTCGGACTCCGGGGCCATCATTCTCATCCTGGGATCTTCCATACAGGCTAGGCTCACTCTCAGCTCCGGGTTCATGAATCTGTGTCACGTCTTGCAAGGGGCCTCCTACAGCCCCCCCTTGAGTCGGGCTACTATCAGGACTCGGAAGCAAGGTCCGTTGGCCTACGTTCTCCTTGTCAGAGCGATCACTCTGTTCTGTTCCCGTCTCACTTTGCTGGGTCTGCTCTCTTTGCTGGGAATGGCCGCTCTCTGTATCCTGAAGGCCCATGACGGTCTCGAACCAACTACTTCTCTCAGCTGGCGGATCGTCCTCCCGGTCTCCTTGGGGCTGCTGCTCGTTCTCTTCCGCCTCAAATATTTCTGGTCTGAAATCTGCAGCATTCTGCCACGTATCGGCATCCGGAACTAAAAGAGACCGGCTAGCACTATCAGTGTAGAATCGATCATCAAGAGCCCGCTCTTGCTCTGCCCCGTAATGGGGCCCGTAGAACGAAGTTTCCACCTCGTCGAAGTCCGCATGCTCAGCAACGTTCCGCTGCTCGGCGGCGTTGTTCTGCTCGGCGGCGTTCCTCGGCTCCCGCATATGTCGATGCGCATTCCACCTATCAATGTCCCAGAACTTCTTCGCCCTGGGCTTCATCGACGAGTGTCCAAAAGTCCACAGCGCCTCCCTGCGGCGTTTCTTATTGCGCGGCTCTTGGCTGCATGATTGTTTATCCTGCAACTCCCACAAAACCTCCTGACCGACTATCTTTGCACATTCCGCTTCCACGTCACGAGAAGGGTCGTCATCCCAGTCTTTCTGAAATCGGTCCGGCACATGCTCACGCACAATGTCTCTGTAGGAAGTGCAGCGCCTTTTCCGGCTCCCTTCCTGGCAGGTGTCGGTCTCTCGAGCCCTTGTGCGCTTCCAGGTATCCAAGGCTCTGATCAAGGACTGGCGGCTTGCTTCTTCTCGCCCTTGATTCTCGAGAATCTCCATGTCTTGCCTGTGCTCTTCGTTCAGGACCCGTATTGTGTAACCAAGTCTGTATGCGAGGCGGCGGAAGAAGCTTGCTGTCTGCTTCTCTTGGTCGGCGACAATCGAGGTGCCAGTTTCTGCATCCAAAGCCACCTGCATATCTAGCTCCTCGGCAGTTATGATCCCGTCCTCAGCTTGGCTCAGAAGTCGTTTGTAAGCCTCCCATCCATCGACCTCTCCGTCGTTGCCCACTTCCTGCGGCGGATTGGGCCATCGGATTGTGCGCTCGGGATAGTATGCTCTGACGGCATAGTGAGTATGATATTGGGAGCCTCTACAGCAAGGACATTAGCAACAAGACAACCCAGCGAATTTGAGGAAGGCCACTTACTGGAGCACCTTTCTCGTGTCAGCGTCTTTCCAGACTTCCGGGGGCATTTGCCCGAGCCGCCATTTCTCCACGGGCCCTCTCAGGTCCGTATTGAACTGCTGGATGAGCTCTTGCTTGCTCAAGAAACCCTGGTTTGTGTGAAAAGTTCGCGTGCATGTGGCATAGTTGCTAAGCCAGCTCCGGATCCTCTTCCAGAATACATCAAATCTTCTGTCGCACTGGCCGTTTGCTTGGGGCAGATCACCACAGTAGAGGGGTCTGCTCAGATACCACAGCCAGGAAGCCTCCTCCGCGGCAATGAGTCTGAGTTCTGGCTCACCGTCGTTGCCGAGCAAGAATTCGTGGTCTCCGAATTGCAAGTCCAACTTGGTCCAAGAGACTCCATCCCGTCCGTCTTCAATCATGTTGCTTACTTGGGTGATAAGCGGCCGTTGCTGCCATTTCCCGTAAGATGTTTCGAGCTGCTCCGCCAGTTTCTGATGCTCGCGCAGCGTGTCCCAGGTCTGCTTCATGTCCTCGTCCATCATGCTCAGCTCCACGGGCCCGTTCCAATTTCTCGGGAGTGGCATGACGGGTTCGCCTTGGTCGGTTTCTGTCAAGGACTCCCTATATTCTTGGATGGCGCGATCCCTTTTCGACAAGGCCCGCCTCTCTTCTTGCTCCATGTACCTCTTGTTGATTGCCATCAGCGTCCATTGCCTTTCTGCTTCCTCGAGATTCGAGGGAAGCCTCGGTAGCTTTAGCACGTCTTCTCTGTTGACAGTACCATGTGGCAGCTCAGTACTACTCCCTCGTTTTGGCGTGGGCGGCCGCAATAAGGGACGTTTCCGATCCAGAAGATGATCAAAACGATTCGTCCTGGAGATGACGGCAGGAGAGTGCAAATAAGCCTGCTTCAGCTCATTTTCGTACTTCATTATCAATATAGTCGGCTTGATCTGGTCAAGTGTGTCTTGCAGCGTGTTGTACCATGAGTGATTCACATTTGCGTCTTCATCCAGCGAGACCAGGTATCTGAAGCAATCGAATATCTTGGCTTTCCAGTCTGAGATGGGATCTCTGGTATTGTTCCGAATCATCTCCCGGATTCTATCAATCTGTATGCGCGGTGGTGCTATACTGCAACCTCGGTACTGGTACTGCATACCGTTTCCATCCTGGTTTTCACCGGGAGCTTCGGTGAGCCATCGAAACAACCACTCGTCAGTGTATGGTTCCTCCTCGATGCTCAGCGCGTCGGCCCTGATATTTGGGGCCTGGTCGTTATCTACCGCCATCATTCCGTGTGCGCCGTCTGTGGTTGCTTTCTGTAAGGCTCTCAATGAAGTTGGTTCGATCAACTATGTGAGAAATGCTCTTGCGGCAGGTGTCGCTGCTTTTTGTCCTACAATATTCTGATGTTTGTGTACTTCTTACCGTTGTTCCTGTTTTCGTTTAATGTGCTGTCTCTCTTTGGTGGAAGTTTCCAAGTTTACATTGCTTTGTTCGAACCCATGCGAAGAGACAATGCTCGCCCCACCCCCGTTCTTGTTTGTTACATTTTCTTTGTTCGTTGTTTTGTATATATGTATTTTTTTAAGCGGTTTCTACTCGGTAGTCTGTGTAAACAAGTTGCTGTTTCTAATTTTGTAGTTCTTTCTTCAGTTGCTTCTTGGTGTTACACCCTTCGGGGCGCTAAATCGTTGTGCGACTAAAAGTTAAGTTTTATTGATCAGTCAACGTCTCCAGGTAGAACGAAGGGTTAAGGTCAGCCGTTCTAATTGTATTATCATCGCTGTCCTTTGGAGGCTCTCGAGTTCCCAAGCTACAAGGTTCCAAAGGCAATCATCATAACATTCTGTGGAGTTTAGAACTGACATAGCAACTTCCCGACAACACACCCAAATAAGTAGTAAAAAAGGCACAACTACAGGGGGAAAATAACAGACAGCCAGAATTAATTCCGAAACTATCGAAAAGCCCCCAAGCATGCAAGCATGCAATAAAACACGAGGTGAGGATGGATTATCGTCTCTGTCAACTACTCCTACAGGGTAGGTTCCGCATGTTGGATCCTGAGAATCGAGCCCTGCTAAGATGAGTTTCAATTTCATGCGCATTCCACAAGTGGAGACGACTTCACCGAGAGAGTAACCGCAAATGGAAGAGCTATGTAAATTGGCAAACGCCTTGATCAGGGCCTCCTCTCCTAGATCTCAGCCGGGGCGCGCGAGCGAAAGAGCCGTGTTCGAGTCCAAGGAGGGCGCGCCATGCCTCCGAAGCAATAAGCGCTAGGAACACCGCTACGTGCGATCCCGCGATGGGAAATGGGCTGATATGGCGAGATCGAGAGGTCATCGCGCGCGCTGGTCCGGCCCCCGAGCAGAACATCCAGGGCGTGTCGTGTGCGCGGTGGCTGGCTGCCTTCATTTCCTGGACCTGCACGTCGCGGAATGGGCTCCCCATGCCAGCCTATCAGCCGGTCCAACTGCAGGCCAATCCTTCCTTCTCTCGGTGTAAGTCCCAGGCAGCGATAATTAACCTGTCCGGCATGCGTCTCTGCACATGGCCCAACTGGGCATATCAAACGCTGGTATTGTCCCATTTCGGCACTGGCACTGGCTGCCCACGGGCCCAATGGGCGCCTGTGTGTTCATGTTCCTTATTATAGTTCTGGTCGTATTAAACCACCCATTGACGAGGCGGATCAACCCAAGCGTACAGCTCATCCTTTGACTCACCAAACTTTGCCTGCGTCCATGCCATGATCGTCTCATCTCCTCCTGAGAAGCAGCGCCGGCAACTTGCCAGACTCCGGGACCTCTAGAACTGCAGTCTCATGTCATGGCGCCCCAAGATGACGACCTTTATGCCGCCGTCAGCACACAACACCTCCGTCAATACGGACATCTCTTAATTACTTACCTACTTGGACTAGCTATCGCCCGGTAGCTGCCAGGGGCCCCACTCCTTCACATCACACCGTCAATCTGCAATATCCCATCACCAGGTCCCAGCATGCCAAGCGAGCGACGAGCCCTGCGGCAAGCGAGACAAAGAGCAAGGCCAAAAAAGAAAAAACGAGAGAAAAAAAAGGAACTTCAAACCTCACCCATCAATCTCTAGTGCACAAGGGGAAGGAGGGTAAGCTTCCCGCTCCCGCCCAAAAATATCCCCCCCTTCTCAGTCTGGCCTCAGCCTACCCTAATCAAGGCCAGCACACACACCTCCCTTCCAAACCCCCTTTCCCATACCAGCAATCATGCCAATTAAGAAAAGAAATCCCTATATCGAAAAAAAATACTACTAAGAGTCCACGCGAAAAACCAATCAAGCTAAATCTCATCCCTTTCCCGCCCAGTACACGCAGCTTATCACACAGAGAGCTTCCTCCTTCCGGCAAGCGTTGGGTTCTTCGCTCTGCCCACACACCCCCCCTCCTAGAAATGCCATCTCCAGGGAGCTATCTTAACTAATTTACCCTTCTCTTTCTTTTCGACGCCGGCATCGAGATCGCTCCCAAGATCTCATATCACACCATTCTTTCCTTTTTCTTACCGCCCCTTTCTCCATCACCTACTATTGCCCATAATGCCGGTCCATCCCTGTAGACTGTAGCTTTCTAATCAGCGTGGGGGGATGTTGGATCACACCCTTTCAGCCCGAGTATCAGCCTCAGGAGAGGATGTGTGTATGACTACCATGTGCTGTGGGATAAGGCCTGGCACTTGAAATGGGTTAGTAAGTCTTAGTGTGGTGGTTACTGGGACTGTGTGGCATGGAAAAGCTTGGACTCGATATCCATGTGGCATCATCATTTGAGAGATATATCACATGTACTAGCTTCTGATATATGCCAGAAATTATATACACCATTCACGACTACGGCAAGCTCATGCAAGGATCATGCTTGATTTGGAAGCAATTTTTTTAATCTTGCTTTGTACCTGTTTACATCTACCCAGACACAGGGACCGAGAAAGCACAGCGGGAATGAGGTCAACCAGGTGCTCGCCCGTGGTTTTAGAATTGTGCGGAAACGATTATGTTGCGCCAAGCTCCAGCTCTCGTAGCGTCGTGTGTAACAATTAATACAGGAGCCCGAGCCTAGCCCCGTCTTCCGCCCCGCCTCTGTTTCAATAAGGCTTCCACTGTGTTGTTTCCTCGAGACCGGTATGTCTCTTCATTGCTCTGCCTGCCTCTACAGACGGCGCCGTATTGCATTCTTGGTATATCCTTCCCCCATCACTGGGTCGTCCTCGTCCACATGTCTATGCTTGTGAAATCAACTTTTAATCCCCGTAGACTGTCCTCTCGCGATAGGACCAATATTGGAAAAATGAAACACTGAAATAATTCGTTCGAAAGGGGTATGGGTTCGGGTTCCTTAATTTTTTTTGGTGCCGAATCGACTTGAAATTGAACTCGAGTCGCAATGAAAAAACAGAGAAAACAAAAACTATTGTCGCTAAATGCCATGACGTAGATGAAATATATCATTCTGCATGCCTCCATGCAATCGAGCTTCTCTAACCCGAGAAATGAGTTTAAAAAAAACGGTGGCCAAGAAGGTGAAGGTACAAGGTGAGAGTGGTTGCCCTCGATGAGAAGGAGAGTGAGAGGTGGTGTCTGCTGAAGCTCAGTGGACGTCGGTGGGGTTTTGGTACGGGGGTTTCCCTATTGGTTCACATAGTGTGCTTGGGGATAATTTGAGTAGTGGTGGTGGGCGTCGGTCACATATAGTGATGAGCTGTTATGATGCGGCGTAGGCGTTGATGGGCAGCGGGCGGCTGTGACTGATTGTGATGTCGCGTTGCCATAGTGCTGACCGTCGGGCGTGATAGGCGGCGTCAAGTATCCCTCCAATCCGAACGTTGAGCCGTGGCCTTTCTGGGGAGTGCTGCAGACGTCGACATGCCTCGCAGGCTCAGTCGGTGGGGTTGGGGGCTCGGCGTTACGGCGGGCTAGTGCTGCTTGTTGCGCCATGAAGTCGGCAAGCTTAGGAGATACACGCGAGAAGTTGGCAGTTGCGTATTTTCGGGCGAGCGTGGGTGACGGGGTGTGGAGGTGGTGTGACAGAGTGAGGAGCGTCATGTTGCTCTTCTGGTCCCATTCCCCATCGTTGACTTCGGGTCGGCCAAGAACAGCTCGGGCGAGGGCGAGAGATGCGCGTGAGAGAACCGATGGCTTCGTGGAGACAAAGTCTCTGCTGTACAAGGCGATTTCACTCATATAAGCAGCCATGTGCTCCACCTCTTGATCGTCCTGCTCCTCAGCTACCATAAGTTGCGAGAAAAAGTCGACAGTCGGGTGGCCAATGGTCCAGTCCAGGGTGTTCAGAACGTGCATCTCCATCTGCGAGAACATGCCGGCATCGTAGAGTCCGCAGCACATGTTGTTGAGTTCGTGAATCTGTGGCACACGATCCTTCTTGTCACCGTACTTGGCCGCAATGAGTAGAGCCGCGCAACCGACGAGTTGGTAATGCTGCTTGTAAACTATACGCTTAGCGCAGTAGCGATCTAGAAGATTGACAGTGAGGAACAGAGTCTCGGGTAGTAGACCAAAGGCGCTGTGAGCTTCGATGAGGAAGTCTATCAGGTAAGGTCGCATGAACCACTGGATCTCGCGCTGCATATCAATGAAGTTGACGTCTGGGAGCGTCTCGTCCTATCATGTTCGTTTAGCCACATTACCCAGCCATGTTGCCCGATACTTAAACATACCTCCATGTGTCGCATGTGGTCCACAATCTCCTCCAAGTACTCGTCTGCTGCTAACCGCGAGAGTTCATTCGAGATGAGCTCTTGTCTTCGACGGGCGATCAACTTTGCTGTTTGTCTGGGAGTGAGCTTGGGGTAGAGCTGCTCATCTGACTCCACGAAGAAGGTGGAATCTGGGTAAGAGTGGGCCATGATGTCGGTTGAGGTTGGACCCAGGGTCGTAAAGAAACAGGAACAGATTATTTGTGAATTTGATCAAAGAAAGACGGATAAGTTCTCCAGGAATCTTGGGTCGGAGATGAATGCTTTTGCGTGGGGGTCAATGACTGTGAGCCCGGTCGTGCCTTCTGAAAATGTAGAAGCGCTGTGGGCAATTAAGAGATTAGAGTATTAAAGAGTGTGATGAAAAAAAATTATTGCAAAGGAGTGACGGTGGCTGGAAGAGATGCCGGGAACATGTATAAAAAAAGAAGATGGTTGAAGTGAGAAAAGGGAAATGGATCAAGGGGCCGTTCCGATCAATAGGTCGACAAAGGGGTTGTCTATTTGGACTAACATATCAGCGCATGGTCGCTCCT